GTTGTGGCTGTGGTAACTAGTAACAATGTAAAGTGTTTTTTCTCAAAGTTGCCGGGATGTCACGTCTTACTTATCAGTACACGCGTAACAACCGAATCATTACGAAACTTAAACTCGATCAAATAAGTAGCAAACCAGCCATTACATTTTTTGTTAACCAAATTCAACACTCTCATTGAAAATATCAAAAACTCCTCGCTTGGTGAGCAAGAAAAAAAGACAAAAAACGCCACCTGCTGGAGAAGACAGATTTTGCGGCCAGTTATCCCTCTCACTTTTGCCTCTTCCTCTCTGACTACGGTGCAGGACATGGTTCAATGCACCAATAAATCGGCATAATCTATGCACTTCTTCAGGGTTTTAAAATTGGCAGCGTCTTGGTGCTAAAATTGGGAGCATGTATACCGTGCTAATGTCAATACCCCAAAAAATTGTTACGGAGAGCAATGTACAATACGTTGAACTTAGTGCATGGGGGCCGGCATTTTTTTTTTTTACATCCGCTATTGTCAGTTGATGACACACCGAGCTATGAACAGTTGGTGATCCGATCATCATAATAGGTGACGAAGCATGTTAATATGTTGTAAACACGCCTTGTAACCCTGGGCTTGAATCCCTGGGCTTTACAAAGAGACCTGTCTGTAGTCTTAAGGAGTCGGTGGCTCAGGTGTAAGGAGTGCACAGCTTTAGTGGTTCGAATCCAGGCAGAGCTTTCGTGTGTGGTTGCATTGATACAGATTGACAGTTGGCCCTGTGACATCTGATGGGCAGAAAGTATCTGGCCCGTGCATAGCAGCGGTTATGGAGCAGTAAGCTCAGAAAAAGTCGGCTTTTATAAAGCTAAGTGGAGCTTTTCCTATATTTCAATTCTAATTGCCCAGCACTGTACTACCACTGCTGTTCACTGTTGACAAAGTCATTTCTGGAGATTATTTATTTAATGTGTTTAGTGATTCATTTTAAGGTAAAAAACAACAACCTGTCCCTCATTTTACACTATCTAAAACCTAAAAGGGTTCTACGGCTGTCCCCATAGGATAACTCTTTGAAGAACCCTTTTTGCTTCCATGTAGAAAACTTTTTGAATGTAAAGTCATCCCTGTTACGTGAAATTAACTCTTGTTTTAATCTGGTGAAACTATTCCAAAAAAAATAAAAAATAAAAATAAAGAAGAAACATTGCACATCTAATAGTGAAATCAGTGTAAAAGCAGGTGAGAGCTGGTTCTACTCTTTTTGGCCATGTTCTGGTGTTTTGTGGTGGAAAACTGAGCGGGTCGAGAAAAACCCTGTTTTAACTATTTATATAATTTTTGTGGCGCTTCCATTCAATTGCCCATCCCTGTTGCACACAACAAGCTTCCATTCCTCCTGTCACAAGGGGATACAGTATATGGCTGATTTAAGATTAAATAGTCAACCCTGTTACTTTATTTGGCACTTAATAGGCACTTACTATAGTATTTTTTTCTAATTTAACTTCTTTAGATGGGAAAACATGTTTTTTTTTATTAAATTGAACATGTGCTATTTAAGAATGTCAAAATTATGTGAAATAAAACCAAGTTAATCTACCCTAAAGGGACCATTTTTTTGGGAACGACACCCATGGCAATGTCCGCTTTAGGTATAATGCCAGGAGCCGCTTATGGATTTAACAGCTCTAAAGCCACTCATGAGAAAGTACTACTGAATTACTACTCATCACTACTACACAAGATCTACACAAAACCTACTGGTTTTAGTAGTGATTTATGTAGTAATGTAAGTAGTAATAAGTGGTAAATTATGATGTTTCACTACTGGTGAACACTACATATTTCCTATTCAAATCACTACATAATTCTCCCTGAATCACTACTGTGTAACTACTGATGTTTTGGGTATCTACTACTTAAAACCTACACATGCCTACACAATTACTATTGAATTGCTATGTAATGCTTACACATTACTGCTGTTTGCCTAGTCAATCCCTATTGAATTACTACTGCCATTTGTGTGTGTAGTGTTGTCACTACTGATTACTACTGAATTGCACCTGACCCTTTTGAATTACTATTGAAAATAGACACATTTACTACTGACATCTTGTTTCACTACTGTGTCACTACAAGACTAATGCAATTGTAATTTTTTATTAAATTAATTACATATTTACACTTGTTAATCCCTTTGAGGCCTTGTCTTCATTCAGCTATGACTTAAGTATCTTCAGATCCTCTTTTTTGTTGACATTTCTCCACCACATAACCGTTCAGAAAATAAAGACAAGCACAAGAGAACCAGTTATAAGCCATCATCAATCATCTGCTGACAGAAGTCACATAAGACAACACAGAAAAACATTTGATAAACAATGACAATCTTACCAACAAAGGCTTCCAGTCTTCTTATGTCGAGGGCCTCCTTGGCAACAGGTCAAAAGAGGTAAGTAGAATGGGTAAGTATACCAATATCAATATACCCGACATTTGCATACAAGCACACACACAATTATTAGCTAGCAGGACGAAAACAGAGACTACATACTCTACTTGTGTATCTTGAGTAATGCATAAACTACACATTCACTACACAGTCCCTACAATAGTCACTACAGCACAAATAGGTTTTGTGTAGCAATTCAGTATTACTTTTTCACCACCAAAACAACTGCTATGCGGGTGTCGGCTAGTGCGGATCTGATAGAATCTAGCCCTTAGGTGACCTATGTGATTGTTTTTATGTAAACTCTCCCCATCTCTCCCCCTTTTCTTCATCCTCATTCCTTTCTCTAGATATTGCAGAATGTGACTTCTGTCTTCCTGTGAGCCATGGATGACATTTGTTTTTTAAAGGGATTCATGTGTTCAGTATACTGACAAATTCTCAATCAACCCTTCAAGGAATCCTTTTCAAGACAATACTCATGGAGGTCCAAAAAGTAATTTTCTGGCATACTTTTCAATAACATTTTTATTGAGACATACAGTACCAGTCAAAAGTTTGGACACACCTACTCATTCAAGGGTTTTTCTTTATTTTTACTATTTTCTACATTGTAGAATAATAGTGAAGACATCAAAACTATGAAATAACACATATGGAATCATGTAGTAACCAAAAAAGTGTTAAACAAATGAAAATATATTTTATATTTGAGATTCTTCAAATAGCCACCCTTTGCCTTGATGACAGCTTTGCACACTCTTGGCATTCTCTCAACCACCTTCATGAGGTAGTCACCTGGAATGCATTTCAATTAACAGGTGTGCCTTGTTAAAAGTTAATTTGTGGAATTCCTTTCCTTCTTAATGTGTTTGAGCCAATCAGTTGTGTTGTGACAAGGTAGGGGGGTATATAGAAGATAGCCCTATTTGGTAAAAGACCAAGTCCATATTATGGCAAGAACGGCTCAAATAAGCAAAAAGAAACAACAGTCCATCATTACTTTAAGACATGAAGGTCAGTCAATATGGAGTTGCAGTTGCAAAAACCATCAAGCGCTATGATGAAACTGGCTCTCATGAGGACCGCCACATGAATGGAAGACCCAGAGATACCTCTGCTGCAGAGGATAAGTTCATTAGAGTTACCAGCCTCAGAAATTGCAGCCCAAATAAATGCTTCACAGAGTTCAAGTCACAGACACATCTCAACATCAACTGTTCGGAGGGGACTGTGTGAATCAGGCCTTCATGGTCGAATTGCTGCAAAGAAACCACTACTAAAGGACACCAATAAGAAGAAGAGACCTGCTTCAGCCAAGAAACACGAGCAATGGACATTAGACCGTTGGAAATGTGTCCTTTGGTCTGAAGTCCAAATTTGAGATTTTTGGTTCCAACCGCCGTGTCTTTGTGAGACGCGGTGTGGGTGAACGGATGTGTAGTTCTCCTCCATGCTTTACGGTGGGGAGGTGTTATGGTGTGGGGGTGCTTTGCAGGTGACACTGTCTGTGATTTATTTTAAATTCAAGACACATTTAACCAGCATGTCTACCACAGCATTCTGCAGTGATACGCCATCCCATCTGGTTTGGGCTTAGTGGGACAATCATTTGTTTTTCAACAGGACAATGACCCAACACACCTCCAGGCTGTGTAAGGGCTATTTGACCAAGAAGGAGAGTGATGGAGTGCTGCATCAGATGACCTGGCCTCCACAATCCCCTGACCTCAACGCAATTGAGATGGTTTGGGATGAGTCGGACCGCAGAGTGAAGGAAAAGCAGCCAACAAGTGCTCAGCATATGTAGGAACTCCTTCAAGACTGTTGGAAAGCATTCCAGGTGAATGCCAAGAGTGTGCAAAGCTGTCATCTCAAATATAAAATAAATGTAGATTTGTTTAACACTTTTTTGGTTACTACATGATTCCATATGTGTTATTTCATTGTTTTGATGTCTTCACTATTATTCTACAATGTAGAAAATAGTAAAAATAAAGAAAAACCCTTGAAATAGTAGGTGTGTCCAAACTTTTGACTGGTACTGTACATTTTATATTCTTACTGATACAAAAATATATTACTTTGAAGTCCGGTGATCATTTCTATGCTGATGGTATCACTACATGTTGAATGAAGTATACATATAATTTCTCTGACATCACATAAACACCCAATGCACCAATATCGAAGTACTGTAGAAATACATAATATTACTCTAAAAAAGATAAAAATAACTCAAGTACATGGAAAGGTTAATGATGATCATTCATTAGGCTATGTACAGGATTATATCACACTTTTTCATACTTTAAATACAGCACAATATTATATAAACAATATATACTATACACTGAGTATACAGAACATGAAGAACACCTGCACTTTCCATGACATAGACTGACCAGGTGAAAGCTATGACCCCTTATTGATGTCACCTGTTAGATCCACTTCAATCAGTGTAGATGACGCTCAACAGTTTCCCGTGTGTATCAAGAATGGTCCACCACCCAAAGGACATCCAGCCAACTTGACACAGTTGTGGGAAGCATTGGAGTCAACATGGGCCAGCATCCCTGTGGAATGCTTTCAACACCTTGTAGAGACCATGCCCCAACAAATAGAGGCTGTTCTGTTCTGAGGGGGAGGGATGCTTATGTGGTTATGATGATATACTATGTTACTTGTCCCATTATTGGTGTAGGTGAGACTTTACCACGTCATAGCTAGATTATATGACACTCTAGACCCAAGGTATATCTACATCATCTAAATTGGCTTCCTCTCGTTGACACCTTTCCTCAGTCTGCACGGACCACTTTAGACAGTTGAGACAGTCTCCTAGTCTGAATCCTCACTACTGCAGTAGGAGCTGTCACAGTACTCTGCGGTGAACAGAAAGGTGTGCTCATTGGGGTCTAGTTTAGGCAGCCAATGGCGAGGTATCAGAAACATGGCCAGGTTAAAGAGATCCACAAAGACTTTGTAGCGATCACTGTGTGAGAGAGAAGAAGAAAAACACCTACTTAGCTCCTTCTTCAAGGGGTATATAATGATGTGCTGGACAGTAACTCTAGCTTTGGATCCAGTTTATTTCAATAGGTAATCATAGATGACAGACATGACATACCTGACAGTAGAGCGCAGGTAATGGTAGCCAGATGAGCCTCCAGTGCCTGCTTTGCTGCCAATCATTCTGTGCACCATGCACACGTGGTTGTCTGAGACACATAGAAATATTGCACTTGTTAATATAACTGTGGTGAGAAATGTGGTGAAGTAAACTGTTCTTCACATATATTTTGGTGTTACTTACATCTCCATTTTGTCATAAGGGTATCAATGTCCATCAGGTTGGACAGGAGTTGGAAGGGAACCTGGAACCTGGGCTCCTCCCTAAAGATAGAACAATCCACAATGTAATAATTACATCTCAAATGGTGAACAAACACAAGCCTATCTAAAATAACTGTCAGAAACCCTTCTTACCTGTAGAAGTAGATCATCAGAGCTCCTTGGAGAGCTTTGTAGGAGATCCGTCTCTCACCTGATTAAACACAACAGGAAGTGAGATGGTTTGTTAGACCTGAGTTCTGTAGTTTTAAACTAATTATGGGGACTGAATTGTTGAGGCAGTTTGTGTTGGTGCTAGGTGCTAAGCACTCACCTTTGCCCAAAAGATGCTCATGTCTTTTGACATCAAACAGTGAAGTAAATAGCTCGTTTTGCTTTGTCAGCTCTTCCATCATCTCCTCCTTCTCCTCCGAGTCTTGCATTTTCTGCCAAAGGACAAAAAAGAAGATCGTAGTTTTTGGTCCGATTATTTTATCTTTAAGTAACCTAATGAGAAGCAATGTTGTGGTGAGATTTTGGTACTAGATTATTTTGAAACAGCCCATACCTCTATTTTATTTTTTTCAAGACTCAAACCTTCAAAGATGTTGGCTTCCAGTTTCTCCCAAAAGTTAAACCCATCCTCTTCAAGACCTGGGGTCCTTTCCAGCCATTTCTGAATAGAACAACAAACAGTACTGCTCAATACTGCTATAATATGAAGTGTGGGAAATAACATGATTAAGTATTTAAACGGGATCTATTTTCAAATGTTTCAGTAAGGTTTTTTTCTTTTCACACACCTCCACCAATTTCAGCAGACAGGGCTCCTTCTCAGAACTAAGCAGCATCTCACTCTCATGTCCTTTGAAGTTGTCCCTGTAGTGACGCCTGTTGTAGGGGACTCTCAGGTTGTCAGGGACCCCAATCTTGTTCTCCAACAGACGGAATTGGAGACTTTGGAACCCGGAGGCAGGGGACAGGTACTCTCTACAACACACAAGAGTAATGTGCGTTAAATTTGTAAAGAGGGTATACTTTTATAAGGTTTATAAAAGCTAAAAGGTTATCCATGGGTTATCTATGGGGCTTACCTGAAGTCATAGAAGTCCAAGGCCGTCATTGTCTCGAGCACGGCAAACTGGTCGACCAGCAGCCTGAAGATCATAACAATCCTGTGTATGCGGGTGTTGACCTTCAGCATGTTGCGTTCATCGCGAACCTGGTGAAACATTACTATTAAAGATTAGTTCTAACTTTTTTATGCAAAAAGGGTCCCTGCAATTGGACTGCATTGGACAGAAAAAAGCACGCCTTTTCATGCCCACAAACAAAGGCCTAGGTCATTGACATTGTTTAAATTTCATGGTTTAATGAAGTAAAACACTGATTCATATTGTGTTTTAAGCGTTTATGAATTATATGTTAAATACTCTTGCTTTCTGAGGTCCTTACATGTCCACTGATGAAAATCTCTCGCACTGAATCCAGTTCCCATAGAATCTGCTTGAACCAGAGTTCATATGCTGAAATAAAATGATAAAAATGCAATTAATCATTATGTCCCACCTTTTCTATGCAATAAAATAGATCATTTGTTGATGGAAAGTTGATAGTGAATTGCTATTCAAGTCTTTCAGAAGTAGGTGCAACTACAATTAAAGGTTAAACTCATTTCTTGAAATGACTGGATTTCAAATGGAACAGACCCCAATCCTTGTGATAAGGGAATACATGCATACTATGATTATAATTCCATTATTGATTCTCAAATTTTGAGGATATTTGACCACAAACATATACTGTACCTTGATGTGTGACAATGAAAAGATGCTCATCGTGGATTTTGTTCCCCTTCAGTTCACTCTGAAGAACTTGGGCCGTCACAACTTTGTCAAGCTATAATGGAACAAAACAATTAAATTTAGTACTGCAGCTAACACAAATTAAAATGTTACTTCCATTCCATCCCTTATGTTGGCTGTACAGCTTCTATCGGCAGAAGACAAAGATACCATGTCAAAAATCTTGTAGAAGATTAAGTTAGATTAAGTTAGATTAAGTTAGTTAGATGACGATAGTGAATGCTTTACCTGAAGGTAGTCACCATAGATTATGCCACCTTTGCTGGCCTTGTTGATTCCTTCTTGAGAGTCATCTGCCTCTTCCTCTTTTAGATACAGCTTGCTCTTGAATAACCTGGGGAATGAAAATACAAATGTATTGGTATTGATTAGCTAATGTCATACCATTATTATCATTAATAATAATAATAAATATAACTATAGCATTCATGTAGAATCAAACTGAATTATATGATGCCTTTGAAATGTCCCATGTAGCCTATGTTACAAAAAAAGTCACAAAAAAAACATTAATAAAAACATAATTTGAAATGCAATAATGAATACGTACAAGTGACTTTTCTCGAAGTATGGACATCCACCACTCATGGTTATCCAAATTATCCAAAATGAAAGCAAAAATGTTATCTTATTCCTTTGGTTTACTACAACTTTGATCCTATTCCGTTGGTTTACTCAAACTGTGAAAACCCAAGTATTTATAGGCTAACCCAGTCATGCTATTGGCATATTTCAACATCCGGCCCATCTCCATTTGCGTCATCTGAACCGTTCTTATTTGCCTTCTCTTAGGTGAACTCACTGGATGTACTTTATTTAAATCAGTAACAAGGTCACTGGGCCCATTCCAAATTAAACAGACATTTTAGCAACCTATGTTCGCAATCAACCACAACATATTTATGTCATTAATGCGACTCCGTGCAGCCAATGGCAATGCCCACTTTAGGTATAATGCAACGAGCCGCTTGTGGATTTGAAAGCTCTAACGCAGTTCCACCTCCGACACCATCAAAACCAACCGCTAAGCAGATGTCGGCTAAAGCAGATCTGATTGAATAGAGCCTTAACTCTATTGAACTGCCATTTATTTGAGTATAACTGCGGCCATGGGCTACCAGGGAATCAGTGTCTCAATATTTGTAGTTCTGTTAATGTGTAATCTTTGCCATAGTCATCCTTTGACTTGCTGAAATGTCATAGATTTGATGTATTTTGTGTTCTGAGAACTTCATTACACAACCTTGACATAGCTGTACCTTTGATCCATATTGTCTGTTGAAGCGGCTATTGGTGTTCCCTAGACATCGACAGGTGTTGTAGATATTCAGCACTGCTGTTTTTTTTTTTTACATCAGTCACACTACAAAACTTGTCTCTAATTACCTATTAGTATTTACATAGTAGTTATATACTGTAGGTAAAGTGGAATTACAGTATAGGTGCAGGTGTTACATAGTAGCCTACTTGCAACTAGCAGTTGGCAATTTTCAAGAATTTGCTAATAAACTCACAAGTGAGAATAATTAATTAGTGAGCCACAATATATTTGAGTTTGTTCATAAATATGATGTATACAAATGTCAACATGTTACACAACTCACAAATCAAAATTGCTATAGGGCCTACTTGTTGCAAGTATAGTCATGTGTACCTACACTGTAATTACACTCAACCTGCCTATGTAACTCCATACAAATACATAATGATAGGTATAACAGAATCTTACTGTAAAGTGGGACCTGTATGTGCTGGCCTTATTATTTGCTTGGCCCGTCCAGACCACTTGGTATAAAGGGACCTGTGTACCCATCATGGTCTGGAGAGGCGTGTTTTTTTAAACTCTCATTAAGTCCCATGTTAAGGGGACATTGTGCCGACAACATCAAAGCCTCCATGACAGACAAGAGGACTGACATCTGAAAAAAAATCACAGACCTGCTTTCTACTCGCTATAGCCTTTAGGGGGAGACAAAGTATGAAAGCACAAATCTGTCTAACAAATATGGATCATGACAAAATACTAGGGTCTCTTTTCAATCTGGATCTCTGAAGTGTTTCAGATTGATTGCGCAATATAAAATGTAAAGGTCATTTTAAACATTTCAGTAATTGCATCGTTAACCGTGAATGCAGTCTTCAATAACGCAGGAACATTGCCATTACATTTCAGTCAAGCCGTAACGCTGAACTTCCGCGATACGGATTGAATAGAGCCCTAGATAATCAAAGTACCTAATTAACATTTGTATAATATAAGGTAATTCATTTATCAATCCAGGCCCTACATCTCCTACACATCCCAACAGAACTTGGTAACAATCATAGCTCTTCATAGAACAATTAACCCAGTTATAGCCGTAGGCCACAAATCATGCACACAAGTCACTCTAAGGGATCTATTCAATCCGTATTGCGGAAGTTCAGCGTAATTGAAATTTAAAGGCAATGTTCCCGCGTTAGCAGATACTGCATTCACAGTAAACGCTGCATACTGCTTGTCAGCTCAATCAGAAATAATAATAATAATAATAATAATAATAATAATAATAATATGCCATTTAGCAGACACTTTTATCCAAAGCGACTTACAGTCATGTGCGCATACATGTTTACGTATGGGTGGTCCCGGGGATCGAACCCACTACCCTGGCGTTACAAGCGCCATGCTCTACCAATTGAGCTACAGAGGACCCTTGACATTTCTATCATGCAATCTGTAACGCTTCAGCGATACAGATTGAATACAGCCCTGAATCTCCCAGAAATCATTAGCTATCGCCCGTTTTTCACCAAGTCTCTTTGTACAACCCCTTTGAGCTGAGTCCTAGTGGTGCCAGAGGAGATGGCTGCCGTTTTACAGGCTCCTAATCAATTGTGTTATTGTGTGTGTTTTTCCATGTTATTTGTAACTTATTTTGTACATAATGTTTCTGCCACAGTCTCTTATGACCAAAAAGAGCTTCTGAATATCAGGACAGCGATTACTCACCTCGTACTGGACGAAGATCTTTTCTTTAATGAGTCAGACGAGAAGGATTTACTTCAGACATGACAACAAGCAACTATTTTTGGTTGGGGACACCGTACCAAGCCGCACTGGTGCTGCAGAGAGCGCTAGAGCAGACACTAAAGCAGCCACTGCCCTAATCCTTTGTTCTTATCTTAGCTGGTATACACAGAGATGAGCCAAATGGGGGACATGCTTGATGCTTGAAACAGTGACCCAGACAGTCTTGTTTGATCGCCAAGCTTTTGCAAAGGCCAGACAGTCATAAAGGCCAGTTGTGTCGGTTTGCTTTCTCCCTGATACTTAATTGATTAGTTAATGGCAATGCTGGCCTTTAAATACATGTTGTCTCCATGGTCTGAATCAATACAGCCAGCAGAGCAGAGACAACAACTCTGGCAGCCTATTGCTTTGTGCTCTGTCTAGACTAAATACGAAGTAGAAAAGACTGTAACTGACCAAACTGGGTGTCAAACTTTAAAGCTCCAATCACTGCCTTTTGTTGGAAGACTTGAAACAAGGCTGTCAATCTGGCAACCTTTCAAGGGCATAGATGACTGTTTTGAGCCCTTTAAGCCCACAATAGGCAGGTTGGGGAGGCACTTGGTGACGACGGACCGGTAATTGTTTGGCTCTGATCAAGCCATTCAGATAAATGTGTCAGGACAGGACACCAAAAATGCCACAGGTCAGATTCTCCGGTCATCAATCCACTCTGGTCTAAAATAGTCTCATATTTGTGAGGGATTTGCCAACAGATTTCGCTCACTATATCTATGAAAATGGCTTGAAGTGGCAGACAGGCCATCTTGTACAAACATACCATCTTGATTGCAGTACTGTAGGTTAGTGGCTACAGACTAAAATATCTAAATAGACATCTTTGTACAGGAATGCTCATGCATTGCCTATGGCAGCACATACCAGTAAACCAATGTCCCTCATTTAAGTCAATAATGTGTGACGTGTGTGTGTAGACCCATGCCATGCGATGCAATTGCAGTAGTATTTCAGGCACTGGGATTTTGATTGCCAGTGTACCCACTACCCACCATTGTGTTGCATAATATTAATAGGAGCCACATCAATTGAACCTCTTTCACATTCCTCTGACCATGTGCTTATTGCATGATCCTGTTGGTCTTTGATGTACTTGCAAAGTCGTCGCTTTTATGCTGTTCTTTGAAGTAGGTCACGTCGCAGTGCTGTGGTCTGCTCTGGTTTGCTTTGAAGGTGCCCGTTGTGGTCACACAGTACAGTGGTTATGTTGAGCTATATTTACCTATTCTGGTTGAAGCATTGGTAAATTCTGCTAAAACCTGGTGAACATGCCCTTTTCTGTGGTGGTTTGACACCATCTCTGCGTTCATCTGATGCTGCAGTGATGTTTGATGCTGCTCCTAAGATAGCAAGTAATGGAATCCTGCAGTCTTCTCTGGAGCTGAAAATTGTCTCCTGAAGATTCTGCAATATCAAAACAACGAAGACAAGAAAGCAAGATATTTTGTACAGTACAAATTCAAAAAAATGACTGGCTGCGTATTGTATAGGAGTAGGTAAAGTACTGACCACCCGATCAAAATCCAGGAATTTAGCCTTAATATCTTATTCACATAATGCTCATCTATGGCACACACTATACCACTAGAGAGCGTCAGAGGACTGTATAGACATTGATTAAGTGATGAGGGTTCATATTTTATTTTATTTTATTTTTTTTAGTCATATGAAATGTGCTCCTTCATTTCCTTAAAACAAATTATTCAAATAGTACTGTACTGTCGCCTTATATGAAACATTTGATCTCAAATCCAAATTGAGTATAGAGCCATTTTAGCTTCACTGTCCAAATACATGGTCTTGAGTATATATGTGCTTCCTTAAAATTAGGCTGGGTACTGCATATAACCTGTACATTTAGGAGAAATGCTAATGTTCAACATAGTATTATCACTGTAAGAATTATTCAAAGGGTTGTGCCTATGATTATGTGGGTAGGCCTATACTTGAGCCTGAAATGTGTTCAACTGAGTTTTTGCTGTGTCATCTTATAAAACTCTTAAGGCTTTGATCAACTCTCTAATAATTAGGCAGAACAAGCAATTATTACAACACAAAATCTAATTAGAAGTTCTGTTCAGAATTTTACACAGAGAAGTGAGAAGATTACCATCAGTGTTTGGGGTATTTTTCTGTCTTGAATCCTGGTTTGTTACACTCACAAATCAGTTCAGTCACAATTTACACAATTTAAGTCAAAAATGTTACAAACAGCTGACTTCAATGAGGAGCAGGATTTGGCCTTCTTGGCTTCCCAGATGGAATGAGGTCTTCATAATCATTTTAGGGCAACATTCGGGAAATTAAGTTATTGTTGAATGCTTTCTAAACACATTTAGTAAAAAACTTTTGATATTCTCTTTACACAACCACCTTCCAAGGATTTAGCAGGTATTTTTCAGAAAAAGGCAAAAAAAAAAAAAATGCAAGTAAAGTCATGCTGTATAAAAATAATCATGACAGCTGTGATGGAAACAGGAGGTTTTGGTACAATTGTATAAATGCCGAGAGAACATTTGTTCGTTCGACATGGTGGGATCTTTTTGTGTCTGTAAAATTATTTATGCGAGAAATGGCAGTGGAAATGCCTTTATGCGCAAATATTAATATAATAACCATCATATTGAAGTAAAGTTAGAGTCAAGCGATGAAATGGTATGTGGTCCTTCCACTACGACTCGGGAAACCATGCAGTTTATTAGGCTACAGATGAAATAAGTTATGATGAACTTCACAGGGTGGTGAAAGTGCACGGTATGAGCTTGAAGCTCCTTTCCAATAGATGTCGAGGTTCTTATTCTAGTGACATGATGATCGACGCTTGACTACCATTTGACAAATAAAGATATTCTCTTACCCATAATAATCTCATCATGTAGACTACACACACTGTATCTGCGAGCTGTTGGCTAGAGTGTACTTGCCAAGACCAGAGTAGGCACATTTGCTATTTAACACAACAGTTTGTGACAAAATGCGATGGAAACACATTGAACATTAGATTTTTATTCGGTACATGAAAACTTACGCGAAAAAATACATTGTGTGCACTACGTCATCACACACTGATTTTTATCCCCAACAAGTCATCTTGGTGGAAACACACCACTGGTGGGAAATTGTGCAGATTTTCTTTATGCAGATTTTAGAATATTCGCATGAAAATCTGTCGCCAATTGGATGGAAACCTAGCTACTGAAAACAAAACAATAAAACTCTTGCATAATTTACAAAACATGGTATTACTGTGCTCAGACGAGACTCGTATCTGTGTCAGGCTTTCCATTCTCATACCTTTTGCCCTGATCCCGAACTAAGGCAAAGTCTGATTCGCAAAACAAATATTTTGGGTATTAAAACGATGTCTTTTTTAAAAAGCAAACCAAAGTGGAATGGGCCAGGGTTTATCTAAAGCAGTGCTTCTCAATTCCGGCATGTAGGTGTGATGGTCATGAGTGAGAGGAACCGCAAAATGAAAGGTCATTGATTTAAAGTAACTGTCCATTGTTTCCAGATTTCTACGTAATATGACCTATAATTACTTACAATATGAGTGAAATTGTTTTTCTTCCAATTTTGTTTTTATTAAGTATGTTAAAAATCAGATTTTCTGTGTTGGAATGGTGTGGGCATACCGCAACAAAAGAATGGTGTGGGCGTATACAAGTCATTAAACACATTCATGCGAGTAGACCACTGATAGGACAGCTCATCCTCCTCTAGACCGCTGACATCATGCTCTATGAGGAAATAGCAAGCATTTTGTAAACAGTCTGTTTGTGATACAAGTTTGAGGTGGGGTGTTTTTTCTCCTATTTATGCTTTGGCCACAAATACTAATATAGGATGAGTCAACAACATTACTTGGGTATGAGTTATCAGAATATGCATTTTTAAAAGTGAGGTTTTTACTGGACAGTTCCTTTAAGACAAACATCTGGTAATGGACATTGTATTAATGAAGAGTAAAAACACATAAATCACATTTTCAGATATATGTGTACTGTATGTAAACATTTAATTTCACCTTTAAATACTTTCTTTTAATTTTAAGCAGACAACATTTTGTAAAAAATAAAATAATAATATTTAACTTTTGCCAAAAACACCTCCATTTCTCTTGGCTCCTGGTTGAGAGCTCACAGTCCAATCAGATTGTGCTACAGAGGTACATTTAGTCACTACCCATATTAAGGCGTAGTTATACATTTACTCTGTAGTAGTCCCCTGTTAAACAGCATTGCACAGCATTGCTTTCGATCCCATATGATTTACAAAAACACACTTACTCGGACATAGCCATAGTACACTTTGGCCACGCCACTATTGTTGCTTTATTTCCCACCATCACCACTCCTATATTGAAACAGGCCATTCAAAGTCTCCTTGGCAGCGAGTGCACAACAGTTTGTTACCTTTTCCCTATTTCACTTTGCCGTAGGAACTGAATGTTTTTAGCACTGTCCGCTAACTCCGGGTATAGCTCAATGGAAAGTACGTAGTACCCATCGTACCCCTGCACTTTCCCGTTGCTCAGAAGCTGCCTCTTCTCTCCCTCTGTCCATGGACGGCCTCCCTCCTCACCGTTGCTCACCTTCTGCTGTTCGTTGGCCCACGCACTCACTAACGCCCTCTGGCGGGCCAACTCAAGAACACGGGCTTTTTCCTCATCCAACGTGGAGCCGTAGCGCACGTGCAGCGCTAGTGGCCCCCGACCCAACTCCACGTCTGCGAAGCGGCGCGTCCGGCTGTCCATGACCATGGTGGACTGGGACACGCTGATGTTGACCCCATTCTCCAGGGTCTTATGGCCGCTGGTGAGGCGCAGCGCAGCCAGGTCACCGTCGGGCAGGCCAGGCTTGACAAAGTAGTGAGTGTCGCGGCCTTCCACGGTGAAGTGCAGGTTTTCCAGGTAGAAGGCGTTGTTGAGGACAGTGGCCACCTTGATGCAGTCCTCGTTGGCCACGTTGAGCGAGTGAGTGTGGGCAGTGCCCTTGTAGATGGCGAACATGACAGCCCTCCCGATAGGGGACTGGGCGGCTGAAAACCAGAACCAGGGCTTCTCACCTCGGCGGCCTCGGACCGCATAGACCTCCGGCAGCCGCTCAAACGACAGGAGGGCATGCGCCTGTCTGGTAACTTCCTGCTGGACCCCAGAGATGGACTGTAAAGAGAGTGCAGTGAAACGTTAACATCTGAGCGTGGCAGAACCTCACACTGCAGTCCATTCATGAGCAGAAGCAGGCTTCAAAGACTTTTCATGTGCCTGCAAGATAATTGTATTACCAGGCAGTGGGATAAAGCTAAAACAAGGTAAAATGCCAGTGGGGATTTTTTTTATATCAAGATTAACATGCAATTCATGACAGCGTAATAATCATTGAATAAACATTCATAACGATTGTGTTAACAATGATTGTGTTAACAAGTGGAAATGTCACGTATGTAGTGCTTAAAAATGTCTGTATGCATTGCTTATAAATTTGTAAGTATGATTATATTTGTGTTATGAATGTTTAATGCAAGGAAAACTATAACACTGTCTTGGACAGCAGAAAAAGTTATTAATTGGATACAACAAATGAAAAGTTTGAGATAAGTTATTTGTTACTCTTCCATATTACAGTTTTTCCCAGTTGTTTACACACTAAAACTGGCCCATGAGGCATAATGGCCCAAAACTGTAACTAATTTAGCAGAACCATACACCAAATCTGCAATACTATCAACACGTTTTGCTTTACACTCAGAATGCAATTCTATAACAAACATTTGGCAAAACATAACACACAATTCTCTACTTTGGCAGAACCTTCACAACTAAAACCTATTGTGTGCGAATGAAAAGCAACACTGTTCAACAAGCTAAGCTCAATTACCAATTGATCACTTTCACTGTTCACATGTGCAAACACTATTTGCGTAAGTGTTCACTTTGCAATCAGACCTTTGGTATGGATAAAAAGGCTACAAGTGAGTACTCCTGTGTTTGGAGAACAAAGGAAGCAAACTTGGCAGAGAGAGGTAGAGATAGAGGTGGAGGTGGTGGTAGAGGTAGAGGTAGAGGTGGAGGTGGAGGTGAAGGTGGAGGTGGAGGTGAAGGAAGACTAAGAACAAGGAGAGTTAACCCCTGATGAAATTCGGGAGACTGTGGTGGACCATGTGGTCAACCATTGTTTGACCTTAAGAGGGGCAGAGAGTGCAGCCCAATCTGAGACGCTTCACCGTAGCATCCATCATTCGGACGTTCCAAAATGAGAATAGGTATGTCCTGCAGACACTTACAGCCTCGAGTCTTCTTGGGTATGACGCTACAAGCTTGGCACACCTGTATTTAGGGAGTTTCTCCCATTCTTCTCTGCAGATCCTCTCAAGCTCTGTCAGGTTGGATGGGAAGCGTCGCTGCACAGCCATTTCCAGGTCTCTCCAGAGATGTTCGATTGGGTTCAATTCCGGGCTCTGGCTGGGCCACTCAAGAACATTCGGAGACTTGTCCCGAAGCCACTTCTGCGTTGTCTTGGCTGTATGCTTAGGGTCATTGTCCTGTTGAAAGGTGAACCCTCGCCCCAGTCTGAGGTCCTGAGCGCTCTGGAGCAGGTTTTCATCAATGATCTCTCTGTACTTTGCTCTGTTCATCTTTCCCTCGATCGTGACTAGTCTCCCAGTCGCTGAAAAACATCCCCACAGCATGATGCTGCCACCACCATGCTTCCTCCAGATGTGACGCTTTACATTCAGGCCAAAGAGTTCAATCTTGGTTTCATCAGACCAGAGAATCTTGTTTCTCATGGTCTGAGAGTCCTTTAGGTGCCTTTTGGCAAACTCCAAGCAAGCTGTCATGTGCCTTTTACTGAGGAGTGGCTTCCGTCTGGCAAATCTACCATAAAGGCCTGATTGGTGGAGTGCTGCAGAGATGGTTGTCCTTCTGGAAGGTTCTCCCATCTCCACAGAGGAACTCTGGAGCTCTGTCAAAGTGACCATCGGGTTCTTGGTCACCTCCCTGACCAAGGCTCTTCTCCCCGATTGCTCAGTTTGGCCGGGCGGCCAGCTCTAGGAAGAGTCTTGGTGGTTCAAAACTTCTTCCATTTAATAATGACAGATGCCACTGTGTTCTTGGAGACCTTCAATGCTGCAGAAATGTTTTGGTACCCTTCCCCAGATCTGTGCCTCAACACAGTCTCTGAGCTCTACGGACAATTCCTTCGACCTCATGGCTTGGTTTTTGCTCTGACATGTACTGTCTACTGTGGGACCTTATAAAGACAGGTGTGTGCCTTTCCAAATCATGACCAATCAATTGAATTTACCACAATCAAGTTGTAGAAAAATATCAAGGATGGAAACAGGATGCACCTGAGCTCAATTTTGAGTCTCATAGCAAAGGGTCTGAATACTTATGTAAATAAGGTATTTCTGTTTTTTATTTATAATACATTTCCCCAAAACAATAAAAACCTATTTTTGCTTTGTCCTTATTGGGTATTATGTGTAGATTCTGGATGGTAGCGGGGTGTACAGGCCGTGGCTTGGGTGGTTGATGTCCTTGATTATATTTTTTTGTTTTGGTCCGGCCACAGACTTTCATCAACATCACAGGCGATATTCTCCTTGGCCAGACAGCGGGAGAAATATCTTCTAGCATGACGCATCCACCCCTGACAGGACTCTGCTGGAATGTCACCACAGGCCTCCATCAATGCCTGGAGAAGGGCAATACGTTCATGGGGTCCTCTGTAGCTCAGTTGGTAGAGCATGGCGCTTGTAACGCCAAGGTAGTGGGTTCGATCCCCGGGACCACCCATACACAAAAAATGTATGCACGCATGACTGTAAGTCGCTTTGGATAAAAGCGTCTGCTAAATGGCATTATTATAGATTGATGAGGATTTTGTAAATGTAATACATTTTAGAATAAGGCTGTAACATAACAAAATGTGGAAAAAGTGAAGGGGTCTGAATACTTTCCGAATGCACTGTATGTATGAAATTGGGAGCTATACTACTTTGTAACATGTTTATCTTGTATGCTGTATTACTGTACACTTTACTGTACTGTATGCTATTTGTTTTTGTAGAACTGAAAGACGACCACCACGTGGTGGTAGAACGCGTCTATTTACAGACGAACAGGAGCCTGCCATTGTGCAAATGATAGTTTAAAATAATGCCATAAGACTGAGGGAAATCCAACAACTAATTATTGAAAACCCTGCCATCTTCCATAACATCAGAGTGAGCTTATCAACCATAGCCCGGATCCTTAAGAAACACCATCTCCGGATGAAAATAATCTACAGAGTCCCATTTGAAAGGAATTCCCAAAGAGTGAATAATAAAATGGTACGAATATGTGCAAGTAAGTTATGTACTAGTACTACACTCTTGAAACAGAGATTATACAGCAATTACAGTATTTACTGTCATTTCAGAGAATCATGGATTTGGATGCAAGTCCCATCCCCCAGGAACTCATGTTCATAGATGAGGCTGGGTTCAATTAAGTGAAGACGAGGAGGAGAGGAAGGAACATCATTGGTCAACGCGCCATCACTGAGGTACCTGGCCAGCGTGAAGGAAATGTCATCATATGTGCAGCTATGAGCCACAATGGGGTCCTTCATCGCCATGCCACCCTTGGACCATACAGCACTCCCCATCTCCTTAATTTCCTGAACACCTTACATTCAAATGTTTTTCAGCCAGAGCACCAGGTGATCCTGAGCAGCAAATGTATGTTCTAATTTGGGAAAAAGTCGAGTTTCCGTCAGGCTACTCAAGTCTGCAACTGGTTTCATGACCATCCCAGGTTTACAATTCTATATCTCCCACCATATTCCCAATTTCTCAACCCAATTGAGGACTTGTTTTCAGCATGTTGGTGGAAGGTGTATGATCGCAAACCCCATGAACGTATTGCCCTTCTCCAGGCATTGATGGAGGCCTGTGGTGACATTCCAGCAGAGTCCTGTCAGGGGTGGATGCGTCATGCTAGAAGATATTTCTCCCGCTGTCTGGCCAAGGAGAATATCGCCTGTGATGTTGATGAAAGTCTGTGGCCGGACCAAAACTAAAAAATATAATCAAGGACATCAACCACCCAAGCCACGGCCTGTACACCCCGCTACCATCCAGAAAGCGAGGACAGTACAGGTACATCAAAGCTGGGACCAAGAGACTGAGGCCTCAAGGCCATCAGACTGTTAAATAGCCATCACTAGCCAGCTACCACCCAGTTACTCAACCTTGCACTTTAGAGGCTACTGCTCTATATACATAGTCATGGAATCACTGGTCACTTTAATAATGTTTACATACTGCTTTACTCATTTCATATGTACAGTGGGGGGGAAAAGTATTTAGTCAGCCACCAATTGTGCAAGTTCTCCCACTTAAAAAGATGAGAGAGGCCTGTAATTTTCATCATAGGTACACGTCAACTATGACAGACAAAATGAGGAAAAAAATTCCAGAAAATTACATTGTAGGATTTTTTATGAATTTATTTGCAAATTATGGTGGAAAATAAGTTTTTGGTCAATAACAAAAGTTTCTCAATACTTTGTTATATACCCTTTGTTGGCAATGACACAGGTCAAACGTTTTCTGTAAGTCTTCACAAGGTTTTCACACACTGTTGCTGGTATTTTGGCCCATTCCTCCATGCAGATCTCCTCTAGAGCAGTGATGTTTTGGGGCTGTCGCTGGGCAACACGGACTTTCAACTCCCTCCAAAGATTTTCTATGGGGTTGAGATCTGGAGACTGGCTAGGCCACTCCAGGACCTTCAAATGCTTCTTACGAAGCCACTCCTTCGTTGCCCGGGCGGTGTGTTTGGGATCATTGTCATGCTGAAAGACCCAGCCACGTTTCATCTTCAATGCCCTTGCTGATGGAAGGAGGTTTTCACTCAAAATCTCAAGATACATGGCCCCATTCATTCTTTCCTTTACACGGATCAGTCGTCCTGGTCCCTTTGCAGAAAAACAGCCCCAAAGCATGATGTTTCCACCCCCATGCTTCACAGTAGGTATGGTGTTCTTTGGATGCAACTCCGCATTCTTTGTCCTCCAAACACGACGAGTTGAGTTTTTACCAAATATTTATATTTAGGTTTCATCTGACCATATGACATTCTCCCAATCCTCTTCTGGATCATCCAAATGCACTCTAGCAAACTTCAGACGGGCCTGGACATGTACTGGCTTAAGCAGGGGGACACGTCTGGCACTGCAGGATTTGAGTCCCTGGCGGCGCAGTGTGTTACTGATGGTAGGCTTTGTTACTTTGGTCCCAGCTCTCTGCAGGTCATTCACTAGGTCCCCCCGTGTGGTTCTGGGATTTTTGCTCACCGTTCTTGTGATCATTTTGACCCCACGGGGTGAGATCTTGCGTGGAGCCCCAGATCGAGGGAGATTATCAGTGGTCTTGTATGTCTTCCATTTCCTAATAATTGCTCCCACAGTTGATTTCTTCAAACCAAGCTGCTTACCTATTGCAGATTCAGTCTTGCCAGCCTGGTGCAGGTCTACAATTTTGTTTCTGGTGTCCTTTGACAGCTCTTTGGTCTTGGGCATAGTGGAGTTTGGAGTGTGACTGTTTGAGGATGTGGACAGGTGTCCTTTATACTGATAACAAGTTCAAACAGGTGCCATTAATACAGGTAACGAGTGGAGGACAGAAGATCCTCTTAAAGAAGAAGTTACAGGTCTGTGAGAGCCAGAAATCTTGCTTGTTTGTATGTGACCAAATACTTATTTTCCACCATAATTTGCAAATAAATTCATAAAAAATCCTACAATGTGATTTTCTGGATTTTTTTCCCTCAATTTGTCCGTCATAGTTGACGTGTACCTACAGTGAGGGAAAAAAGTATTTGATCCCCTGCTGATTTTGTACGTTTGCCCACTGACAAAGACATGATCAGTCTATAATTTTAATGGTAGGTTTATTTGAACAGTGAGACACAGAATAACAACAAAAAAATCCAGAAAAACGCATGTCAAAAATGTTATAAATTGATTTGCATTTTAATGAGGGAAATAAATATTTGACCACTCTGCAAAACATGACTTAGTACTTGGTGGCAAAACCCTTGTTGGCAATCACAGAGGTCAGATGTTTCTTGTAGTTGGCCACCAGGTTTGCACACATCTCAGGAGGGATTTTGTCCCACTCCTCTTTGCAGATCTTCTCCAAGTCATTAAGGTTTCGAGGCTGACGTTTGGCAGCTCGAACCTTCACCTCCCTCCACAGATTTTCTATGGGATTAAGGTCTGGAGACTGGCTAGGCCACTCCAGGAACTTAATGTGCTTCTTCTTGAGCCACTCCTTTGTTGCCTTGGCTGTGTGTTTTGGGTCATTGTCATGCTGGATTACCCATCCACGACCCATTTTCAATGCCCTGGCTGAGGGAAGGAGGTTCTCACCCAAGATTTGACGGTACATGGCCCTGTTCATCGGCCCTTTGATGCGGTGAAGTTGTCCTGTCCCCTTAGCAGAAAAACACCCCCAAAGCATAATGTTTCCACCTCCATGTTTGACGGTGGGGATGGTGTGCTTGGGGTCATAGGCAGCATTCCTCCTACTCCAAACATGGCGACTTGAGCTGATGCCAAAGAGCTCCATTTTGGTCTCAGCTGACCACAACACTTTCACCCTGTTCTCCGCTGAATCATTCAGATGTTCATTGGCAAACTTCAGACGGGCCTGTATATGTGCTTTCTTGAGCAGGGGGACCTTGCGAGCGCTGCAGGATTTCAGTCTTTCACGGCGTAGTGTGTTACCAATTGTTTTCTTGGTGACTATGGTCCCAACTGCCTTGAGATCATTGACAAGATCCTCCCGTGTAGTTCTGGGCTGATTCCTCGCCGTTCTCATGATCATTGCAACTCCACGAGGTGAGATCTTGCATGGAGCCCGAGGCCGAGGGAGATTGACAGTTCGTTTGTGTTTCTTCTATTCGCGAATAATCGCAACAACTGTTGTCACCTTCTCACCAAGCTGCTTGGCGGTGGTCTTCTAGCCCATTCCAGCCTTGTGTAGGTCTACAATCTTGTTCCTGACATCTTTGGAGAGCTCTTTGGTCTTGGCCATGTTGGAGAGTTTGGAATCTGATTGATTGATTGCTTCTGTGGACAGGTGTCTTTTTTACAGGTAACAAACTGAGATTAGGAGCACTCCCTTTAAGAGTGTGCTCCTAATCTCAGCTCCTTACCTGTATAAAAGACACCTGGGAGCCAGAAATCTTTCTGATTGAGAGGGGGTCAAATACTTATTTCCCTCATTAAAATGCAAATCAATTTATAACATTTTTGACATGCGTTTTTCTGGATTTTTTTGTTGTTATTCTGTCTCTCACTGTTCAAATAAACCTACCGTTAAAATTATAGACTGATAATTTCTTTGTCAGTGGGCAAACGTACAAAATCAGCAGGGGATCAAATACTTTTTTCCACTCACTGTATGATGAAAATTACAGGCCTCTCTCATCTTTTTAAGTGGGAGAACTTGCACAATTGGTGGCTGACTAAATACTTTTTTCCCCCACTGTATATACTGTATTCTATTCTACTGTATTTTTGTCAATGCCACTCCGACATTGCTCTTCCTAATATTTATATATTTCTTAATTCCATTCCTTTACTTTTAGATTTGTGTGTGTTGTTGTGAATTGTTAGATACTACTGCACTGTTGGAGCTAGGAACACAAGCATTTCGCTACATCCGCAATAACATCTGCTAAATATGTGTATGTGACCAATAAAATAAAATGTGATATATATTTACTGTATGTTTGCATTTCTACTGTATGTGTGCTTACAGTATGCTGTTTAAAATGTATTGAGTCACGTTGAGATCTAAAAATCAAATGTTTGCATTTGGTGTGACTTTCTGGTTTGAGTACACACAAACAAACACAGTATAACAACAACATCTTAGTCTTTACACTGAAATAGGTTCTGATAGTAGTTTTGAATATATCACATTAGTGTGATCTCGGTTGTCACTAAGTTAGATTCATTTGATTTGCGTGTGTCTCATTTGTATGCAGAGTTTCATTTTGAGCAGGGAGTACATGATTTTGATTACTGCGTTTATTTTGCAAGATGTCTGTGGGGTTTGGGGAAATTGGCTAACTGTTTTGTGTTTAGAGTACCTGAGATGTAGTTTCAGCAAACGTGTGTTAACAATTGGGAAAAACTGTAATCAAAGAACAAATGTAAATGCAATTTTTTACTTGTTCCTATGCAAAAGCTGTCCAATTAAATGGGATGCTATGGGCTAACCAGCATTCCAATTAAAAACATGGGGCTACAGAACAAAATATACATTTAATAGAAAGCAACTGTAGAGCAGAAGCGATTACATGCTTCTTTTCACCAAGGAATTTTGTTTGTTTGTCAAAGTGCTTGATATTCAGCCAGCAAACAACTATGGTCTTTTAGATCACCCTGCTTACTTTACATTTAACTAATATATGGATTGCAAATAGCATGACAATAACTGAGATTTTGAAATAATGTCAGATATGAAACCAACCGGTAGATCGTCCCAAAGCTGGCTCTTCTTCAGTTCATAGGAGGGGTGGGTCAGGTCAAACTTTGGGACTGGGAAGCCAGGAATGGTGTTGTGTAGATGGAACCCAAAGGTCACTAGCCAGCTATTCACATCTACATGGGACAAATAAGAGCAGAGTCATAATAAATATTTCATGGCATGGTTATGTCAAGGTAGAAAATATGGTAATGTTTTATAATATAAGTAATTTGTGTCTTAGTTATCATTAATAAGCTCGAATTACATGCATGAACAAAGTATGTATAAACATTTCAACTTTTGAATAACATGTATACACTACGTGCACATTGAATATTAGTAAGTAAAATAATAGTGACAATAAATATCCTACCTGCCACATATTCTCTCACTTCATGTACTTTGCTGATGGGGTTGTTGTTTCTGAACATATAGAGATTAAAAGGACCTGGCTCTTTCCCCACTCGTTTCCACGTGCTGATGTCAGGCACAGTCCACCTGCCGGGCATAATGTCATAGTCCCTCTCACCAAAATGCAACAATTTGGTCAGCGGGTCATAGAGTCCCCCGTGGAACCCCAGCACCAGTTGAAATTCTGGGTTGGAGTCAAAGTAGATCTCCCCGTACGCTGTGTACTGGACCTGCTTGATCAGGAGGCCGTTGCTGGTGAATACGGCAAGAGGGGTTCCGGTGTTGTCACAGGCGATGTAGTACTCCTCTCCGCTGCTGATCTCCTGGGCAAACAGGTGGCCCTGCAGGTCATAGTAGAGTGAGGTGATCTCCGAGCTGGAGTGATTGTAAACGTGGGTGATTCTGCTGGGGTAGCTCAGGTCCGCGTAGAAGTATTGCAGGTGCTGCCCTAGGCTGGTCTTGGTGGACACCCTTCGTCCCAGGCCGTCGTAGCGGTACTGGATGGTCCAGCCATTGCTCTTGCTATAGACGCGGGCCAGGAGGCCTTTGGAGTTGTACTCAAAGATCTCAGAACCTCGCTGGCGGAGGAAGCCATCCTCGTCCATGCGGTACTGTATGTCTCCCAGGCGGGTGATGCGGTCGCGGAGATCGTAGCGCAGGGGGATTAGGCGGGCGCCGTTACCTGGGTTCAGTAGGTGGATGTTGCCGTTCAGGTCGTAGGTGTAGCGCCACATGACCTTGTCATTGAGGTAGACTGTCTGGAGCTGGCCATCCACGTCATACTCGTAGCCGTACTTGGTGGTGTTGGCAAATGGTCCGATCTTGATCTCCCTCTTGGTACATCGTCCCACGTCGTCGTACTGGAAAGTGATCCAGTACATGAGCGATCGGAAGATCTCGTACTGGATCTCCTTGATCCGTCCGTGTGCGTCAAAGTGCTTTGTGTAGGTCATAATGGCCGTGGAAATTATCTGGTTGATGTCATAGTAGATGACGCCGAACTTGCCGAACTGCTCGACTTTGCCGGAGATATCGTCGAACTGGTAGAGGTCGATGGGCAGCGGGGTCTCGTTGATGACACCCTGCACGCTAGTAATGCGTAGGCTGCTGTCATAGGTGTAGTCGAAGCGGGCGTTAACCATGCCGTCCTCGCTGAAGCGGAAGATCTGCCGGTCCACCAAGGGGCCCACTTGACGATAGCGGATCGAACAGATAAAGCCCTCGCTCTGCAGGTTGACCGTCTTTAGCACGCCCGCCATCTCGTCATAGGTGAAGCTGACCCGTGTGATGTCGTACAGGACTTCGGCAAGCTTGTTCTGTCGCCGATACTTGTAGAGGACCTGGCGGCCGGTGCCCAAGTGTGCCACTCGCTGGAGGAGGCTGTCCTCGCTGTAGTCCACAGCGACAGAGGCATTGCTGTCGGGCGGGTGAAAGAGGTTGCGGTAGTAGCCCACCGAGCGGACCGTCTGCATGGTGTAGCGTGCCACACTGGGCATGGTGACTGCAGATAGCCGATCCTGAGAGTCAAAGTCGAAGATGTACTGACGCTGGCTGTGGAGCAGGAGCACCATTGACTAGAGGAAAGATGAGGGAAGGGAGAACAACATTATTTACAGTACTTTAAATATTCATTTTTATACGGTCCATAAATGCTATGTTTTATTAATACAAATAATGATACATACACCACCAGCTCACTAAATAGCCTAAACAATTGCATCAGACATTCACACGTTTATTTCTGGCTCCTTAAATCCTTGCAGACTCAGAGTTAACTCATATGCACTTTGGATGCTAGAAGTGCTTTCAGTGGGCTGCCACCCTTCCTGTGAAAATGCCATGCCCAGTCAACCGTTGTCACACTGCGTGTCCTTGAGCTCCCAAGGCTTTCAGTGTGCCCCATGTTTCTCTGTTGACACAGCCTATCCTGGTCACGCGATGAGCTCAAGGAGGGTGAGGAAATCTCTGCATGGTTTTGCATGAGGAAAAGTCCTTGCAGCCGAGTCCTGCAGTAAGTGATCTCACTTATTTTAAGTTCTGCGAGGAGTTATGTTCTTAGGGAAGTTTGCGAGGTGTTAACATAATGAACAGCTGTAATGTGGGCAAGTACATTATGTGTGGATGTGTGTGTGTGTGAGATTTAAAAGTTCTGCTTAAGCAAGGTGTGTGTGGCATCGATTTTAATATACAATTACTTTGACCATCAAAAGTACTCCATTTGTGTTTGTGCATTGATCGACCAGTGGAGAACCAAAGCATTTTATAGAGTCGCTTCAACCCTCACCTTGTCCAGATAGGTGTAACTCCACCTCTTCCCGTCAGCAAACACCCTGGACACGAGGCGTCCCTGACTGTCATACTCCAACCGCTCCGTGGTCGGCCCCCTCTGGAGGGCATTGATCTGCCCATTGCTGGTCCGGCTGACGTTCACAGGCAGCAGCTTACTGCTGGGCACCCACAGCACAGGGTGGCCAGCGCCGTCATAGATAATCTTCAGCAGGAACTTCCTGTGGTCGTCGTATATCTTCTCCGTCCTCAGCGTACGGTCATAATCAACCGACAGAATGTTCCGGCCGTTCACCTGTTAGTTGGTAATATGTGTATTGGATCAAAGCCCAGACAAAACAAAAACAAACAGAGAGTGCACTTACTGTTTTGTCTGGCTGCCTGTTAAAATGGCATTTAGTGTGATTGCCACTCTTTGGCATTCAGTGTGAGGAGATTAACAGCTCCTTCAATGGCTTCATTAAACTCTGGCATTTGCTCAGCAAGTCTTAAATCCCCCCCCTAAATTTAGTAGGGACAAAATTGCTGTTAACCCTTTACACTCAAGGGAATTGGCCTATATGGATAGGGGTACATTTTAAATGTTTCTTACAGAAGAAATGCATTACCATAGCAGCAATTGAAAGGGAACAGTTTGGAGATTAGCTGTAAATAATGAGACCAAACTTGAGGTCACAACAGTTCACCTGACAAGACTGAATCCAAACATTACACTGTTGATTGTATGTGCATTTTACATTTACTTTACTTTTCACAGCATTTGTTGATAACGAAATCTGAAAATACTCTGGATATATTCAGTAACATGATAAGAATATTCCTAGAAAATGTGGGGTAGGTGTAACATAAGACCAAAAACATCACAAGGGTTTAAGTGAAAGGACAAACTGGTGTCGCCAAGTGACCACACACACCTCTCCAATGTGTGCACATTTCCTAAGTAATTGTAATGCACTTTTATGACTCAAATAAGAGACTTCAACTATAAGGTGCTTTTTGAGCTCTCCTAGCTGTGCCGTTGAGGAACTAGAGCAAGCACACTTGTAGTTGTTTTGTTTGGAACACAACCCTGCATCCCCACCATCACACAATCACTGTTGCTCTTTTTTGCAATCCAAAAACGGTCCATTATAAATCGCAATCTTGGTCAGGTGGGCATCATTTGAAGGCCTGTTCTATTGCCAACATGACTAGCTAAGTTATAAAATACGATATTAAAGTGTTAGGCTTGCAATTCAGGGAAACAGATCAGAATTTTGGTGAGCATACAAAGGAGTCATGAGTGCCTTCAGGAACGTGTGCCGCTGCAAATTTTCTTCACAATAGACAAACATAGGCTCATTCTGTTTCAGAATAACCCAGGGTATGACACCATGTCATCTTGTAACTGTACATCAAACAGTGATCATAAACGTTGACACTGTTAATGACATGAGCTTTATGATATGGAAATGTGAAGTGCACATTTGGACAGGTGTTTGGCTTGAACGTATGACATCAAAGCGGTACTTATTACAATCCTTAACGTCTCATCTTTCAAAATATGTAGAGTCCTCTTACTATACAGCATTTCCCTCACTCAGACAACAAAACATTTGCAAAAGTTGCCCAATTAGCGGAAGGGAATGGGGCAACTCCTTGTCGAGCAAGGTGCTCAAGTTTAAAAGGGCTGTCAGTCAAAACCCATACAGCGCTGCGAAGCACAGAGTCAGAGCTCTGACGTCATGTATAGCATGTTACTGTACAGCCACTGCGGTTCCAATTTAGGCATTTATCAGTGCCCAAATCTTGATGCTGCCAGGGAGTTAAGTGTCACAGTTAATATAAGTGACTGAACACCAATATGTTTACATTTACATTTTAGTCATTTAGCAGACGCTCTTATCCAGAGCGACTTACAGGTAGTGAATGCATACAAGTTTTTTTTAATTTCTTATACTGGCTCCCCGTGGGAAACGAACCCACATCCCTGCCGGCCAAACCCTCCCCTACCTTGGACGACGCTGGACCAATTGTGCGCCGCCCATATATGTCTTGGAAATAAGTGAAACTCTCTGAATAAAACAGTGAAACTCACCCTTAGCTTGCGCCCAAAAACGATGACTTTGCCCCTGGCCTGCTCCTTGCGGAAGCGCCACTCAACCAGATTCTGCCCACTCTCCCCTGGCAAACTCATGTTACGCCGTGCCACTGTGGGGTTGGCAGTGCCCGCCAGGATGTGGGGCTCTGTCTGGTAGTGGGTGTCCATTCCGTTGGCATAGGTGATTCTCAGAGAGTTATCATAGCCCACCTGATAACTGCTTCTACATTGATCTGAAAATATAAAAAGACAGGGTCATAATTGATAACATTGTACTGTGATTATAAATTATTGTTGTGGATACTCAGGGAAATCTTGCCTATGTCATGTTAGATAACAATAACACTACCTTCCAATAGAAAAACAGATGAACATTAGAAAAGGACTATAGAACTACAATAAACGGAAGAATTCACTAAATAGCTTGAAACAAAATACAAAACGTAAAGATACAAGGTTTCTGCTCATCTCACACACTGAAGGAGTAATCATTTACACTGTCTTCTGTCAAACCGCTCACCCATAATGATACATGACTTAAGCTTAATCAACATTGCTCTGAGACCCCAGCAACAATGACAAATAACCACCTTTAAAATGGCAGCCTGAACTGTTTGTCTATCAGCAACACAGAGGAGGAGATGTGTGGATTAAGGCGTCAGCATGCTTCAGTTCGGCTGGCGGCTAGCCGAAGTCGGCTAGGCGAACCAAACGAGTGTGCTCGCATACTCCCTTGAAAGACCTTTGGTTGAAAAACGAGCAAAAAGTGGCAATAGTACCGTTTGTCCATTTTGAGACGCCGTAGCCAGTATACACTTCCTCAAAATAGTCAGAATTAATCTAAGATAACTCAAGAAATCTATCATTACTTTTGACGTTTTTGACGAATAAATCCTAGTCGAGCAATTTTACGTCTAACTAAGATGTTTGGTGCAGTATTTCTCAATGAAAAAATTTGCATAAAACGAGTAGTCTCTCGTTGAATGACAACAAAGACTTTATTGAAGAATTCCTACTGACCAATCACCGATGAAGGGGCGTAGACTTCGGCTTGCCTCCAGAAAAATGTTGTGTGCCTGAACAGCTGAAAAACCCTCACTGAAGTCCAAAACAAACAAAAAATTCATGGTGTAGCCGGAGGACAGCTAGTTTCTGTCCTCCTCTGGGTACATTGACTTCAATACAAAACCTAGGAGGCTCATGGTTCAGTGATAAACTGCTTGCTGTACACTGTACTGCATGATTGTAGCGGGTTTAGTAACACGTTAGTCCTAGTAGCTACAGTGCCTTTGGAAAGTATTCAGACCCTGTTACTTTTTCCACATTTTGTTATATTACAGCCTTATTCTAAAATGGATTAAATAAATCCTCATCAATCTACACACAATACCCCATGATGACAAAGCGAAAACATTTTTATTTTTATTTTAGCAAGTGTATTAAAAATAAAAAACAGAAATAACTTATTTACATAAGTATTCAGACCCTTTGCTAAGAGACTCGAAATTGAGCTCAGGTGCATCCTGTTTTCATTGATCATCCTTGAGATGTTTTTACAACTTGATTGTAGTCCACCTGTGGTAAATTCAATTGATTGGACATGATTTGGAAAGGCACACACCTGTCTATATAAGGTCCCTCAGTTGACAGTGCATGTCAGAGCAAAAACCAAGCCATGAGGTCAAAGGAATTGTCCGTAGAGCTCTGAGACAGGATTGTGTTGAGGCACAGATCTGGGGAAGGGTACCAAACAATTTCTGTAGCATTGAAGGTCCCCAAGAACACAGTGGCCTCCATCATTCTTAAATGGAAGAAGTTTGAGAACCACCAAGACTCTTCCTAGAGCTGGCCGCCCGGCCAAACTGAGCAATCGGGGGAGAAGGGCCTTGGTCAGGGAGGTGACCAAGAACCATATGGTCACTCTGACAGAGCTCTAGAGTTCCTCTGTGGAGATGGGAGAAACTTCCAGAAGGACAACCATCTCTGCAGCACTCCACCAATCAGGCCTGTATGGTAGATTGGCCAGACGGAAGCCACTCCTCAGTAAAAGGCACATGACAGCCCGCTTGGAGCTTGCCAAAAGGCACCTAAGACTCTCAGGCCATCAGAAACAAGATTCTCTGGTCTGATGAAACCAAAATTGAACTCTCTGGCCTGAATGCCAAGCGTCACGTCTGGAAGAAACCTGGCAGCATCCCTACGGTAAAGTATGGTGGTGGCAGCATCATGCTGTGGGGATGCTTTTCAGCAGCAGGGACTGGGAGACTAGTCAGGATCGAGGCAAAGCTGAATGGAGCAAAGTAAAGAGAGATACTTTATGAAAACCTGCTCCAGAGTGCTCTAGACCTCAGACTGGGGCGAAGGTTCACCTTCCAACAGGACCACGACCCTAAGCACACAGCCAAGACAACGCAGGAGTGGCTTCGAGACAAGTCTCTGAATGTCCTTGAGTGGCCCAGCAAGAGCCCGTACTTGAACCCGATCGAACATATCTGGAGACACCTGAAAATAGCTGTGCAGCAATGCTCCCCATCCAACCTGACAGAGCTTGAGAGGATCGCTAGAGAAGAATGAGAGAAACTCCCAAAATACAGGTGTGCCAAGCTTGTTACGTCATACCCAAGATAACTTGATGCTGTAATCGCTGCCAAAGGTTCTTCAACCAAGTAATGAGAAAAGGGTCTGAATACTTATGTAAATGTGATATCAGTTTTTTATTTGTAATACATTTGCAAAAGTTGATAAAATCCTGTTTTTGCTTCGTCATTATGGGGTATTGTGTGTAGATTGATGAGGAAAAAAACTATTTAATCAATTTTAGAATAAGGCTGTAACGTAACAAAATGTGGAAAAAGTCAAGGGGTCTGAATACTTTCCGAAGGTACTGTATGTTGACTACGATGATAGCTAATATGGTGACAATGACGTAGGCTGTGTGTAGTGGTTAGCGGTTATGGTATGAAGGTTTGGCTTGGAAAGGTTTTATCGCCTGGTCACAGACAGCTGTTGTGTTGCCCACTGAAGTCCACAAGCTAAGGGAAAAGGTGAGAGGAGGAGAGCGTATAGATGCGAGAAGGAGTTATACAACGAGCAAAGTGATCATACTGTTTTTATGTGGCTTCTATGAAAGTGAACTGTGTTTGCGGGTGATCAGGGGTGTATTCATTCCGCCGATTCTGTTGATAAACACTTCTTAACTGGAAGCAAACGGAACGAAACGGGGATAAACATACCTGAATTTGTCCAATAGAAACACTCGTCTGCAACTGTTTGGACTAATGATTACACCCTAGATCAGCTAGATGCAGGCAAGAGTGTGCAAGGCGGTATTGATTACTCTAATTTTTCTCTCGACCTGTGCATAGGCATAATTAGAGTATCATGTAGTAGCCTAAACCTATCGATGTTACATTGAGCTGGGTGAATGGAATCTGAATGTCAGTCATCCAATATGCTGTAATAGAAATATTGCCATGCTCATAAAAACAAAACTGTCCTCCCTAATCTTAACCGGCATCTACCGCCACTGATATGCACGAACTCTACCGAACTGTTTCGGCTGGGAAGTATGGGGACGCCTTTACCCTGAGCCAGTGTATAGAAGGCACGGATGGTGGAGGTATTGGTGGTAATACTAATTTCCTCTTCAGTCAAGGAGCTCTCAATGTCCACAGTCAAGGCCCTGTAGATGTCGGTGTACAGGTTTTTCACTGTTCCGGTGGGGAATGTCACGTTCATTATCCTGCCTTCGCTGTCATAGCTGAAAGATAGAGAGAACTTTATGTAAAGGTGATCATTGTGATTCATGAATTCTTTCATCGATGCATGGTGTCATTTTGTCGAGCATATCTAGCCAACAACCTCACACACAGTCACCACATGGTCTCTTTTTACGTAACTTGGTAGAATAACCTTTAAAAGGATCAAAATATGACACTGTAGGCAAACTTCCGAGTGTGTGTCAATGTGAAGGAAGTCACTGACTGCCACCAAATTAAAATCAAACCTGAATATACTGTACATTCATTGTAAGTTGAAAGCAGCAACTTACCTTATGATCAAGTATTTATCTAGTCAGGCTCTCATCACCCTAAAAAGTGAAGGTCTACTCTGACATTGGAAAAATCAGTCCCTCCTACTTCTGTATACTCACTCGTAGAATGTGGTCCAGCCGATTTCTGAGGTTTTGGTAGCCAGCAGGCCAGTGTTACCATGGTAGGTGAGTAGCACCAGTTCCTGGCCCTGAGCTGTCAAGGTCTTTAGCCCACCGTTGGTCCCCATGATCAGCCAGATGACCTGGTTGTCGGGGGCGACTATGCGCACGGGCATGCGGTTGGGGTCGCGGCGGATCCTCAGGGTGTTCCCATTGCTATCGGTCACAGCGGTAACGTCGTTCTCCATGCTGTAGCTGAAAGTGTACTTAAAGTCACCCGTCAGGAGGCTGGAGGTGTGTTGGTGGGTACCGTTGGCGTCAAAGACATACACTTCCTGGACATCAGGTGACGCCACTTCAAAGGTGTTGGTGCTAGAGGTCAACACAGGCCCGTTTCTACCAACAGCACGGATGCGGATGTTGCCCAGGTCTGCCACGTACAGGGTGCCATCGGGCGCCACGACCAGAGAGGATGGGGCGTTGAGACGGGCGTCTTTGGCGTAGCCCTCGCCGGTCTGGTAACAGTCGCAGTTGACGTCGTTCTTACAATCACAGTCGGAGGGCGACCCTGCCAGATGGGTTATTTCACCGTCGACGGATATCGTTCGGATTCGGCTAAGCTTCCGTTCGTCAGTTTCGGCGACGAAGATGGCGCCATAGTAGGAAACGGCGATGGCAACAGCGGACTCCAGGGGCGTCAGCGCAGCCCTTTGACCTCCGGCTTCCCCGCGGTCCATCCCGGCCAACGGGCAGTGGATGGGCCGGCCCGCTGCAATGCTGACCTGGCCGTTCTCAGTGATTCGTAAGACCACATTGTTGTCCAGGATGTACAGGGAGTTATCCATGGGGCTGACCGCTAGGTCGGTGGGCCACTCCAGGAGCACCTGCAGATAGGGACATTGTTATAGGCACCACAGAGATGTGGCATTAAGACATTACTTTCTCTCAGATATGTGACATTGAGACATGACTTTCTCACAGAGATGTGGTATTGAGACATCCCTGTCTCCTGAAATTATATTGTCTGATCATCATCAATGTGACATTGGCAACATTGTCCCATTATAAATGTCCACATTCTCCTAAATATTTCAGGGTGACATCAGCATTGTCAAAAACTGTGGGAAAACACATACTTAATCATCATTTCCAGACAGTGATTAATAACAAGCCATTTTGCCCTCAAGACTGCACACAACTCATTATTGTCTGTCTCTGTGCCATTCATTAAGCCTGCCAGTCTGCCTTCTTAAGGGACAATATGCCTCAGGTTACTATAATCTAGTCAAAAAGATATGTGTTGTGTTGTAACATTGAACTGTTTTAATTAACTTAAGACATGTTTAATTCTTGTCTGATGGTTTCAAGCCTCCCTTAGGGTACTGATAACAGACATGGAAATGCTGTCTGGTATGTCCCCTTGGAGTAAAGGGCAGAGGTAAGGGACCCCAATCCAAGTTGCGTTTGACTCTTGACCCCAATCCACACCTGAAACGTCCTCTCCGGACACCATAAATATATGGTGTGTAATGGAGGCCCACCATTCCATTTTCATATGATAAAATATTTTCTTCATTTTTATTTTCTTCATTATTCATTTGCACCACATCAGAGATTGTATGTAATGGAAGGGGATAGAGGGGACATTGATATTAATGTTTGAGAGGAGAGCCAAAGTTATATTGAGTAAGTGTCTTGCCCTCATAAGACGCTAACTTAGTGTCTTCTGACAAAGCACTATGTTCATGCTGTTAAGGGCAGATTTTAGAGACTCATTCTTTTGCATATGTGGAAAATTGTTAGATAGACAAGTGTTGAAATGTCATGCTGTTTGGTAGGAATGACCCCCTCAAAAATGCAGCTGCTGACTACACAAACTTCCATCACCTGATTCAACTAATCAAGGGCTTGGTGTTATTTGACTGTATGAATCCGATGTGCTAGTGTGCTGCAACAAAAATATGCAGTCCTGTGGGTCCCTGAGGAACAGATAAGGACACACTGCTCTAGATACCAAACAATAAGCCTCAGCAACTTGAGAGTGCATAGGGGTCTTTTAAACAACAATATAATGCCTCCTAATGACTTTCCTTCCCCTGAAATAACCATATTATTTAACTGTGCAAGTACTTTCATGATCAGTTTCTGTGAGTGTTGCAGGGAAAAATGCTTGATGTTGCTGCAACAATTCTAACATTATGCATGGTATGCAATAATTTTGTCCAAATTGTCACGGAAATGCGCTGATGGGGGGAAAAGTTTGTTGACGTGTGGCTTGATTGAACCATTTTATGCGGTAAAAGTGGTGATTGGTTAAAATTGCGAGCTATCTTTTTGTAGTGCGGTTTTCAGACACTTTTATACACTAATACTGCAGAGGTTTTCCTATTTTATGCAGTAGTAGTACAATGATTGGTCAAATTTGCAAGCCCTCGAATATGCAAGGTATTGTTGATTTTGCTAAACAAATTGCGATCGCAGAATCCAGGAGGGACTGCATTATGTAACACTCCAAAGACTGAGTGACTCATAGATGGACATGGAGAGTACCACAGGGTGGCGCTGTGAGGTGAGCCCTATGAGACCTGACTTGAGGACAGAACAGGCTTGAGGGAGGCCTGACTGGTACTCTGACAGCCACCTGATTGATTTCCATGCTGATGTCACAGGTCAGGGGGCGTGCCGACGTCAGGTCGTTGGAGCCCAGGAGGGTGGATATGATGCCGTTTTGGTCCACTTTCCGGATCGTGGTGCCGTCCACAAAGTATATCAGTCCATTCTTGTCCACAGCGATACCTGTCGAGGCAAAGGGGGGAAAGGGGGAATAAAAGAAATGCATAAGTGATAACAGATAGATAGACGTGTCAGACATGGGAGTTGTTTGGTTTTCTCTGCTTGCATGACTCTGTGGACCGAACACAACAGATACATGTGTCGAGTTTGGCTTCCCATTATTCAGGTCACTGCAAAAAGCACAGCCTTCAATAATTAAACTGCTTGCTTTCCTGCTATTGAATAATTTCTCAGGGTGAAGTAGGAAAGGCTGTGTCCCTACTGTATGTGCGCCGGGCGCCCGTGTCTCACCATATCCCGCTTCTAATAACAGAACTCAGAGGTGAAGTGTCAATGAGTGTTGCTTCTTTCCCTCAAATTGCAGCTCGGACACCCAGCAATCATCAACCATCTTCACTCTATCTGTGAAATGGGTAGGCGGGGGGAAATGACGACTTTGGTCAATTTTAGACGAAACGGGTGAGCGACAGGCAGTTGCCATGGTTACGACGGCAGGCAAAATTGCCTGACTGATTGAGTGATGGCTGAGGGTTTCAGCGCAAGGAGAGTACTTGCCATAGTCATTTGTCCCACACGGGGAAAATACATTAGCAACCATGGCACACTCCACATCTCTTCATGTCACTGTGCGCTCCTAATAAAGACCAGAGCCTATAGGATTTCAATTAAACCTCACATAAACTTCAATTTATTTTCTCAATAAGCGCTGTAAAAAGCTGGTATAAACGCACATTGTGGGCGGATTTAAACTCAAAAGCATTTGACACATTTAATAACTTCTAAATAAATTGTTTTACTTTTTTTTTTTTTTTATCTCAAGTACACCTGTAAGATCAATTTTTTTAAATGGAATCAAGTGGTTATAGGGGAGTGTTTGGTTTGACCTGTGGCTAGATCTGCCCAAAGATTGCCTGGGTCCTGAAACATTAAAGAGCTGAGGGAGCATTCTGGGAGAGCTGGCTTTTTGACACTCTGGGGAAAATTCAGACAGATGAAAAGTGTCACATTTGAGTATATTTCAGCAAACGTCTGGGGAAGAGTACCCCAGCCATCTGCCCTCTTTTCCCCCCAGCCTCTACCTCCTCCCCCTCCATAGTTAGATTCACTTCCTCCCAGCCTCTTTTCATTCAAACCCACTATTTAAAATGCAGTTTAAGCAGTGCCATTAGGGGGACTTTCAAGGCTGGCACACACCAGACAAACTAATAATCCATGACTTCTTGAGAATATTCAGAGGGTGGTGAGTTTTTAGGTCCAATATGGCTGCCATACTTCACCCAGTTTGGTGCTACAGTACACATGTATGGTGAATGATGCCAGTTATCCTTATATTTTCTGACCTGGTGAAAAGGGCTACCTAAATAGAATATATTAACACATTACTTCTAAAACATTTGTGATGTGAACCACCAATCTTTTGAAAGCTTTGCAGGATTTCATTTCAGCCCTTCAGTAACACATCCAATTCAGCTAATTACTGTATGTTCTAATCAAATGTGTTACTGCAGGGCTGGACCAAAAGCCTGCAACTCTGCACACCCAGTAGCGTTCCAGTATTTTGGCTTGGCGCCTACCTTTTGGCCCAGTAAGCAGGGCCTCCGTGGCCTTGCCCCCATCCCCACAGTGGGTCTCGTCAAAGGGCAGACAGTGCTCCCCGGTCCCTGCCACCACCTCTGTGTTACTCTGCAGTTCCTTGAACCCAGTCAGGACCTTGGGCTGGTAGATCCTCCGTGAGTAGGTGTCCGACACATACAGCTGCCCAGTCACCGGGTCAGTGGCCAGGTAATAGCGGTGAGCAGGGTTGTTACTATGATTGAGGAAAAATGTGGTTACTGCGACTGCCGCAATATGAACAATATAAAAATAATCTAGTTTTATGGGGTTTTTCTTCCGAATTTGAACAATCCCAAGATAATCTAGTTTGAAGGTGTTTTTCCAAAATAACATAGTAAGAAAATGTGACATTCAGAATGATAATGACCAAAGAAAAGATAGCCTCTGTATCTGTATGTATTTTTGGTCATTGTGAATGCCCGATGAGGCTTGTGTTGTGTGAGGCTTTTTGCATAACAGACGGGTGGGCAATAGCCTGAGACCTGGAGTGAAAGAATTTAACAGAATTTAACAGGATATGACTGGAGCGGGTTTGTGTATGACAAAGCGGCAGCGACAACTTGAAGGGTGCCAGATCATTTAAATCGTTATCACTACCCTGCGAGGGGAAGTCAACGGAAATAATGGAATGATGTGCTTATGTTAATGACAGTCAACAACTGATGGCATTTCATTGGGTTGTGCTTATTTGAATTCACTTTAAAATGCCACAAAATGTGGCGGGCTCGTTCAGAATGAGTTAGCAGAGACTTCTTCATGGCTTGCTGCCATTATGAAAAAATTATCTGATGCAAGGACATAATTAATAATCTTCTATGTAGGGTGCTAGATGTCAGCAATATACAGCAAGTGTAGTAGTATTGACTTAGAACTTACCTTTTTTGTCAAAGGCAATTACATTCACATTTTTCTACGCCAGTTAACATTAATCCTCTTACATGACTAAATGACACAGACATATCAATGAATCTAAATTACCAACTCTTTCCAACTAAAGAAGAGATAACATGTGTGTGCTTGGAGGCCAATAATACGCTAGAATATAAGCTGTTAAAGGTGAATAACACTTGTTTTACTGTCTGGAAATAAAGATAGCCCAGTGAGTGTTCTCATGTTTAATGGTACATTAGTCCATACTGTAAGCCTTTGACACTTATAAATTGAATAATGTGTTTAAAATAAATGTGATAATGCAATAAACACAGAAGAAAAAGTCAACGTTACATTACAAAGTGGAATTAAAAAACATGACACCTTTATGAGCCAAACCACATGATCAAACAATGCCTTAGAGGCTTATCAATTTGCCATAAAAATAAGTTCATAAAAAATTATGCCATTCCTATGAAACCTGTGAGGACGGAAACACACAAAGACAGTGAGAGAAACTGCAACATAACACACCTACCTGTGTCTAAAATCTTTATTTCTTAGGGTGGGAATAAAGGAAGGAAGCAGAAAAGAGAAAGATGGAGAGAGACTGTAAAAGTGTGTGACTTAAAGGTCTAAGAAAAACACCATAAAAAAGAAGCAGACAATGAAGATTTGTTGAGCAGAAAGGAGGCAAAAAAGGAGGAGAGTGACTATGGCTTGGTTAAACCCTGCACCCATAACTCACTGAGAGGAGAATATAAAAACTCCCCCACCAGTCAATCCATTGGGCCATTACACCTCTGCTTTTTTCTCCATTTAACCACTGAGTATCGGAATATTGATCCCACCACTCGTTATACAGCTCCATATCTAAATAAGGACTTTATATCTAAACCCCAAGCCATTGCATGCCAGGTTGAGAAGCCAGGTTGGGACTTACATGTACTCTCATGGATGTACATACACTACACGGCCAAAAGTATGTGGACACCCCTTCAAATTAGTGGATTTGGCTATTTCACCGACCTCACTAATGCTCTTGTGGCTGAATGGAAGCAAGTCCCTGCAGCAATGTTCCAACATCTAGTGGAAAGCCTTACATTTTACATTTTAGTCATTTAGCAGACGCTCTTATCCAGAGCAACTTACAGTTAGTGAGTGCATACATTTTTCAAACCTTCCCAGAAGAGTGGAGGCTGTTATAGCAGCAAAGGGGGGACCAACTCCATATTAATGCCCATGATTTTGGAATGAGATGTAGTGTATATACATTATACATTTATTATAATGAGCAATCCAACCATGTGGGCTTAACTTTCCCCATGCAACCTTTAAGATAATGTATCAAAACATAATGAACAGGTAGTTGTTGGTGTTGTATGTGATTTGTGGGGATGTCTTCTGAACTGAAGACTTAAGCATATTACTGTTTTTTGCAATGGGAGGGCCAAGGGCATCCAATTGATTTGAAAGATTTCATATGCTTTGAATTGAGTAGCTCTGGCTGTAAAATGGCGGTTTCTAAGTCTGACAATTGGCCGAATGAAGCTTATTGGTGAGTGAAACCAACTTGACAAGACGGCTTAAATCGTCTCGATTACATGGCGTCTTTCTCTAATTGTGATGAAGGATTTAGAAAAGATGCCACATTAAATAGTGAATCTCTCTGTTCTTCTGTTCCATCACATTGGATACTGTGCAAGTAGGCCAAAAGTTGTCTGACCACCCTGTGCATTGTTAAGACAGTCTCGGAAAACCACTGATTCACAGTTCAAAGAAGACCACTACACGTCAGATGTCCACCCCCTTCAAGTTTATGTAACAGAATGAATTTTGTTCTGCCACCAGTGGGGCTTGAACTCACAACACCACATGCCACTCAAAGCCAACCGTCTAACAGAGCAAGAGACTAGTCTGTCACTGTAAGTGACAGTTTGCTTTGTATGTACTCCAGCCAACATGCTATGGGCAGTGGTGGAAAAAGTACCCAATTGTCATACTTGAGGAAAAGTAAAGATACCTTAATAGAAAATGACTCAAGTAAAAGTCACCCAGTAAAATACTACTTGAGTAAAAGTCTAAACGTTTTTGGTTTTATATACACTTTATATTTTGCTAAAAGTATAAATCATTTCAAATTCCTTATATATATACAGTGGGGGAAAAAAGTATTTAGTCAGCCACCAATTGTGCAAGTTCTCCCACTTAAAAAGATGAGAGAGGCCTGTAATTTTCATCATAGGTAGACGTCAACTATGACAGCCAAATTGAGAAGAAAAAAAATCCAGAAAATGACATTGTAGGATTTTTAATGAATTTATTTGCAAATTATGGTGGAAAATAAGTATTTGGTCACCTACAAACAAGCAAGATTTCTGGCTCTCACAGACCTGTAACTTCTTCTTTAAGAGGCTCCTCTGTCCTCCACTCGTTACCTGTATTAATGGCACCTGTTTGAACTTGTTATCAGTATAAAAGACACCTGTCCACAACCTCAAACAGTCACACTCCAAACTCCACTATGGCCAAGACCAAAGAGCTGTTAAAGGACACCAGAAACAAAATTGTAGACCTGCACCAGGCTGGGAAGACTGAATCTGCAATAGGTAAGCAGCTTGGTTTGAAGAAATCAACTGTGGGAGCAATTATTAGGAAATGGAAGACATACAAGACCACTGATAATCTCCCTCGATCTGGGGTTCCACGCAAGATCTCACCCCGTGGGGTCAAAATGATCACAAGAACGGTGAGCAAAAATCCCAGAACCACACGGGGGGACCTAGTGAATGACCTGCAGAGAGCTGGGACCAAAGTAACAAAGCCTACCATCAGTAACACACTACGCCGCCAGGGACTCAAATCCTGCAGTGCCAGACGTGTCCCCCTGCTTAAGCCAGTACATGTCCAGGCCCGTCTGAAGTTTGCTAGAGTGCATTTGGATGATCCAGAAGAGGATTGGGAGAATGTCATATGGTCAGATGAAACCAAAATATAACTTTTTGGTAAGAACTCAACTCGTCGTGTTTGGAGGACAAAGAATGCTGAGTTGCATCCAAAGAACACCATACCTACTGTGAAGCATGGGGGTGGAAACATCATGCTTTGGGGCTGTTTTCTGCAAAGGGACCAGGACGACTGATCCGTGTAAAGGAAAGAATGAATGGGGCCATGTATCGTGAGATTTTGAGTGAAAAACCCCTTCCATCAGCAAGGGCATTGAAGATGAAACGTGGCTGGGTCTTTCAGCATGACAATGATCCCAAACACACCGCCCGGGCAACGAAGGAGTGGCTTCATAAGAAGCATTCCAAGGTCCTGGAGTGGCCTAGCCAGTCTCCAGATCTCAACCCCATAGAAAATCTTTGGAGGGAGTTGAAAGTCCGTGTTGCCCAGCGACAGCCCCAAAACATCACTGCTCTAGAGGAGATCATGGAGGAATGGGCCAAAATACCAGCAACAGTGTGTGAAAACCTTGTGAAGACTTACAGAAAATGTTTGACCTGTGTCATTGCCAACAAAGGGTATATAACAAATTATTGAGAAACTTTTGTTATTGACCAAAAACTTATTTTCCACCATAATTTGCAAATAAATTCATAAAAAATCCTACAATGTGATTTTCTGGAGAAAAAAAATCTCAATTTGTCTGTCATAGTTGACGTGTACCTATGATGAAAATTACAGGCCTCTCTCATCTTTTTAAGTGGGAGAACTTGCACTATTGGTGGCTGACTAAAAACTTTTTTTCCCCACTGTGTATATATATATATATATAAAAAACATTTTTACAGATAGCCAGGGGCACATTTCAACATTCAGTCATCATTTACAAACAAAGCATTTGTCTTTAGTGAGTCCGCCAGATCAGAGGCAGTAGAGATGACCAGAGATATTCTCTTGATAAGTGTGTGAATTGGACAATTTTCCTGTCCTGCTAAGCATTCAAAATGTAACGAGTACTTTTGGGTGTCAGGGAAAATGTATGGACTAAAAAGTACATTATATTATTTAGGAATGTAGTGAAGTAAAAGTAAAAGTTGTCAAAAATATATATAGTAAAGTGCAGTACAGATACCCAAAAAACTACTTAAGTAGTACTTAAAAGTCATTTTATTTAAGTACTTTACACCACTGGCTATGGGTGAATTTTACATCCATGCAACCCACTTTGTCCTAAACACCCATTCCATGCACTTTTACCTCAGAAGAACCAAAGAACTAGACTTGAAGGGTCAAAAGATCTGAACCAATAGGTCAAAGGTCATGCACCTCCATTACAGATCCATGCAAAGCCTCAAAATCTGCCAACTGAGCTAAAGCAACAAAAGGTCAGAACCAAACAACCATGCACCACCATTACAGTTCCATGCAGAACCTTAACTAACCTGAGCTCCATGACGCTGGTGACGTTGCCCGATGGGTAGATGCGTCGGATGTAGTTGAAATCGCCCACATAGAGGCTGCCGTCGATGCCCCACGCCAGGGCCAGGGGCGCCAGCAGCTTGTTGCCCAGGGCCTGGCCATTGCAGCTGGGGCACGAGATGCTACGGCGCCGACCGTTCCCCATCACTGTAGAGATGACGGGAGGCTGCAGTGAGATGAACTGGTTCTCACCGCTGCCTTTGTAGAGGATACCTGAGAAAACAGGGGATAAAGATATTGAGAGGAGCTTCTACGTAATCGTTGATTGATGAGATTGAGGACTTTGAACTGTGCTAATATTATAATAATTTTCTCTAAGATTTTTTAAATGCTGTTCAAAATGACAACTTCCCTTGGATACACCTCTAAATTTGATTAGTTGGGTAAATAATAAATTGTGTTAACCAAATGGCTGTATAATCATGAGGAAGTGTAGACAAACCCGCTGAATTGCCTCGGTACATAACAATGCCTCATTAATTAGTCATTGCAGAGTGCCTACCTACGTGCATATTTCAATGTCTCATGAATCTTGACATTTTCATGAGGAACCTGTTTAGTGGGATTCTGAAACTCATCAATTAATAGTAACCTCTTCACAGAACATGTTCTTTCAATCTCGCCAAGACCCTGTTCCACTTCCTCCCAGTACTCCAAGTCACGGTGAGGAAGGAAAGATGACGACATAAAGGAAACACTAAACTTAAAATTGTCTTAATAGGGTGTTGGGCCATCACGAGCCAGAACCGCTTCAATGCACCTTGGCATAGATTCTACAAGTGTCTGGAACTCTATCGGAGGGATGCAACACCATTCTTCCATGAGAAATTCCATCATTTACTGTTTTGTGGTGGTGGAAAACGCTCTCAGGCGCCGCTCCAGAAACTCCCATAAGTGTTCAATTGGGTTGAGATCTGGTGACTGAGACAGCCATGGCATATGGTTTACATCGTTTTCATGCTCATCAAACCATTCAGTAACCACTCGTGCCCTGTGGATGGGGGCATTATCATCATATGGGGGCATAGCAATGGTAGCCAAAATGATGGCAAAAATAATGGCCTGCCCAGCATTTGTATACAGTGCATTCGGAAAATATTCAGACACCTTGACTTTATCCACATTTTGTTATGTTACAGCCTTATTCCATAATGGATTAAATAGCCTTTTTCCCTCATCAATCTACATACAATACCGCATAATGACAAAGCAAAAACAGGTTATTCTAATTTTTTGCAAATGTATTAAAAATAAAAAACTGAAATATAACATTTACATAAGTATTCAGACCCTTTACTCAGTACTTTGTTGAAGCACCTTTGGCAGCGATTACAACCTCGAGGCTTCTTGGGTATGACGCTACAAGCTTGGCACACCTGTATTTGGGGAGTTTCTACCATTCTTCTCTACAGATCCTCTCAAGCTCTGTCAGGTTGGATGGGGAGCATCGCTGCACAGCTATTTTGAGGTCTCTCCAGAGATGTTTGATAGGGTTCAAGTCTGGGCTCTAGCTAGGCCACTCAAGGACATTTAGAGACTTGTCCCGAAGCCACTCCTGCATTGTCTTGGCTGTGTGCTTAGGGTTGTTTTCCTGTTGGAAGGTGAACCTTCGCCCCAGTCTGAGATCTCTCTGTACTTTGCTTCGTTCATCTTTCCCCTCGATCCTGACTAGTCTCCCAGTCCCTACCGCTGAAAAACTGGAGCACTATAAGAGTGCCCATCGGGTTCTTGGTCACCTCCTTGACCAAGGCTTTTCTCCCCCGATTGCTCAGTTTGGCAGAGCGGACAGTTCTAGGAAGACTCTTGGTGGTTCCAAACTTCTTCCATTTAAGAATGATGGAGGCCACTGTGTTCTTGGGGACCTTCAATGCTGCAGATCTGTGCCTCGACACAATCCTGTCTCAGAGCTCTACGGACAATTCCTTCAACCTCATGGCTTGAGTTTTGCTCTGACATGACCTGTCAACTGTGGGACCTTATATAGACAGGTGTGTGCCTTTCCAAATCATGTCCAATCAATTGAATTTACCACAGGTGGACTCCAATCAAGTTGTAGAAACATCTCAAGGATGATCAATGGAAACAGGATGCACTTGAGCTCAATTTCGAGTCTCATAGCAAAGGGTCTGAATACTTATGTAAATAAGGTATCTCTTTTTTATTTTTAATACATTTGAAAAAAAATCTAAAAACCTGTTTTCGCTTTGTCATTATGTGGTATTTCAAATGTAATCCATTTTAGAATAAGGCTGTAACGTAACAAATTGTGGAAAGAGTCAAGGAGTCTGAATACGTTTAAATTCCGACATTGCCTTTGTCCTCATTACCGGATTGATGGTGGCACTGAATGCCTGGTGTAGCACCCACTGTTTCCTCGAGATTACCCCTGTGTGCGTCACCGCACATCTCGATGCACAAAGAGTGTGCAAAGCTGTCATCAAGGCAAACGGTGGCTATTTGAAGAATCTCAAATATAAAATATATTTTGATTTGTTGAACACTTTTTTGGTTACTACATCATTCCATATGTGTTATTTAATAGTTTTGATGTCTTCACTATTATTCTACAATGTAGAAAATAGTAAAAGTAAAGAAGAACCCTGGAATAAGTAGGTGTGTCCAAACTTTTGACTGGTAGTGTATGTGAAATCGAGTGTCGCCTCGCTGCTGTTTGTCCCTCTCGGATTAGTTACTTTCATTGATTAATTGATGGAAGGGGGAACTCAAATGAAGACATGGTCTGGGGAGACCGCTGGCAGGACAATCCCACCGATCCATCTCTTTCTAAAGGAGAGCATTACAAATGCATGGGTCCGGGGGACGGCTTGTGCGTGACGCAATCAAACCCACAACCTTGGAGCTTTAATTGCACTTCAATCCATCTGTCTGCTCGCTACGGAGACATGCCATTTGAGTGATCGAAGGCTGAACGAGGGCTGACTCGACAGCAAGCATCCCCCCGATGGCCTTATTATAACGCAGTAACCAAGTAATTCTGTAATAACAAGCACAAGATGTCAAACATTGTCTTCACTATCATAATGTTGAATTTAACCTAATTAACCAATAGAGTTACCTTTTTTACATACACAATATACAGTTGACTATAAGAAGCTCAAAGCAGTCCACCTTATTAGAAAGTTAGGTCATGTCTTTTCTAAAAATGCCCATTTAATGATGAGGTTAATTTGGCAACCTTCCCCCAGTCCCCTGCATTTACACTTCAATCACAGTTTATCGTATAATGAAATGTCTTCCCATACGCCATTTGAAAGTCTGTCATGCATTAAATACACACATCAATTTCCAACACACACATTAATGCTCACACCCACTCTACAGTCTGTCTTACAGAGCTACAATATGTCGCTGTACCCAGGCTAAGGCCACTGCACATCTGAACATGTTTATAAGGCTAGACAGCCTTGTTTTAACAGAAGGCATGTAGCCATTTTGCAGCAGAGAGGGAGGGAGGGAGTGAGGAAGAAGGGGGGTTCAGGGGGTGCATAGCTACAGCACATACAGAACAGCTTTTGGCGTTATCTAGTCAGACAGGCCCCAGAGAGGAGAGAGAGAGAGAGAGAGAGAGAGAGAGAGAGACTGTTAGAGTCCTCACCGGAGGATGAGAGGAAAACACTTAAGTACATCACAGTACACTCCTCAGACAGGGAAGGCAAGGGGAAAATGAAGGCAGAGTCACCGGGAGGAGAAGGTCTGATACCATATCGCTACGTCTGGAGTGTGACTGTAGTGGACCACAACTTGCATGTTTTATCAAAGAAGATGAAATGTACAGCATTAGGGAATCAATACAGAGCTAGTTGTGAAGAAACAGTTGTGATATTTATGTATCGGCCTCAACCTGCAGACTATAAAACTAACACGTGACCTCGACTCTCAGAAATATCTCATGCCAACAACCAAGGCCGACAAGCTCTTAAAATATTACGACGTTGTAAAGGGCATACACAATAGGTATAAGCTTTCCCCTGTAATGCCATCTGCAATGGCATGTGTGTGGGGAACAAACGCGGGGAAAGATAAAGTTTGAAGACAGGGTTGTGCCACTGACATGAGTGTCTGTTGACTGGGGAACCATGAATCATTTCACACACTTCACATACTATCTGTGGGTGAAACTAATAAGATTGTGAAATGGAGGATAGACACCCTGCTGTCGGCAAATTGATTAACCTGCTGATAGGCAGGGAGAAGTTCAAGAGGAAAGTGTCATTCTGAAATAGTTTTTTACTTTTTCTGATTTATGCAAATTTCAGAATCTATTTGAAGGGCTTAGAAAGAAAGAAAGAGTGAAAATGGTGAAAACTCTTTGGAGTCCTGATTGTTGATGCAAAGACAGATAAGACACCACATGTGTCTTTCATTTCAGTCATTCATGTATCAATATCAAACTACACAAATCTTCCAAAACAATTCTACTGAAACCTCATAATCATAATTCACCAATTTTTTTATGAAGACGAGTGCACATTGATGCCCAATTTAATGCAGGAAACGATAAGTATTAGCATATCATATGTCAAAGATGAAAAGGAAGCATCTACACATCTGTTGATCACAAAGCTTAACATCTAGAGACAGCGATCCCCCCCACTGTGCGCTGGCGCTGCTGTGTGAAGGCTTTGAGACGGGCTAGCTTTACCTTGAGACAGGTGGGATGAAACACAATGCTCCGGCAACAGTCAAGCTGGAACAGTTCTCAATGGTATTTTTCAACGCTCTTTGCAAAACTTTGCGTGCTAGATGTTTTTGACAGATTTGGTTCAGCTAAATGCCAGCTATTTGCCATGTTCAATGAACAGACATAGAAGAAATAGCATCGTGTGGTAAACGCAAAAGATGCAGATTGACTTCTGTACACTAGTTCAATTAACATTTTCCTGAAGCATATTGTAAGAAATAATCTAAGGATGAAACCCAGTTTTGTATATGGAGTAGATGATTAGCAGAGAGTTAGCATACATGGTTCGCATGGGTCCATGGCATAACTGGGTATGACAAGCGACAATCAAACAGACCTTTTACTAACATGAGTTAACATTGGTTATAGCCATAGCAACAATTACAATGGAACCTGAAAGGGGTATATAAACTATGAGCTCGATCGAGGGCCAAAAGGCAATGAGCAATTATTGCTGTATTCCCTCCACAAAAGGGACAGTCAGTAGTGAAAGACTGTGCTCAGAAACATAGAGTTGAGGGCCACAAATGGATGAAAGGGTGACACAAATTCCCAGGGACAACTGTGATAAAGATCGAGAGCTGGAGAGAGCTTACGGTCACACAAACCAGGCCTGAAAGAGAGAGGCCTAGTGCATTCTCAATGTTAGAATAGGCCTATTGAAAAATTGCACTCTACAACCACAGGTGTTATCATAGAGTATGTGTTTTGTCTGTCTGGTGTTTTTATTCTTACGCTCATTCAAAAGAGAAGTTTGGATAATAAAAGTAAGGAACTGTTTCAGTAACTTTTATAAAGAGAAATGTATCCCCTCTTGTTGCATAAATAGCGGAGTAGGATGGGAGCTCTGCGTTGTATCTGGTTTATTCCATCATTAATAAGAATAATCAACCCATCAAAACTCTCATCTATTATCTGTAAATGGGATGATGAACCATATTTCATCTTGATCTGAGCATGTACTGCTGCATTTCAGGGTAGAGACCACCTGTCCATAACAGGTCCATCCTAGAACCGCAGGTGTGCGCGCACACACACACACACCACTGATCCATGTAACAAAAATAACATCTTACCATTTTGAATGTCCAATATATGGTGCTTGTCCAACATCCATCCCCCCATGTTGGAGGCGTCCAGTTCATAACCTTGTAAAATGGCTGTCCTCTTCTCCCAGAGGATCACATCCAGGCAAGATTCATACTCATATCCCACAGACACTGGAAACAACAATGGTGTCCAATAAATTACGTCAGTATACAGTATCTACCAGGAGCCTTTAAAAGGCTTGTAGTGTATAAGCCTGAAAACGTGTAAAATCTCTTTATGAGTGTTTACTAGTATGCCAATAGGCACTGCTGCATTACAAGCATATAAAGTATGAGATACTGCTAGCTCACTGAACAGAGTGCATCTTGATATCAAATTAACATATAACCTGGAATAACTCAGGTTTGGGTAGGCGGAAATGTATCAAAATGAGCATGACCTTAAAAATACATATTTTTTCCTGTGGTTCAACTGATGAGTAATTACACATGCAAATAAATGAAAGTCTGCAGACTTTTCACACCGTCTGGTAACCATACAAAACATTCCGACTGCCAAAACAATCGGGAAATTCAAAGGAAAGCAATACCAGGAGTTCATCCAAAGCTCAACCTCCTAGATTACACTGGACCTGACAACACTGTCAGATGATGTTTACATAACATCTTCAAACAGCTGTGTTTCAGCTTCGGCGGAAACTCACCTACAGCCTCTGACAAGCCGTAGACCTTCTGGTTGTAGGCGTCTGTCTTGTCCCAGGCGAAGGTGTACGAAAGATCTGGAAAGGCAGGTAACGATTTCTGGAACAGTCTGCCCATGACAGAAATCATCAGATGGACCTTCATTAGTCCGAACGGGAGTCGTTCCTGGGTCATGAGGACTTTGAGGATGGGCTTGTAGCCGGATGTGCGGGAGCTCAGGTAGACCAGATTGAGGTCACTTCCGGGTATGGCCACTTCCTCATGGAGGACCTATGATTTGGAGCAGAATCTGTTATGAAAAGGTACTGAACATATTGTTGAGTGTATAAAAAAGTTACTTTTCAAAATGGCTGTGCTGCAGCAATGGTACATTGTTAATGTGACAAACTCTTTCACAGGGTGATGCCAACTTTACCTTTGCTTGCAATCATCGAACAATAACCCATGTAATGAAATACATTTGTGGAAACCGACAGTGCAGTTACATTTACTTTGCAGCATGTTTTTTTTATGTCTTTTTTTTCACCTGGCTGCAGTGCAGGGAAACTTTTTAATGCACCCAACTATACACTGCAGTGTGTGCATATGCTGTGGGAAATAGGCACCTGGCAGTAGGTGTTAGACCAGAGCTAATCTCACCTGAGTTTCAGGGATGATGGGGCTGTCCTTGGGGGAACTCCTGTAGAAGGTGGACAGGGGTGAGGCCAGGATGAGGGGGCTGGGCCTGAGCAGACCACTGAGGTGACAGCTGGGGATGTTGTTGTTCTCCCTCTTCATCACCACTGTGTCCATCACATGGAACACCTTCCAGGGTAACCACACAGTGTGGTGCAGTGTGGGAAAAGGTGTACGCTTCAAACTCAGGGTCAGCGAGGCACCACCATTGGCCAACAGGTCAAACCTGGAGACGTCACCATAAACGTGGAGAAGTGAGTAAAAAAAGAGCTTTATACAGTGAGGGAAAAAAGTATTTGATCCCCTGCTGATTTTGTATGTTTGCCCACTGACAAAGAAATGATCAGTCTATAATTTTAATGGTAGGTTTATTTGAACAGTGAGAGACAGAATAACAACACAAAAATCCAGAAATACGCATGTAAAAAAAATTATAAATTGATTTGCATTTTAATGAGGGAAATAAGTATTTGACCCCCTCTCAATCAGAAAGATTTCTGGCTCCCAGGTGTCTTTTATACAGGTAACGAGCTGAGATTAGGAGCACACTCTTAAAGGGAGTGCTCCTAATCTCAGTTTGTTACCTGTATAAAAGACACCTGTCCACAGAAGCAATCAATCAATCAGATTCCAAACTCTCCACCATGGCCAAGACCAAAGAGCTCTCCAGGGATGTCAGGGACAAGATTGTAGACCTACACAAGGCTGGAATGGGCTACAAGACCATCGCCAAGCAGCTTGGTGAGAAGGTGACAACAGTTGGTGCGATTATTCGCAAATGGAAGAAACACAAAAGACCTGTCAATCTCCCTCGGCCTGGGGCTCCATGCAAGATCTCACCTCGTGGAGTTGCAATGATCATGAGAACGGCGAGGAATCAACCCAGAACTACGCGGGAGGATCTTGTCAATGATCTCAAGGCAGCTTGGACCATAGTCACCAAGAAAACAATTGGTAACACACTACGCCGTGAAGGACTGAAATCCTGCAGCGCCCGCAAGGTCCTCCTGCTCAAGAAAGCACATATGCAGGCCCGTCTGAAGTTTGCTAATTAACATCTGAATGATTCAGAGGAGAACTGGGTGAAAGTGTTGTGGTAAGATGAGACCAAAATGGAGCTCTTTGGCATCAACTCAACTCGCCTTGTTTGGAGGAGGAGGAATGCTGCCTATGACCCCAAGAACTCCATCCCCACCGTCAAACATGGATGTGGAAACATTATGCTTTGGGGGTGTTTTTCTGCTATGGGGACAGGACAACTTCACAGCATCAAAGGGACGATGGACGGGGCCATGTACCGTCAAATCTTGGGTGAGAACCTCCTTCCCTCAGCCAGGGCATTGAAAATGGGTCATGGATGGGAATTCCATCATGACAATGACCCAAAACACACGGCCAAGGCAACAAAGGAGTGGCTCAAGAAGAAGCACATTAAGGTACTGGAGTGGCCTAGCCAGTCTCCAGACCTTAATCCCATAGAAAATCTGTGGAGGGAGCTGAAAATTCGAGTTGCCAAACGTCAGCCTCGAAACCTTAATGACTTGGAGAAGATCTGCAAAGAGGAGTGGGACAAAATCCCTCCTGAGATGTGTGCAAACCTGGTGGCCAACTACAAGAAACGTCTGACCTCTGTGATTGCCAACAAGGGTTTTGCACACCAAGTACAAAGTCATGTTTTGCAGAGGGGTCAAATAGTTATTTCCCTCAATAAAATGCAAATCAATTTATAACATTTTTGACATGCTTTTTTCTGGATTTTTTTGTTGTTATTCTGTCTCACACTGTTCAAATAAACCTACCATTACAATTATAGACTGATCATGTTGTCGTCAGTGGGCAAATGTACAAAATCAGCAGGGGATCAAATACTTTTTTCCCCTCACTTTATATTTACCCAGTGTGACTTACTTGAAGGCCAAGTTACATTTCCTGCATTCAGTGAAAACTCAAATATACTTTCACAGAATCTGGCGGGCTACAAGCCAGATTATATTGTTTTCAAAGGAACAAAGAACTTGTTCTTATCAGTTGTCTTATTCCTTTGCGGCTCACATATTATTATCATTCGCTGAATCTATTTTATTACTTTTGCTTAGTCAGCCATGATGCAGTGAGACACTTAAAAATTGAGAATTTGGTTGAGAAGTTTTGGCTTAGTTTCTCTGGTGGACCAATTTTAATTAGTATCACATAGCGCTGGGAAGAGTTACTGGTTTGGAAATGAAGGGGGAGTCTTTGAAGTGCTGCTCTATATATTCAGCGAGCTTCACCACCCAGGGGTAAAGCATCTACATGGTGACATTACACACAGACCCCCCCCCCCCCCACCCACACAAACACACACACCATTTCCTCCCCCTCTTGCCATCCACTTTGGGCAGTGGGGAGCTCACAGCCAAGCTTTGATGCTGTTTCTGCTCTCTTAACACCCTGAGCGGATATGCTGGCTAACCAAGTGTGATTATCCCCTGCCATTTATCATGCTCTGTGTCAGAGGGGTTACAGGGAGGAATATCTGGAGATATTAGCTTATCCTTGGCTATCGCCAATCCCCTACTTCTGCGGTTCCTGCTCCATAAGAGTGACTACGCCAGTCCCAGATATTACTAAATATTCTAAGCCTTTTATTCCAGACAAACATAATGCACATATTTTATTGACAATTTCAATAAGACAATAGATTGTATGATGATAAACTTCCCGGTGGAGTTGAATGATTTCCCTGAAATGTATGTACGACTTTGTTTCCTTAAGAGTGAGATAATGAACCACAACACTATGGTAATAGCCTGAGAAGGTCAGACACTAATCCTGTGTTAGTCTACAATGCTGGAAGATTGATTCTGCCCTGGCTGATTCAATGCATTTTAAGTAGTCTTGTTCTAAATGGCCTCAACAACTGTGATATTTGCATGAGATATTGTTGTGGGGCACCATGCTCCGCTGTTTCAATTTGCTAGCTCTTTTTGGATTGCTTTGGATATCTCTCCACTGGTGGATCTGGGATGCACTTTAAGCATACCAGACCTTAGCTGAACCTTGTTCAGAGGACAGAGATGGTGTGTGGTCATTCTAATCAGTGTTTGTTACGTGTGTTATGTATGTGTGTATGTGTGTGCATGAATGTGTGTGCATGTTTATGTGTGTGTGTGTTTGGCACTCTTACATCCCGTCCTGGCGTGTCACGGTGTAGCCATACTCAGGGTAATCACGGAAGGACACGTTGACGCCGATCAGCGGTGTCCCGTCTCCCGTCAGCACCTGACCCCGGATAATTGACACCAGGCTGCACCGGTGAACAAACACAAAGAGGGTCAAGTAAACAAACAAAATGCCAGTCGGAGTCAACAAGCAGTCCTCACTGCTAACATCTGTCCTCCCTCGGCAAGGGTACCGGCAGTCTGATTTACTGACCGTTAAAAATACACACGTGTCAGCGATTGTAATTCATGAAATGGCTTACCCTGGCAACAGCCCTCTCTTTTTACCCCTTTTAACAGCCCATAACTCATTCCAAATAGGCTTTGCAGCCATTGAGGGCCTCTTACTTTCAGCAGTTTATCTGTACAAGCATTGGGGGGAGGCATTTGCATAGCAATTTTTCCACGTAGCTCTTTCTTGGAGACGCCGCACATTCTAGCATTCCTAATTGTGAGGTCATTTGTTAAATTGGGCAACAGTCTGAAAATGACAAGATGATACAGGGATGTTTCTTCAACACTTCATCAAGGGCGGCTACGTCAAGCGTGGAGACGATTTTCTTGAGGTGTTCTGTTTGTATTTGTCATTGGTAGCAGAGCCGCGAGGCACGACGTGTCTCGTTTGCCGGCTTTATCGTCAGGTCATTACGGATGTGAGGTAGGGATCATCAACAGCTTTCTCTTCTCTGTTTCCTCACTCCGACACGCCTCATTTTTTACTTTGCGGTCTAGAGGAATAAGGCCACTTTAAGAGCTCTGTAGGTTCACTATTCTCTCCTCGTCATTAATCTTCTACAGGCTGGCTGACCCTACAAGAGCTGACCCCTAAATAAACATGAAGTCAAATCACCTAAGCAATGTTTAGTAATATAATTCACACAGTCCCTCTCTGTCAATGTCTAGTAGTGGTTTCCTCCAAGACACCAATTAAAGCCCAGTGGGATAATTCTAAGGGGACATCCAATATGGCTGTGGGACTCAACACAACACATGTAAGGTATTAGTCTTCATGCCATATGAGAGAGGAGAGTTTTTAGAGCAATAGCATGGAACCTGACCACACAATGAAAACTGTTCTCTTTTCCTTGGCTAGCTCTCTTGTTTTCGATGGGTTTCCTCGAAGGGTTTAGGTAACAATGGAAAGACCTCATAAGACATTTCCACCCCTGCCCTGCCAGACATTGGATACAGCACGCCTAGACAAAACAAACAATGCTATGGGTAGTATCCATCATGCTCTGGCACATTCAGTGGAGTTTTCCAGTTGCATTGTATGTATCATATTTAGCAGGGATAGAGCAGAAATCTTCACTTTGAAACAATACATTGTAAAAAATAATCCACGATAATCAAACAAAATATTTGCCACAGTCAAATAAAGTAGATATATTGCTAATGCGCTTACCATGAATCCCGTTCACCCTATTTTGACAAAAATAATTATCAAATTAAGTTCTATTGATTTTCGTAGCTTCAGAAATGTTATTCATTTGGACAAACTTTGCAGAATGTCTGTGTGCTTAAAGACAAGTGCCGTAATGTCTGCGACTATAAAACCAACTTCTTAACGGAGATAAAGAGAAAAACATTTACATTTTCAGTGGGTCAACTAATATGCATCGGCCAGCCATTGGAATTAACAGTAAGCTGAACACAATGACGAGGCGGATTATAAGGGACCCGGCTCGGGGATTGCCTCATTCTATATTTGTGGTAAAGCATGCTATTTACATAAGGATTACTCCCAAACTATTCTGCGAGTTAGAGGGAATATTATTGCCAAAGCATTCTACCATACAGTTGGCAATCATTTCCCACTCCATCAGTCTCAAAACAAAGTCTATTTATGATTCAGTGCATTGAGGTTCCTGATTATTTTTTTTGTATTTCTGTCTGCTGAAAAATTTGCTCACAAATTGATATCAGAGCCCCGGTACATTATTAATTGGGGATAGTCTTATGCCTTTATGTCGACAAATGTTGACATTTTGTTATTTCCACTACAAGGTTTCACATAAGGTTTGATACATCAAATCAGGTTGCTCAATCTGCAACTCAATAAAGCATTTCCACCCCCTTACTTATCAAGTCAAGGTCCCTAAGAGAGCGACGCCACAGTTATTCCTACAGGGGCAACTCCAGGACAAAACGACAAGATTCAATCAACTCAGTGTATTTCAATGATACAGTACTGACAACTCATTTTGGCTATCATTTCGACACCCCACAGGACAGTTGGATTTGATGAAGCTCACCTGCTGTTGAAAGGGTTGTCCCCAGGTATCACGTGACTACCGCCATGCCCAACCAGGAAGCTGATGCGCTCGTAGAAGCCCCTGGGGGCCGACTGAGTGGAGGATGAACCATGACCTTGGCTCACAATGCTTGTGGGATCTGGGGATCCGCGGCAGTAGGGCTGGCCCTGGCAGGAGCTTTGCGAACAGCAGTCTGGATCCATGCAGTCCACCAGTCCATCTGTCAGACCAAGATGCAACAGTGTTGACATGGGACAATACCCTAACTTGGTGCTCCTTGAGAATATCATCCCTGTGAACTAGACTGACCAAATAAAAACACTTTTTCAACAGAATGGTGCCTCTAATTGGTTCAAACAGTCCACTATATGGACACAAAGTCATATCATTGGCAAAGAGTGAAGAATTATGGATGTTGTTCTTACCCCTCTCGTTGTCCTTTCCATCTGAGCAGAAGGTCTCCATGGCAACATCACATCCTAGCCCTCTCCATCCTGAGTGGCAGATGCAGCGCCACCCGGCTTGGTCCAGAATGCACCTCCCATTGCTGTTGCACAACCCAGGGCACCCATCTGCCAAAACAACAATGTAAATCACACACCAGCTAATCAGAGAGAGGGAGATAGATTGAGAGGAGGCGACAACACCTGGTCATTCAGGGGCAGGAACACAGGGACAAAATGAAAACGACAATATAAAGTGGACAAACAGTACATAGATTTCTGACAGAACTTGGGGGTGGGGTTTAAAGATACTGTAATTTCACATGGGTTTTACTCTGAGTTCCATACCATTTCAGGGCACTTTGAAATGGAAATTGTCTTGGCAAATGTATGATATTAAGAATGCATGGAGGTCAACATACAGTTGGATAATAGTGGTTACTACTGCAAATCTCCTTACTCTGCTTTTTATTATATGCTGATTAGTCAAAGTTCCTCTAAATCTGTAGCATCAGCACAAAAAACAACACATTTATCTTGCCATAAAACCAGCACAACACCCATGTGAAGGTACTATCAAAGTAAAGACAAGGGTAGATAGATGTAGAGACAAAAAGGCAGAGGGTTTGTTCATGTCGTCTCAACATCTCTACTTGATACCAGGATATTGCGTTCCTTTTTTCACAGGGTGGAAGAGAGAAACGAGCAAACTGTAACTGACTGGCTACATCTGCTTAGTATTTCTTCTGACACACACAAGGATTCAGACAGGAAAAGGGGGACTGAGAGTGTTTGACTAGTTAGGACGGACAGGTATGAAGGTACTGGGATCACAATAGAAACAGTGATAGACTGGGACATAAGACATGTGTACGCCGTGCTTGGGGAAGAAAACAGAGCAGTAGTCTTTCCATTACCTTTATATCCTATCTTGACTGCTCCTATTACCATTGAGGAGAGGGGAAACATTTGGAAAAGAAAATTACTTCTCTATTGCAGGAAAATCTAGACTGATAAACATGATCTGAGTGTAGGATACAAGAAGAAATAAAGAGAGAGCTCAACCGTAGGCAGAATAATGGTATAATTCAATACTTTTCAGTTAAGCTTTGTAGTGTTAAGGTACAGCCCATATTGTTTGTATGTCAACAGCACTGACAGTGCTGATTTGGCTTTCTCGTGTAAACAGCAATTTTATGTTGATGGTGATGCACAAAAACAGCATGGTTGACACATTGTGATTCTGATACTGTTGAGGGAAGTCAAGTTATCTGCTCACGCCATTTAGAGGGGGGTTTACATTTTCAGTATGACATTTATTTTGTGTGTATTGATACGAAACAGAAAGGAGAGAGAAAGACTGGAAAGTACATTACCTGATACTCTTGAATCCAGAGCTTGTCGAATAAGAGAAAAGGAGAGGAGGGGCAGATAGAAAGAGAGAAAGGTAAAACGAGTTGTTGAGAAGTGTTATTACAGAGGAAACATACACAGATAGCATGAAAAGGAAACTACTAATTCGTTTGAACTATGAATGTTTCACAGTTAAGGAGCTGCTTGAGCAAATTTTCAGGCTTGCCTGATGAGCTATATTGCCATTCCAGTAGTGATGTGCTTTCATTCATAACAACATACATCCACATATTAAACACTCCACATTAAGTAAATAACAATGTAGAGTACATTCACATAGAACATCCACAGAACCTAGTTTATAACTGTATAGGTACAGCTGTTTACTGACAAACACATGTCTGGACATTTTATGCTGTGTTTTTAGTGCTGTCTGAATAGCATTCTAGTGTGAACTTTTGCACTTAGCTCTGTTACACCAGCTATACAGCTACAACTAACCACATCTTTACCATTCAAGAGACATGTAGCTTATTGTCCTTCAAGTACACATCCAGGAGCACTTCAAGCTTATTGTCATCCCAGTACACATACATAAGCTCTGGTACATCAGCTATACATTACAACTATCAGTGTATTGGCCATTCAAGCGTCACGTGCCTTATTGTGCTCCCAGCACACATATATGAGCATTTCAACCACTTCATCACTGGAACAAACAAAGCATGTCAGTGAAGTCCCAGGAACACTTGAATGAATAAAAACACCTTAGTAGTAAACATAAAAAAAAGAAAAAAAGAAATGGAAAGTAGAGCAATAAGAGCGATGCCTAAGCCTTCCGGGAAAAAACAGGATTGCAACGTGTCTGACAATAGCTCGTCCAGGGAAGCGATCTATTCCAGCCCCTTCGTCAGGGTCTCGCCATGTAATGTGATTAAAGGTGCTTTGTGTGAATGGAAGTTATTCAGAAAGTCCTGAAAAAAAGGAATAAGCTCCTAGTTCACAGTAAGAATGGCTGCCTATTCATCCCAGGCGCATCTACATCAAGGAATTTATTTTCTGATGGGGGTCTTAAACAGGAAGACGTTGAAAGGGATTTCTCATTGAGGAGGCAGAGATTAATAACATCAGGAATGCGACCCCTCCAATCTCCCCGGCACAATCTCATCTCTCTCTCCTCGTTTCTAACCGCCAGTCAGCTTCATTCTCTGGATGGGATAACTGCTGCTGAAAGTCTTGTTAATATGTAATTAGGGTTCAAGAGTTTGAAGAGCCGGGGTCTTCGTTTCAACGAGAGGATGATGTTACCGAGTGGGTTCGGGTGACAGGGTGGAACAGTACATGATGCGTCACGCCAACAGTTTAACTGCCACTCGTTTGACAAGGGCAGAGTGTCCAGGAAGTTGAGGTCACAGGTCAAGAGGAAGCAACCTCACAGTGCTCATTATCTCAATTAATGCACAGTGAAGCAGTCATCTCGAAGATGGACTTTTCCATTGGGACAAGGTTGAATAAGATCATAGTCCTGGCTGGCCCTCTTTTCCCTTAATACCTGCCTTAGTGAAGTGTTAGGATAAGAGGTAGGATTCTATATGTAGATCGAATAGGGAAAATGGTGATATCAGGTGTCAAGGATAATGAGAGTGAAATGGAATGGGGAAAGAGGGTTAGGGGTACCAGGTATAGGGTCAGTTCCAAGTCCCCTGGCAATTCATGAATCGAATTGCAGTTCAATGGAGAAATTCCATACTCAATTCAGCAGAAGAATTGAACTGTACGATACCATTCAAGTGGTAAATGTATTTTGGGGACTTAGTCAAACCTGTATGTTATGCAATCAATATAGCTTTAGAAAATGCTTTCTTTATACTTCATAAGGTTACATAATGCAAACATGGATTGAGAGGAGCCAAATTACTACCAAGCTTATCAACTTGGACTGCATTCAAGATACTGTTGAAAGAAACTCTTGGGCATATACAGGAACATCGGTGGAGATTTAATTGTTACATTATTGCCTCTTTATACTGGTTCTCTACTGAGTGTGGGTGGAGGACAACTTCTAATCTGCATTGGGTAATTTACCAGTTATGAATGGCTTTACATGTCAGTACGACTCACCAATGGTGCAGTGCTCTCCTGTCCAGCCCTGGTGACAGTCACATTTGCCATCTCGGCAGATGCCATGATCTGTACAGCGTGGGTGGCAGTCCCTCTGGTCGCACTCTGAGCCTGCCCATCCTTCCTCACAATGACAAGTCCCACTGACACATGCTCCGTGGGGGCCGCAGTCCACTGTGCACACCTCTGACACATTCACAACCAAAAACAGAGTCGTCCGTCATACACTGGACAGACTGGTGCTATAGTTATGTACAGTAATTCACCCCTACAGCACCTGTATGGACATAGGGGGGACTTTCGACCCGAGTTAAGCATGCGTAAATGGAACGTAATTCCCTTTTATGCACTTTTCGCGCAACGAGTATTCTGACCTTAAACTTAAGTATGAGAATAGCATGCTATTCACCTGCTATTCGTTTGGGGTGGAGATCAAATAGATGAAGGAGGTGTGTCTACAGATACACCATATTCTGACCTTCACTTAGTTCCTTCTTTATGCGCGATGAATAAGGTCGAGGAGCCTGTCGGTTCCAAGTGGAACAACATCTACTTTATTTTTTCCAATATAAATAACATAATTCTCCATGCACTGCAATTTACAATTTGATAAGAGCTATTGATAAGAGCTAGGTACATTAGTAAGCTGTTTGGATAAGAGGATGATTGTAAATATAAACAACAATTGTTTTAGATCTACTGTACCTTATGATTGCTGGAGACAAATGTGAAACCCGTCATATGGCAGCAAATTGAAGCATATCAACATATCACCTTTTCCACAGTGAAGTTCATGAAATGCTGGCCTTATAAATTGCAGGGATGAAATTTGGAGAACCATGCTATAGGCTTCTGTAGCAATGTGCGACAGTGTATCACTAAACCTACCGAGTTGATTTATGATTTCTGTAATGTTTTAATTATATGCTCAGACTTTTCACTGTATTTTTTAAAATGTGTATCGTGTTAAACATTAGCCACTATCGTTAGCCACCGTCAGTTATACCCACACACATTTATAACGGTCACTTTAGTGTTAGTTTCCTAACATTTTGCATCATTCCATTATATTGTTAGTTTACCTTTCTTTCTTCTGTCACATTCGTGTGGTTGTTCCTGAGGATCACTAGCAATAGTGGATCATATTAGGCTAACGTATTACAAGTTGTGCAATAATTTGGGACCGAGTTTATTTGAATCATTATGGAACGCAGACCATACGTAGCAGTTTAAACCTGGAGCCTGGCGCACGGTTCACGACGACTGGCCCGTTGTCATCACAGTTCCATGATTAGTGAGGATTATTAGGGTAGATTTATAGGACTGCTGTTCAACCCCTATTATACACTTTTCTGACCTTTAATGGATTGAACGATTGAATATGGCAACTTTCAGGATGAATCAAACTACTGTATTTTTGATATACCAATCCATTTCCTGCGTAAAGGCTTTCCAAATTATTATAAATGTTTTAATCATAAATACTTTTCTAACCCTAAATAATATACAATATCAGAGTTTTTTTAAATTGACCAATTGGAGCTGAAAAGGAGATAAATATGTGTGCATTTACATGGCTTTCTTTCACTGATCCCTAATATTGTGAACTGTTCTCTCCATATATTCTAGTGAGTCTGTTGAGAAAATTCAAACTAAAGAGGTACACCAAATTTAAAGGGATGACTTTCGATAAATATACTGAAAACCTTATTGAATGAAAATTCCACGAGACAATCTGTTGGCCAGCAAGTGGGAGGGTTTTTAGCCCGCAAGGGAACCATGCCTGCAAAGCCCGTTCCTGAATAAGGTAAGTCTGAATCCCAACTACTGAGAAGTGTGTAGGAATGGCGTGCTTAGGAAATGCACATATTTCTTAAGTCTGAATCGGGCCCATTGTGAAAAATCTCTTCTGGTTCCTTTTCTGCAGTCAGTGTATTACGATTCAGCTGTGGTGGTGTAACTAATCTTTACATATTGATAGAATAAAGAAGCACAAAGCCTGTGCTTTGCTGTTCAGATGTGAACAACACATTTTCCTGCACCCCCCCCAAAAAATAATCAAATGTGTTTTTTCTGTTGTCGCTTCGTTTTCATTTATTTAACTGGCAGAGCAGACTAAACAAGGCTTTTATGTTGGCCGTCAGTTGTTATGTCCCCAATGAGTTCAGCTTCATCCCAGAACGCTAAATCCAACAACATTCTAAAGAGACTGAAGTAAAAGGCTAGCTTGATACATCTTTAAATAGACAGGCTTTTGAATAAGCAGGGGCACAGGTCAACACACTTATTTTAGACACTGAGGACCACAAAGAGACTAAGACCAACTACTAAAACAGATGGCTCTATGTAGTCAGGCAGCAGGCCTGATGTGGGTGAGAAACTCTAATTACTGAATTCACAGGTAGTAGGAGACCCAAGGTGAGTGCTCCATTCACTGGCATGCTATAACCCACACTAAAAGCTCCATTCTATTCTTGAGGGAAAACTACATGAAACCATGAAAGGAATGGTGTATTTACAGGAACTGACCCAGTATTGCCTTCAGAGGCTCCAGAACACTTTGAAATGTCAGCACAACATCCGTTCAGATGGCAGGAACAGACCTAGTCAGGTTTGAAAAAAGTTACTCTAAGTAGGCTACAGGTGAAAGTTTGTGACTTTAAATGACTAATTAGTGAGTAAGTCTAGAAAGATATCAACACAATCAATCTATTACAACTGCCATCCTTGTGAATATCCTGAGAGTTAACATTTCAAGGATACAGAGCCTTCAGAAAGTATTCAGACCCCTTTACTTTTTCAAAATGTTGTTGTGTTACAACTTGAATTTAAACATTTATTAAATTGAGATACCTCATAATCTCAAAGTGGAATTTTGTTTGTAGAACATTTCTGAAATTAATAAAAAATTAAAAGCTGAAATGTTTTGAGTCAATAAGTATTCAACCCCTTTGTTATGGCAAGCCTAAATACGTTCAGGAGTAAAAATGTGCTTAAGAAATCACATAAGTTGCATGGACTCATTCTGTGTTCAATAATAGTGTTGAACATGATTTCTGAATGACTACCCCATCTCTGCACCCCAAACATACAACTACTTTTAAAGGTTCCTCAACTGAGTTGTGAATTTCAAGCACAGATTCAACCAAAAGGATCAAGGAGGTTTTTCAATCGTAGATTTGTAAAAATAAAATAAAAATAAAAAGCAGAGGCTGAATATATCCCTTTGAGCATGGTGAAGTTATTAATTAGGCTTCGGATGGTGTATCAATACACCCAGTCACTACAAAGATACAGGTGTCCTTCCTAATTCAGTTGCCGGAGAGGAAGGAAACTGTTCAGTGACTTCACCATGAGGCCAATGGTGATTTTACAACAGTTACAGAGTTTAATGGTTGTGATATGAGAAAAATGTAGATACAACAACGACATTGTAGTTACAGCACAAAACTAACCTAAATGACAGAGTGAAAAGAAGGAAACCTCTACAGAATAAACAATATTCCAAAACATGCATTGTGTTTTCAACAAGGCACTAAATTAATACTGCAACAAATGTGGCAAAGAAATGAACTTTTTGTTCTGAATACAAAGCGTTATGTTTGGGGAAAATCCAACACAACACATCATTGAGTACCACTTTTCATATTTTCAAGCATGGTGGCTGCATCATGTTATGGGTATGCTTGTCATCGGAAAGGACTACAGAGTTTTTTTAGGATAAAAAGAAACGGAATACACCAAAGCACGGGCAAAATCCTATTGGAAAACCTGGTTCAATCTTCTTTCTGTGAGACAAATTCACCTTTCAGTAGGAAAATAACCTAAAACACAAGGCCAAATCTACACTGGAGTTGCTTTCCAATATGACATTGAATGTTCATCAGTGGTCTAGTTACAGTTTTGTTTTAAAATCAACTTGAAACTATGGCAAGACTTGAAAATGGCTTTCTAGCAATGATCAACAACCAACTTCACAGAGCTTGAAGAATTTAAAAAAGAATAATGGGCAAATATTGCACAATCCAGGTGTGCAAAGCTCTTAGAGACTTACCAAAAATATAGTTATTCGTTTTTAATTTTTCATAATTTCTTTAATAAAATGGACATTAGAATATTTTGTGTAGATCGTTGACCAAAAATGATTTTTTTTTTTTTTATCCCACTTTGTAACACAACAAAATGTGGAAAAGTCAAGGGGTGTGAACACTTTCTGAAAACACTGTTCAAAATTCACTAATTTTACTGTTGTTCGCTTACAAGCGAAACCACCTCTCTCTCACTAGCATTTGCACTTTTTTAAGAGTTTGCTTTCATCTCCCTCTGAATGGAGTTTTCTTCGATTGAGAGACCTTGGTGGGTCTCTAATTATGCTTAGACAACACTTCAGAATATTAACCATGCCTCTGGAGGGGGAGCGTTCGATTACAAAGCCCCCTGCCCCCTTCCCAAAGAATCCATGTAATCAATTTTTCATTAGCGCAAAGGTGTTAATCTGCTTTTAGCACGCCCCTGACTCCAGCGTGATGTCGGAGTGGGTAGTCAATCTATGCCACACCGCTTGTTAATTAAAGTTTATTTAATTGAAGTCGAACTGCTGAGATAATTAAGAGAGAAACCTCGATTACTACCCAGGTGGGCAAACACAAGAGTTTGGACTGCTGCTTAAGTTAAACCTGCTCCCTTCAAAGTCTTTTTTTTTTTTAATTTAATTTTTTACATCGACCAGCAATGGATGTTTCACGCTGTGAAAGAGGGACTCTGTGTCCTGATTTTCTGAAGTTTTTTTTACAGTATAACAAATGGCCTTTCTTTGGATGTGTCTAAAAGTAAATAAATTAAGACAATAACTCTCGGTTTCTATAAACACCCATTCCTTTTCCCTCCCAGCAGTCCAGGTTTTCGGCTCATCCGTCATCTCAGACTTACAGTACACCCTCTTATGCAAAACCGCTCAGATTTCAATCGCACAATCAAGTTAATGTATTGCTCAATCAATCTTTGCTCTGGATTGTTAAAAACCCAGTAGGTTCTAATTTGACGGTACTCAATTAGGGTCACCAACTGTGAACTGCAGATGCAGGGACTAATTCTGCACTGCGATTAAACTGAACTAAACAACCCCATTCTAGAGAAGGACATTGAGCATTAATCACCTGGTCCTTTAAACCAAGGAACCAATTACTAAAACCAAAGCACAACCCTCAAACTGGTAAAGTACCTACAAAGAAAAAGGTCTATATTCCTAATATTAATGAGGAGGATAATCATCCTTTTCCTCACTGGAGGAGCCTCCTCTAAGTCACACATACAAAACACAAAGCCAGACCGCTGAACCTAATGAAGAGTAAGAGAGTATTGTCTGACCTACAGAGCAGTCAGAGCCAGTCCAGTTAGCCTCACAGACGCAGGTTCCCGACTCGGTGTGGAAAATTCCGTGGATGGAGCACTGTTCAGGACACGTGCTTCTCAGGATCGCACAGCCCATTCCGCCCCAGCCCGGGTTACAGTGGCATTCACCGTGGTGGCAGGCTCCGTGGCCCGAGCAGGTCGGGTCCACACAGTCCACTAGGGAAACACGGGGAAAACAGGAGGAAGGAAAAGAGATGGATCAAGCCCTGTGTATTGGATGATTTAATCAAAGCCTAATGATATAAACAAATAAACACGTGAACATGTTCCATAGCCACCTTATTACTAGTACAGCCATTCAAGCTAACACATACAACATACTGTATATACAAAAGTATGTGAACACCCCTTCAAATTAGTTGATTCGGCTATTTCAGCCACACCCGTTGCTGACAGGTGTATAAAATCATGGACACAGAGATGCAATCTCCATAGAGAAACATTGGCAGTAGAATAGCCTTACTAAAGAGCTCAGTGACTTTTAACGTGGCACCGTCATAGGACGTCACCTTTCCAACAAGTCAGTTGGTCAAATTTCTGCCCTGCTAGAGCTGCACCGGTCAACTTTAAGTGCTGTTATTGTGAAGTGGAAATGTCTAGTAGCAACAACGGCTCAGCCGCAAAGTGGTAGGCCACAAAAGCTCACAGAACGGGATCACCGAGCACTGAAGCGCGTAGCACGTAAAAATCTTCGCCCACATTGGACTCTGGAGCAGTGGAACCGCGTTGTCTGGAGTGATGAATCACGGATCACCATCTGGCAGTCCAACGGACAAATCTGGGTTTGCGGATGCCAGGAGAACGCTTCCTGCCCCAATGCATAGTGCCAACAGTTTGGTGGAGGAGGAATAATGGTCTGAGGCTGTTTTTCATGGTTCGGGCTAGGCCCCTTAGTTCCAGTGAAGGGAAATCTTAATGCTACAGCATACAATGACATTCTAGACGATTCTGTGCTTCCAACTTTGTGGCAACAGTTTGGGGAAGGCCCTTTCCTGTTTCAGCATGACAATGCCCCATGCACAAAGCAAGGTCCATACAGAAATGGTTTGTTGAGATTGGTGTGGAAGAACTTGACTGGCCTGCACAGAGTCCTGACCTCAACCCAATCAAACACCTTTGGGATGAATTGGAACGCCGACTGCGAGCCAGGCCTAATCGCCCAACATCAGTGCCCGACCTCACTAATGCTCGTGAAGAGTGGAGGCTCTTATTTTATTTATATTTATTTATTTAACCTTTATTTAACCAGGTAAGCCAGTTGAGAACAAGTTCTCATATACAACTGCGACCTGGCCAAGATAAAGCAAAGCAGTGCGATAAAAACAATAACACAGAGTTACATATGGGGTAAACAAAACATAAAGTCAAAAATACAACAGAAAATATATATACAGTGTGTGCAAATGTAGCAAGTTATGGAGATAAGGCAATAAATAGGCCATAGTGCAAAATAATTACAATTTAGTATTAACACTGGAATGATAGATGTGCAAGAGATGATGTGCAAATAGAGATACTTGGGTGCAAATGAGCAAAATAAATAACAATATGGGGATGAGGTAGTTGGGTGGGCTAATTTCAGATGGGCTGTGTACAGGTGCAGTGATCGGTAAGGTGCTCTGACAACTTATGCTTAAAGTTAGTGAGGGAGATAAGAGTCTCCAGCTTCAGAGATTTTTGCAGTTAGTTCCAGTCATTGGCAGCAGAGAACTGGAAGGAATGGCGGCCAAAGGAGGTGTTGGCTTTGGGGATGACCAGTGAGATATACCTGCTGGAGTGCATACTACGGGTGGGTGTTGCTATGGTGACCAATGAGCTAAGATAAGGCAGGATTTGCCTAGCAGTGATATATAGATGACATGGAGCCAGTGGGTTTGGCGACAAATTTGTAGTGAGGACCAGCCAACAAGAGCGTACAGGTCACAGTAGTGGGTAGTATATGGGGCTTTGGTGACAAAATGGATGGCACTGTGATAGACTACATCCAATGTGCTGAGTAGAGTGTTGGAAGCTATTTTGTAAATGACATCGCCGAAGTAAAAGGATCGGTAGGATAGTCAGTTTTACGAGGGCATGTTTGGCAGCATGAGTGAAGGAGGCTTTGTTGCAAAATAGGAAGCCAATTCTAGATTTAACTTTGGATTGGAGATGCTTAATGTGAGTCTGGAAGGAGAGTTTACAGTCTAACCAGACACTTAGATATTTGTAGTTGTCCACATACTCTAGGTCAGACCCGCAGAGAGTAGTGATTCTAGTCGGGTGGGCGGGTGCCAGCAGCGTTCGATTGAAGAGCATGCATTTAGTTTTACTAGTGTTTAAGAGCAGTTGGAGGCTACGGAAGGAGTGTTGTATGGTATTGAAACTCGTTTATAGCAGCAAAGGGGGGACCAACTCCATATTAATGCCCATGATTTTGGAATGGGATGTTCGACGAGCAGGTGTCCACATACTTTTGGTCATGTAGTCTATATTGATCTCAGCGACTCATTGAGAATCATTTGGTGCTCATCATATACGGCAAGACCTTATCCATCCCAGTTTGAGTAACATGTCAACTAATAACATTGTCCAACCGTTCCTGCATAATTCCACAATAGCATGTGTCCTTTCTCTCTTAATTCACTTTACAATGAGCGCAAAAATGCGATTTAATTACTGCCTCAACTCAATAACATTTTACACGTCAGGTCACTCTCACAGGCTTCTTGTACTGGAGTGCACTGAACCAATCACACTGAATGGACAATAATAATAATAATATGCCATTTAGCAGACGCTTTTATCCAAAGCGACTTACAGTCATGCGTGCATACATTTTTTTTTTGTGTATGGGTGGTCCCGGGGATCGAACCCACTACCTTAGCGTTACAAGCGCCGTGCTCTACCAGCTGAGCTACAGAGGACCACAATTCAGAATAAATTCCAATCCATAGCTGTGGTAGCTAAATGGTTGGAGGGAGCTAATGCATGCAAGTATCAATGCAGGAACACAATGGATTATCTGCTTGATGAAGTTGAAAAAAGCAATTGTTTTAGCTGTTTATGTACTGTATACATCGCTGACCGGCTGGGAAATCAAACGGCGACACTAAATATCCTTGTGGTGTACCTTGGTGACAGTTGCTTCCCTTGTGGCCGGCATTGCACACACAGTTACCCGACATGCAGATCCCATGGCCGCCACATTGGGTGTCCACACACTGAGTAGTGGGCACGTCACACTCTGTGCCCTTCCATCCACTGTAGCATTGACAGCGCCCCCTGGTGTACTGGCCATTGCCACTGCATAAGATGGGACAGGCAGCTGTGGTTGGAAGTAACAAGGTTATTAAAAAGTATATATGACAACTTCTTGTAAAGTATATTATTCCATTGTGTAGCTGTAGTGTTGATACAAGCATACAAATCAACACATCTATCATTATCTGGCCACGCTACAATAGACATGAGTACAACACTTTCTCTCCAAATATTTTATTTGAACCATTAGCCCTAACCCTGCCTTTAGCCTAACCCTAAATTAATAACAAATGTCACATGCACATGGTAATCAATTCTGACAATATAACCAATATTTGTCCTTTGAAGCATGGCCATTTATTGATTGTGATATCAATACATGGACTAGGAATGTGACAAGAGAACATACATACCTCTTGAGCAGTATGGTCCAATGAACCCTGGGAAACAGTGACATGAGCCCGACACACACTCTCCGTTTCCATAACAGTTGTGTGAGCACTCCATAACCGACTCTGTTGGGACAGACATTTTTCTTTCTAGAATGACACCAGCCATTATTGAGATATCATATCTCTAAAATGTAGCAACCACATTTGTATTACATCATCCGATATCAACATAATGGATTCTTGGATTGGATTTCCTATCACTACAATGTTGTCACATACTACGCCATCTTATACAGCTACTGTATACCACAATTCCACTCAGTCAATTGTATACATGTACAGCAGAGGAGGCTGCTGAGGGGAGGAAGGCTCATATTAATGGCCAGAATGGAGTAAATGGTTACCAATCAAACATGGTTTTCACTTGTTTGATACCATTCCATTCACTCCATTTCAGCCATTATTATGAGCCGCCCCCCCCCCCCCCCCCCCAGCAGCCTCCATTGATGTACAGTATACAGCACATTTGACTTTTTCCACATTTTGTTACATTACAGCCTTATTCTAAAATGTATTAAAACACTGTTTTTTCTCATTAATCTACACACAATACCCCATAATGACAAAGCCAAAACAGGTTTTTAATTTTTTTTGCAAATGTATTACAAATAAAACAGAAACACCTTATTTACATAAGTATTCAGACCCTTTGCTATGAGACTCGAAATTCAGCTCAGGTGCATCCTGTTTCCATTTATCATCCTTAAGATGTTTCAACAACTTGGTTGGAGTCCACCTGTGGTAAATTCAATTGAATGGACATGATTTGGAAAGGCACACCTGTCTATATAAAGGTCCCACAGTTGACAGTGCATGTCAGAGCAAAAATCAAGCCATGAGGTCGACGGAATTATCAATAGAGCTCCAAAACAGGATTGTGTCGAGGCACAGATCTGGGGAAGGGTACCAAAACATTTCTGCAGCATTGAAGGTCCCCAAGAACACAGTGGCCTCCACCATTCTTAAATGGAAGAAGTTTGGAACCACCAAGACTCTTCCTAGAGCTGGCCGCTCCAGAGTTCCTCTGTGGAGATGGGAGAACCTTCCAGAAGGACAATCATCTTTGCAGCACTCCACCAATCAGGCCTTTATGGTAGAGTGGCCAGACGGAAGCCTCTCCTCAGTAAAAGGCACATGACGGCCCGCTTGGAGTTTGCCAAAAGGCACCTAAAGACTCTCAAGTGGTCTGATGAAACCAAGATTGAACTCTTTGGCCTGAAAGCCAAGCATCACGTCTGGAGGAAACCTGGCACCATCCCTACGGTGAAACATGGTGGTGGCAGCATCATGCTGTGGGGATGTTTTTCCATCAGCAGGGACTGGGAGATTAGTCAGGATCGAGTGAAAGATGAATGGAGCAAAGTACAGAGAGATCCTTGATGAAAACCTGCTCCAGAGTGTTCAGGACCTCAGACTGGGCTGAAGGTTCACCTTCCAACAAGACCACGACCCTAAGCACACAGCTAAAACAACACACTCATAAAGGGAACTCCCCCTAGGCTGGGGGCTCGTTTAGTTTTTATTTCTTTTGAAGACTACTAGGAGGTCAGTTTCAACCAGGGGTTGGAACTGGTCCAGGGAACAGAACCAAAAACTGGAAAAGAATGACATCAAAAACAATATTAGAACCGGAATCAGAACCGGGAACAAACATTATCTATACCGTTCCGGAACAGAACCGTTTTTTTAAAAGCATGGGAACCGATTAATAACATAATTTTATGTTCCAGACATTTTTTTCCAGTCCCACAAAAAATGCAACAAAGCGCCTATGCAAAGCCCTCACTCTGTCATTTAGAAACGTATTCCAGTGCCTGCCTGCCAGCTGAAAATCTTTGCCAGTGTGTGCGCTTGTGTAGGCTACCTGCCCCTCCGAAGCATAGCCCACTGATGTTACAAGCGTGATTCAGAAATTAGGGAGAGAGATTTTTAATTAGAGAAGAATGGATTAACTTATTCAATGCTAGTTAAGGATACTACAGTTATCATGTTTCACATTGGATTTATTAACTACAAAAATGTAAGACGTGTTTTTACTTTAATTCTGGTGCCGCTCTTCACACACAAGCTTGTTAGTAGGGGTGTGGCGAGTACTCGGACAAAACGGGTAACTGATATTTTCTGAATATGATTATGACACGACTAATTTGGGTAATTATCCGCTGTGTGCTCCAAATAACTATTGGCTAGTTCTTCTGTCTGTAAAGAAACTGGCGGAGTATCGGTTGAGCCTGCTGCAACGATTGGATTAGAACAAGCCACTCTCCGTCTACTCTCATTTCCCCAGACAGACACACAAGTTGATGTTTCACTCAGTCACTCACTCACAGTCACTCGTCTCAGGGCACAAGTCTCCCCTTCTCCAAACATAATGTATGAATCAGAATCCGTAGCTAGTCATTGTTGTTCAATCTAATTATTTTCTGTAGACTGAGGCCATATGGTTGTTTTTGTCTGTCTAATGGCGTTGTTTAGTAGGCCTACTTTGTCTGTCCTGTCCATCTTGTGATCCAAGCTCATGCTTCTTGCTATTATTTAATCTCGCCCAGGCATGTTTACCGAGCGACAGATCATTCAAAAATAGAATTACAAATGTTTATGTTGATTGTACAAATGCTGTAGCATAAGTGTCGGGAGAGAAACGTTTTGCTACTCTCGAAAGTGAAACAATATATGGGGAAAGCGAATTAGCCTAATGTCATCTATATATGTGTCTGGAATACATGCAGGCAGTAGTAGACAGCCATGCATTAGGGTATTTATTAGCCTATTTCAATGATAAGTAAATAGCCCTACTGTGCATTTTCATCTGTCAAGGTCGTTTACCTTTGAACAATGTGTGTGAATGAGTGAATTAACATATTGATGCGCTCGGAGATGCGATCACTTCAGGTATAGGCTTTACGGGCATTTAAAGCGCACTTCCGTGTTTCCCGATCACCAGTAAATCCAATTACGAGTATCAAGTGTAAGAGTACGATTAAGAATAAGAGTATGACGAGATCAGCACATCCCACCTTCTCTCGCTCTCTCCCCACCTGCAAAATGTGTCTGTCCAATGCATGTAGTTAAACAATTATAGCTTGCCCGCTCCATAGCAAGCAGGTCTATCCGCACTGATTGGTGAAGTAATTTAATGTAGCGCTAAATAAAATAAAATAAATAAATTTTAGATCCTTAAAAAGGAACAGATGGAACGATATAAACCGTTACTTGTTTTGGGTTAGATCCGGTCCAGAACTTTATTTTGCAGGACGGAATAGTGAAACAGAACGAGAAAAATAATGGTTATATTCAGTACGAAATGATTGGAAAATAATTTTGGTTCCAAACCCTGGTTTCAAGAGATCCAGGCAATTCTGACATTGGATATCGATAACTCCATATCTTTAGAAACGGATTGACGGAATTCCCCAAGGCAAAACATGAACTCAGCCTGTTTTCTCTTTTCCCACAACACAATTCGTGAGCCAGCACGACCATGAGGAGACTGTCCTAAGGGATGGAGATATTCCTGCTATGTAAAGGCGTAAAATATGCATAAGACAATTCACACAGCCCAATCAACAAATTATGCTTGCATCATATAGTCTGTAGATGTAGTTTAAATTCTTGATTAGTGTATGTATGTACAGTGGGGAGAACAAGTATTTGATACACTGCCGATTTTGCAGGTTTTCCTACTTACAAAGCATATAGAGGTCTGTAATTTTTTATCATAGGTACACTTCAAATGTGAGAAACGGAACCTAAAACAAAAATCCAGAAAATCACATTGTATGATTTTTAAGTAATTAATTTGCATGTTATTGCATGACATACGTATTTGATCACCTACCAACCAGTAAGAATTCCGGCTCTCACAGACCTGTTAGTTTTTCTTTAAGAAGCCCTCCTGTTCTCCACTCATTACCTGTATTAACTGCACCTGTTTGAACTCGTTACCTGTATAAAAGACACCTGTCCACACACTCAATCAAACAGACTCCAACCTCTCCACAATGGCCAAGACCAGAGAGCTGTGTAAGGACATCAGGGATAAAATTGTAGATCTGCACAAGGCTGGGGTGGGCTACAGGACAATAGGCAAGCAGCTTGGTGAGAAGGCAACAACTGTTGGCGCAATTATTAGAAAATTGAAGAAGTTCAAGATGACGGTCAATCACCCTCGGTCTGGGGCTCCATGCAAGATCTCACCTCGTGGGGCATCAATGATCATGAGGAAGGTGAGGGAAAGCCCAGAACTATACAGCAGGACCTGGTCAATGACCTGAAGAGAGCTGGGACCACAGTCTCAAAGAAAACCATTTGTAACACACTACGCCGTCATGGATTAAAATCCTGCAGCGCACGCAAGGTCCCCCTGCTCAAGCCAGCGCATGTCCAGGCCCGTCTGAAGTTTGCCAATGACCATCTGGATGATCCAGAGGAGGAATGGGAGAAGGTCATGTGGTCTGATGAGACAAAAATGTAGCTTTTTGGTCTAAACTCCACTCGCCGTGTTTGGAGGAAGAAGGATGAGTACAACCCCAAGAACATTCCAACCGTGAAGCATGGAGGTGGAAACATCATTCTTTGGGGATGCTTTTCTGCAAAGGGGACAGGACGACTGCACCGTATTGAGGGGAAGATGGATGGGGCCATGTATTGCGAGATCTTGGCCAACAACCTCCTTCCCTCAGTAAGAGCATTGAAGATGGGTCGTGGCTGGGTCTTCCAGCATGACAACGACCTGAAACACACAGCCAGGGCAACTAAGGAGTGGCTCCGTAAGAAGCATCTCAAGGTCCTGGAGTGGCCTAGCCAGTCTCCAGACCTGAACCCAATAGAAAATCTTTGGAGGGAGCTGAAAGTCCGTATTGCCCAGCAACAGCCCTGAAACCTGAAGGATCTGGAGAAGGTATGGAGGAGTGGGCCAAAAGCCCTGCTGCAGTGTGTGCAAACCTGGTCAAGACCTACAGGAAACAAATGATCTCTGTAATTGCAAACAAAGGTTTCTGTACCAAATATTAAGTTCTGCTTTTCTGATGTATCAAATACTTATGTCATGCAATGAAATGCAAATTAATTACTTAAAAATCATATAATGTGATTTTCTGGATTTTTGTTTTAGATTCCGTCTCTCACGGTTGAAGTGTACCTATGATAAAAATTACAGTCCTCTACATGCTTTGTAAGTAGGAAAACCTGCAATGTCGCAGTGTATCAAATACTTGTTCTCCCCACTGTATGTGGTAATCTGGCCTGCCAGTGCCAACTATCCATTCATTCTCTAAAGAGGAACGCTCACTCAGTAACTTGGGGGAAAATAACCTCCAATAAGTACCTTTCCCTGGAAAAATACTTCATAACAAATCTACAGTGCCCTCCTCACCCATTTTACAGGGGTGGTCCCTTACCTAGGATGATGGTGTTGTATGATATTGTCTCCGGGGTCTTCCCGTCATTGTAGAAGGCCAGATGCCACACCCCAGAGTCCAGGTACCGGATGAAGCCAGCTTGGTGCAGGCTGACCTGGTGCTCCATCCACCCCCTGGCTTCCGACTCTGTGGAAGCCCGCCTCTCTTTGGCGATGAGTCTGCTGCCATCCAGCAGCTCCACAAAGTCATACTGAAGAAAGGTCAAGCAGAGACGTCAATTGGGACTTATTCATTGGTCACTTGACATAAGATGATGAAAAATGCTGACGTGACATTCTTTGTTGTTCCAGGTGCAAAATATCTGTTAAAAAAAGTATCTAATTTGACATTAAAGGAGCTATCCACGATTTAATTGAGTCGAAGTAAAGATTTTCCAGAAGACTGATCCTTTTCATTCTGAATGCTAACTGTGTTTCATTCACACAAACACAAAACAGAGTGTTGAAAGAAGAAAAGAGCACATTAAAAAAGGATTTAGTATCAGAAATGGGACATGCAGCGAACACAACACAAAGCAACTCTCCAACTGACTCAGTACGGATAGGAAATACAGCATTAAATTAAGGGTGAGCGAAGTCAACTCTCAGTGGTTTAAACCCTTATGAGAGGAGCTGAGGGGCAGAGAAGAGATATTACCCTGCTGATGTAGGCCATTTTGTGTTGGTGGCCAGGGGGCCAAGTAAAAGAAGTACAGAACCCAACCATTCCTTTACTCCCAGACCAGTGTGTGCGTCTTGATTATTTGGCAAAGGCTCATCTCAATCTAACAATAGGAGCAAATAATAATGGACAAGAAGCCAAGCCTAGCTGGGCCACCCAATAAACCACAAATATTTATTAGCTAGTACTTGGGAACAGTGGCGGCTCCTGAAAAAATTCTCAGGGGGGGCAATTTTTCTGATGATTTAGGTGACCTACACACATTTTAAAAAAGATATGTCCAGCAACAACATGAAGACAGGGGCAGCATATAAGTCAATACCAGAAGCATTTATTGACTGATCTCAAAAGTGTTGGCTTACAGAAGCAAAATAAGTTATCACAGTAAAAATAATCAAGGGTGTTCTTTCACATTCCTCAACACTGCATAAACAATATGCATTTCCATAAAACACCTCATCTAATTGTGCCACAAAGTTGACAAGTCCAAGAAAAATACCAGGGTTGGTGGAGCCCTCAGTTTCATCTTTGCCTCGCAAAGCTAACTCAAACACTCCGCAAAACTTCACACACTGGATTAGCCAGCTGAGGATGTGGCGGTTCTTGCTAACCTCATCGTTGTGGCGGCGGACAGCTAGCCTGTATCCCTCATCCAGTTGAGTGGCAATGTTCACTCTCTCCAAAGCAGACAATCTCAAACAGCTATCCATGTGGGTCTTTGACAGCTCATGTTTCTTAATCTTTTCTGAAAGATGGTGCATGTCCGTTACACCAGTCGCTGTCCAAGCGGTGCTGTCTGCCGTGCCGCCTTCAGGGTGAAAGAGTAAGCAGGGGTAGCAGAAGACTGCATTAGCTACATCGCAGCCTGCTAGCCAGGTTTTTCGTTCGTACCAATTTTTGGAAAATCCTCGGGTGTAGGACTTTCCCCCTTTAGTAGAAACATGTTGAATTATTAAATTTGGTCTGGGAGGTCCTAATTGTTTCGTTGCCAATTTATCTTGATTTGTTCGCCGACAAAAAGGAACTTCTTTCAAAAAGACAATCGAGTTGCACTGAACGCTAGCCATCTTGACAGTAGTACGTGAATTGATTGACGCTGCTACCCGCTCTTTTCTTAGTTACGTTCATGGTTATGTTACGTATGACGAAAGCGCGTAAGTGCAAGTTCTCCCGGAACCCATAGAGATTGTATTGAAAGCTCTGATATTTGAAAAAAAAAGATTTTACATGAGAGTCTATGAGAGACTTCTGGGGCTATTTTCAACCTGACTGAAATCGCCCCAAAAGGGGCGGGGCCATTTGAAGCACGACTTTAGCCTGATTGGACATTTAGTGGCAGATCAGACGTCTAGATTAGAACACTGATAACTACTGTTGCCGTGATATAATTGATTAGAAAAAAAATCCCTTCCTTTTCCCGTTTGGCAGTGCGTCGCCCATATCGCCCTAATGAACACACCGCCCCTGCTTGGGAATTCAAACTATTGTTGATAATTTCTTCACAAAACCTAGTTTTAGACAATTGATTAATCATGCAGAGTAAGACAATAACAAATTGAGTAAAAAAAAAAAAAGTGGGGTAGGTAAGTTGTTCCTCAACTCAGGCTGTGAATGTAACCAACGGTCAATATCTCTCATTGGGGTCTTTCATGCTCAGTTACATAAACATATTGATTTATCTCCCTGGCAATTTAACAGACCGTTTTTAAGGCAGTGGTGGGGGAATTTGTGTCTATTAAATATTAAAGCATTAGACCTCTCAGGCTTCTGTCACACAAAAGTTACACTTAAATTCAAACTGGTTCTATAGCAGATTAGTAAAAATGTGCCTTTTCCCCTTTATTCAGATTACAACCTATCACTTTCGGTTATTCGAAAATGAAATCATCTCATAAACATCACTATTTTTAAAACAAGCCATAGAAATTTGGTTAAATTTCAGTTTAATCCACCAGAAAAGACAGAACAAATACAGTGAGGGAAAAAAGTATTTGATCCCCTGCTGATTTTGTACGTTTGCCCACAGAAAGAAATGATCAGTCTATAGGAAGGTTTATTTGAACAGTGAGAGACAGAATAACAACAAAAAAATCCAGAAAAACACATGTCAAAAATGTTATAAATTGATTTGCATTTTAATGAGGGAAATAAGTATTTAACCTCCTCTCAATCAAAAAGATTTCTGGCTCCCAGGTGTCTTTTATACAGGTAACGAGCTGAGATTAGGAGCACACTCTTAAAGGGAGTGCTCTTAATCTCATTTTGTTACCTGTGTAAAAGACACTTGTCCACAGAAGCAAATCAATCAATCAGATTCCAAACTCTCCACCATGGCCAAGACCAAAGAGCTCTCCAAGGATGTCAGGGACAAGATTGTAGACCTACACAAGGCTGGAATGGGCTACAAGACCATCGCCAAGCAGCTTGGTGAGAAGGTGACAACAGTTGGTGCAATTATTCACAAATGGAAGAAACACAAAATAACTGTCAATCTCCCTCGGCCTGGGGCTCCATGGAAGATCTCACCTCGTGGAGTTGCAATGATCATGAGAACGGTGAGGAATCAGCCCAGAACTACACGGGAGGATCTTGTCAATGATCTCAAGGCAGCTGGGACCATAGTCACCAAGAAAACAATTGGTAACACACTACGCCGTGAAGGACTGAAATCCTGCAGCGCCCGCAAGGTCCCCCTGCTCAAGAAAGCACATATACAGGCCCGTCTGAAGTTTGCCAATGAACATCTGAATGATACAGAGGAGAACTGGGTGAAAGTGTTGAGCTCTTTGGCATCAACTCAACTCGCCGTGTTTGGAGGAGGAGGAATGCTGCCTATGACCCCAAGAATACCATCCCCACCATCAAACATGGAGGTGGAAACGTTATGGTTTGGGGGTGTTTTTCTGCTAAGGGGACAGGACAACTTCACCACATCAAAGGGACGATGGACGGGGCCATGTACCGTTAAATCTTGGGTGAGAACCTCCTTCCCTCAGCCAGGGCATTGAAAATGGGTCGTGGATGGGTATTCCAGCATGACAATGACCCAAAACACACGGCCAAGGCAACAAAGGAGTGGCTCAAGAAGAAGCACATTAAGGTCCTGGAGTGGCCTAGCCAGCAAAGAAGAGTGGGACAAAATCCCTCCTGAGATGTGTGCAAACCTGGTGGCCAACTGCAAGAAACATCTGACCTCTGTGATTGCCAACAAGGGTTTTGCCACCAAGTACTAAATCATGTTTTGCAGAGGGGTCGAATACTTATTTCCCTTATTAAAATGAAAATCAATTTATAACATTTTAGACATGCGTTTTTCTGGATTTTTTGTTGTTATTCTGTCTCTCTGTTCAAATAAACCTACCATTAAAATTATAGACTGATCATGGTCTTTGTCAGTGGGCAAACGTACAAAATCAGCAGGGGATCAAATACTTTATTCCCCGCACTGTATGTCACACATGCAGCTAAAACAAATATATGGAAATGTCTGCTCTACCCAAAATTACACCCAACTAATTGCAGCATTACCGCAAAAATGGAAGAGGCAAGTAGAAAGGGGAAAAAGTAAGAAACTTGTCTGTCGGTCCTGCATTAAAGACCAACATTGGTTAAATAAAACTGTGATAAATAAAGTATACCAGTTTCTTTTAAGGACAATTTTCTTTACAGTTGTGCAATTTAGATTGCAAAATAGTTGGGAAGAGATTTTCGATGTACCGATTCCATGGCACATGGTTTATGAGCTGATAAACAAAAAGACACCGGATTCAAAACTTAGAATTTTCCAATTCCAATTATTATACAAAACCAATAGAATGTTATATATACAGTTGAAGTCGGAAGTTTACATACACCTTAGCCATTTAAACATTTAAACACAGTTTTTCACAATTCCTGACATTTAATCCTAGTAAAAATTCCCTGTCTTAGGTCAGTTAGGATCACCACTTTATTTTAAGAATGTGAAATGTCAGAATAATAGTAGAGAAAATGGTTTATTTCAGCTTTTAATTATTTCCTCGCATTCCCAGTGGGTCAGAAGTTTACATACACTCAATTAGTATTTGGTAGCCTTTAAATTGTTTAACTTGGGTCAAACATGTCGGGTAGCCTTCCACATGCTTCCCACAATAAGTTGGGTGAATGTTGGCCCATTCCTCCTGACAGAGCTGGTGTAACTGAGTCAGGTTTGTAGGCCTCCTTGCTCACACACGCTTTTTCAGCTCTGCCCACATATTTTCTATAGAATTGAGGTCAGGGCTTTGTGATGGCCACTCCAATACCTTGACTTTGTTGTCCTTAAGCCATTTTGGGGTGGGGTCATTTTCCTTTTGGAAGACACATTTGCGACCAAGCTTTAACTTCCTGACTGATGTCTTGAGATGTTGCTTCAATATATCCACATAATTTTCCTTCCTCAAGATGCCATCTATTTTGTGAAGAGCACCAGTCCCTCCTGCAGCAAAGCAACCCTATAGCATGATGCTGCCACCCCCGTGCTTCACGGTTGGGATGATGATCTTCGGCTTGCAAGCAACCCCCTTTTCCTCCATGATGGTCAACGATGGTCATCTTTGTCCCCATGTGCAGTTGCAAACCGTAGTCTGGCTTTTTTATGGCGGTTTTGGAGCAGTGGCTTCTTCCTTGCTGAGCGGCCTTTCAGGTTATGATGATATAGGACTCGTTTTACTGTGGATATAGATACTATTGTACCTGTTTCCTCCAGCATCTTCACAAGGTCCTTTGCTGTTGTTCTGGGATTGATTTGCACTTTTTGCACCAAAGTATGTTCATCTCTAGGAGACAGAACACGTCTCCTTCCTGAGCAGTATGACGGCTGCGTGGTCCCATGGTGTTTATACTTGAGTACTATTGTTTGTACAGATGAACATGTACCTTCAGGCGTTTGGAAATTGCTCCCAAGGATGAACCAGACATGTGGAGGTCTACAATTTTTTTTCTGAGGTCTTGGCTGATTTATTTTGATTTTACCGTGATGTCAAGCAAATAGGCACTGAGTTTGAAGGTAGGCAATGAAATACATCCACAGGTACACCTCCAATTGACTCAAATTATGTAAATTAGCCTATCAGAAGCTTCTAAAGCCATGACATCATTTTCTGGATTTTTCCAAGCTGTTTAAAGGCTAAGTCAATTTAGTGTAACTTCTGAGCCACTGGAATTGTGATACAGTGCATTATAAGTGAAATAATCTGTCTGTAAACAATTGTTGGAAAAGTTACTTGTGTCATGCACAAAGTAGATGTCCTAACCGACTTGCCAAAACTATAGTTTGTTAACAAGAAATTTGTGGAGTGGTTGAAAAACAAGTTTTATTGACTCCAACCTAAGTGTATGTAAACGTCCGACTTTTCAACAGGAGAATGACCCAACACACCTCCAGGCTAAGGGCTATTTGACCAAGAAGGAGAGTGATGGAATGCTGCATCAGATGACCTGGCATCCACAATCACCTGACCTCAACCCAATTGAGATGGTTTGGGATGAGTTGGACCGCAGAGTGAAGGAAAAGTAGCCAACAAGTGCTCAGCATATGTGGGAACTCCTTCAAGACTGTTGGAAAAGCATTCCAGGTGACGCTGGTTGAGAGAATGCCAAAAGTGTGCAAAGCTGTCATCAAGGCAAAGGGTGGCTATTTGAAGAATCTCAAATATAAAATATATCTTGATTTTTCTAACACTTTTTTGGTTACTACATGATTCCATATGTGTTATTTCATAGTTTTGATGTCTTCACTATTATTCTACAATATATACAATTGTAAAAATAAAGAAAAACCCTTGAATGAGTATGTGTGTCCAAACTTTTGACTGGTAGTGTATGTACTTTTTATTGTTGGATATATAAGACTAAAAATACCAGGAAATGAGCTCCAATTGATTTTAATTTTGGAAATCTGTTCCCAATTATTCCCACACATAATAGAGAGACACGTAATCATATACAAATGTAAGCAATGTTTGAAATGATAATGTTTTAGTGAAATATTATATCTGTTTGGGCTTCTTGCAGTCAATTTGCAGCCTGCAAAATATTTGTAATTATGTTCCTGTCCCCCGACCATCCGCTCAAGGAATAATCGTCCCACTCCTGAATTTAGTCGATGATCCCTGCTTTAAGTATTAGAATCTGGTCATTCAGTTGATGAACAGCGCTACAAATAAAACTTTGTCTTGTGACACTTCACAAAACACTTTACTTTGTAAAAAATAAAACTGAAAAGACAAATATTCTAAGCATGGCAGTGGATTTCTATGTCATTTTGCAAAAATCATACAGTCAGATTTTTCCACCCTACTCAACAGATGTACCATTTACCTGTGTGTGAGATGGTGGGAGACCCTTCCTCCCGTAGACCCCAACCAGTGCATTCTTCTGAACAGAGATATTGAACTTGAGGAAGCGCGGCTGTTCCATAGCCAGCCGAGAGCGCCAGAACACCCCCGGCGGTATTCCCTGATCTACCCTCCTGCCCACTTCCACTTGCCCGGTGTCAATGGAGTTGTTTTCTTGATGGGCCGCACCAGTCCTGCCTGGAGGGGAGTAAGAGAGAGCACTTACCGTTCATCACCATATTCGAAAACTATACCTATACAAGCGCTCTGAAACCACAGTTACAGTTTCACAAACATCTGTTCTTCTATTCTGTGAACCCATTTTCGGCAAAATGATAACATTTTCAATATCACCTTGATTTAAATAAAATGGAGACAGCCTTTAGTTATTATGCCCCCAGCCTCTGGAAAAGCCTACCAGAGAACCTGAGGGGGGCCGAAAATGTGGACATTTAAAAGAGATCTTAAACACACCTTTTTAGCTTTGCTTTTCCTTAGGGTGCTTTTTAGTCCTTCAGTTTTACTGTTATTCTTTTGTTTTTTATCCTCTTATGTTTGTTGTGTAGTAAATATTTCTGTTTTTATTTTCATAGTTTATTTTTATTCGTTTTTTCCTGTGAAGCACATTGCGTTGCATTCCATGTCTGAAATGTGGTGTATAAATAAATCTTGATTTGATTTGATATGATACAGACACATGGCTCACAGTCTATATCGCTGGCCCTCATAGATATGAGTCTTGCTCATTAGATACAGCACAGTCAAACATGGAAATACAAGTCAGCTTCAGTAGTTCAAGGTATTTCTACTTCCTGGTACAAATTCAGTTGATGATATAAACTTCTTTATTCTCACTCAAATAGACCCTAGCTGGTTGCTCCATTATGAGACTGGAACAGATCGTTTTGCCATTTGTTGCCCTATCTTTTGTGTGGTACTGGTGATTCACTAAACGTAATAGTTGATACATTACCTGGTACAGTACTGTAACAATACATGATAAGGATTGGGAAGTGATGCTTTTAAAGGTTAATGTAGCTGCAAAGACACCCACTTAAACATGACTCTGCCTGAGTTACAATCAAACATAAATTTGCCGACAACACGACGGTGGTAGGCCTGATCACAAACAACGATGAGACAGCCTATAACAGGGGACCGTTCTTGCGGTCAATTTGTAGTCTACAAATTATTTGTAATTATGTACCGGCCCCCTGACCATCAGCTCAAGAAGAAAATCGTCCCGCAGCTGAATCTAATTGATGATCCCTGGCCTATGGGAGGAGGACATAGACCTGGCAGTGTGGTGCCGTGACAACAACCTCTCCCTCAACGTCAGAAAGACAAAGTAGGTGATCGTGGACAACAGGAAACAGAGGGCCGAGCACACCACCATTCACATTGAGGGGGCTGAAGTGGAGCTGGTCGAGAACTTCAAGTTCCTCGGTGTCCACATCACTAAGGATCTATCATGGTCCAAACACACCAACACAGTTGTAAAAAGGGCACGACAATGCCTCTTCCCCCTCAGGAGGCTGAAAAGATTTGGCATGGGCCCTCGATCCGCAAAAAGTTCTACAGCTTCACCAATAAGAGCATCCTGACTGGTTGCATCACCGCCTGGTATGGCAACTGCTCGGCATCCCACCGCAAGGCGCTACAGAGGGTAGTGCGTACGGCCCAGTACATCACTGGGGTGGACCTCCCTGCTATCCAGGACCTCTATATCAGGCGGTGTCAGAGGAAGGCCCCAAGAATTGTCAAAGACTCCAGCCACCTAAGTCATAGATTGTTCTCTTCGCTACCGTACGGCAAGCGGTACCGATGCACCAAGTCTGGAACCAACAGGACCTTGAACAGCTTCTACCCCCAAGCCATTAGACTCCTAAATAGTTAGTTAAATAGTTAACCAAATAGCTACCCGGACTATTGACCCTTTTTGCACTCACTTTTTTTACTCATCACATACACTGCTGCTACTGTTTACTATCTGTCACTTTTTCCCTAGTTATTATGTACATACAGTACAGTGGAGGCTGCTGAGGGGAGGACGGCTCATAATAATGTCTGGAACGGAGTAAATGGAATGGCATCAAACACATGGAAACCATCGGTTTGATGTATTTGATACCATTCCACCAATTCCGCTCCAGCCGTTACCACGAGCCCCCAATTAAGGTACCACCAACCTCCTGTGATACAGTATCTACCTCAATTACCTCGTACCCCCTGCACATCAACTCGGTACTGGTACCCTGTGTATGTAGCCAAGTTATCGTGACTCATTGTGTCTCTATTATTACTTTTATTATTGCGTGTTTACTTTTCTATTATTTCTCTATTTTCTTTCTCTCTGTATTGTTTGGAAGGGTCCGTAAGTAAGCATTTCACTGTTAGTCCACACCTACGAAGCATGTGACGAATAAAATTAGATTTGACTCATTCTCAAATGAAAAGTTAAATACCTTACTTCGGTGTACAGTGATGTTATGCTCAAAGCATTAATGTTAAAATATGTTTGCCTGATATTTATTTTAAAAACCACTTAGGATAAACGTATGAGTGGAACTAAAGCAGGACTATTGAAATTAAATGTAAATAAAAAATGATTTACATTTTATCTCACAATGGCCCTCCGGAATTTAAATTAAGACAGACAATATTAATCCAAAATTCTTGCTATGAATCCATTACATTTTACATTTTAGTCATTTAGCAGACGCTCTTATCCAGAGCGACTTACAGTTAGTGAGTGCATACATTTTTCATACTATGTAGTTATGTCAGCTTCCCATTTCACAGTTTAAAACAAAGACCATAAAAACCAAGACCATTTGTGCTTTTGGTGCTCCGTTAATACCTGTGAAGGTAGTTAAGGTGGTTATATAATGTGTGTGTTTTCTATCTTTGTTTGAGGGTGTTTGTGCAGGAGGACCTTTCCTGTCACTTTACCTCGACTCCAAAATGAAGACGTACAGAGACACGTTTACCTCCAGAGAGAAAATGACCTGCTATCGATTGCCTTTAAACACTCCCAAACGAGCCTCCTGCTATCTTCCTTAGCACTACTTACGAGATTTTAAATCTAGCCCAGTTTAAATCACACTGAGCTTTCATCTGCCTCCTCAAACCCAATTAATACCATCATGGCTGTACATCTTAAATACCTAATAATGTGCAAAGGTTAAGTCAGTGGCCTTTTGCTGTAAAGGTGAAGGAAGGTGGCACACGTGGCAGACATCACATAAAAAAATTACAGACCTCTACTGGTAAAGGCTGAATGGGGTACAGTATAATGATTAGGTTGTGCAAAGCTATCTGGACTCTGTCGATTACAATTCAGAAGGTATCTACTGTATAGGCTAGGCTACTGTTTGGGACCATTTTTGTGCTGAGACAAATGCATCACATTAGCAAGCCGAATGAACAAACAAACAAGCATCCAGTGCAATTTAGGGCTACGAGCATATTCAAAAACATAGACATATGTTGTGTTCCTTCCCCAAATGTATGCTAAATATATAACAAGTAGGTAAAGAGCTATCGGAATATGCTATAGGTTTTGCTAATGTCCTTACCATAGTCAGCTGAGAGTACTGTCAATATGCTTGGTTGAGTGGGCAAAGCCTTCACCACTCCATTCTCAAACGTGGGTTGGTTTTCTGTTCCTTGAAGTTGCCAGTTGAGGCCGAAAAAGTGCATTGCTGTAATGTGAACAAAACAGTGGAATATAATAGGGTTAGGGCAAATGATCAAATCGTTAAGACACAACACTTGCTGGACAGCATTTCCAGGAAAAAGAGTTCAGACAATACATCATTGTGTGGCCAAGGGTAGCCTTGTCCCCTCTGCATTAATCACATTAAAGTGATCATGACTCACTTCCCTCCTTCTATATGGCCCTACATCTTCAATGTCTAAGAAATACTAAAGAGTGGGAATTATTTTGTACTAGGTTAGCTTACTATGGGTGTTCCCCATGTAGGCTAAGTGCTCTACTTTAAAACCCAACAGGGCCCAGACACAGCAAGCACAATCAATACTGAGGAGAGGAGGAACACTGCTGTGGCTCTTTAGGCACACTAGTGTCAGGACACAAACAGCACTGCATCAAAGAGCGCAGCGGGACGTTGTATTTAAAAACCCAAACATTTGTTACCAAACAGACAGGAGGAGGCAGATGAGGGTCTACTCCTCAACTCCTCTAATACAAAGCAAGCAATTCAAAACAAACACAGCCCTACATTTAAAACAATTATCAGAAAACCCAATTGTTTGTGTGTATTTACGTGTCAGAGGGTAAAAGTGGCTTCGAGCCTCAAACTATCTAGTTTTGCTAGTCTAGTCTTGCGTAACCAACCAAAATGCCGTTTTATTCCTCCAACCCCTGTCTCTGAATAGGACGCTATCAAGCTGTGTCTTGTTGTTTGGGGAGACTTGGTCTTCTATGAACACAGTGAGAGGGTGAGACTCCTTCAAAGATTGCCAGGGAAGCCATGCTGAGGAGGCCAAACTCCCCCATTTCGGATTTCTGAGTGGTTTGATCTGAAGCAAAACTTTTTTTAAACACACTTTTTTAAAACAATGCAGTGGAATCAGAGAGAATGCAGAATGGGATACATTTGAGAAAAGTTGGGAGAATTGGATGGATGCATATCAAATCAAATGTTATTTGTCACATGCGCCGAATACAACAGGTGTCTTTGTTTGACCTTACTGCGAAATGTTTACATTTACATTACATTTACATAATTTAGCAGACGCTCTTATCCAGAGCGACTTACAGTTAGTGAGTGCATACATTATTATATATATATTTTTTCATACTGGCCCCCGTGGGAATCGAACCCACAACCCTGGCGTTGCAAACGCCATGCTCTACCAACTGAGCTACATCCCTGCCGGCCATTCCCTCCACTACCGTGGACGACGCTGGGCCAATTGTGCGCCGCCCCATGGGTCTCCCGGTCGCGGCCGGCTACGACAGAGCCTGGATTTGAACCGGGAGGTTACTTACAAGCCATTAACCAACAATGCATTTCAAGAAAGAGTTAAGAAAATATTTACTAAATAAACTGGTGTCAGTTATACTGAACAAAAATAAACGCAACATGCAACAATTTTAAAGATTTTGCTGCGTTACAGTTCATATAAGGAAATCAGTCAATTTTAAAAGATTCATTAGATCCTAATCTATGGATTTCACATGACTGGGCAGGGACGCAGCCATTGGTGGGCCTGGGAGGGCATAGGCCCACCCACTTGGGAGCCAGGCCCAGCCAATCAGAATCAGTTTTTCCCCACAAAAGGGCTTTATTACAGACATAAATACTCCTCAGCACCCCCCCTCCCCTCAGACGATCCCACAGGTGAAGAAGCCAGATGTGGAGGTCCTGGGCTGGCGTGGTTAGATGTGGTCTGCGGTTGTAAGGCCGGTTGGATGTACTGCAAAATTCTCTAAAACGATGTTGGAAGTGGCTTATGGTATAGAAATGAACATTGAATTCTCTGGCAACAGCTCTGGTGGACATTCCTGCAGTCAGCATGCCAATTGCACGCTCCCTCAAAACTTGAGACATCTGTGGCATTGTGTTGTGTGACAAAACTGCACATTTTAGAGTGGCCTTTTATTGTCCCCTGCACAAGGTGTACCTGTGTAATGATCATGCTGTTTAATCAGCTTCTTGATATGCCACACCTGTCAGGTGGATGATTATCTTGACAAAGGCTAAAATGCTCACTAACAGGGATGTAAACACATTTGTGCACAACATTTGAGCGATATAAGCTTTTTGTGCATATGGTACATTTCTGAGATCTCTTATTTCAGCCCATTTAACATGGGACCAACATATTACATGTTGGGTTTATATTTTTGTTCAGTTTAGTTGTTTTCTGAAATACAGAACAACGCAGTCTGTCCTATTTACTGACTTGACTTGCTAATGTACCGTATGTGCGCGAGAGACAGAGAGAAAGAGAGAGAAAGAGACCATGTGAGAGTGCATGTGAGTTTGCTTGTATGTATGTGTGGGACTATGTTTCTTATCTGGGGGCTGGCAGAGGCAAAGTGTACAAGTGTATACTGAAGCTATTTAAGACATCGCACCTGGCAGGTGTTTTGGCTGCAGATGAAAGAGAGGAAGGTGAAAAACTCAACCTGAGGCAACTGGCAAAGAAGGCCTATATCTGTTCAACTAACACACTCACACCAATAGGAACTCCCACACATGCACTCACAGGCCCACACGAACACAAACACACACACACCCTTAAGCCATCGGCACACTCATAAGCCGTACAAGCGGAATCCAGAAACAAGACAACCCACAAAACACGCACATTAAAATCACATGAAAGTTAGAGCACAATAAAAACAGGAATCGCTTAAAAAAAACAGGGTCCAGATCATAAAGGGATAACGTACATGGATATCGATATGGCACTTTTATGGCCCTCTGCTATGGAGATCACTCTCCCCGGTCTTCTCCATTGCATCATTTCTACACAGACATATTTCTCTATATACGAGCATGTCATCCTGTGAATCCTATGGCAGTTCAGGAGAAAGTCACACAGACCAAGATTAAGAGTGTGTATCACTCAGGAAGACAGTTAGGACAGATAAATCTCCACCTGTTTTATCGCTGTGGTCAAGCCGCTAGAGGTTATTGAGAAGTCATCTTTGATGCATGCTGTAAAAACCAGGGGGAATTATGTCCTATGGGGGAGGATGATGTGCTAATGAAAAAGATGAAAGCACTTCCTGGAAGACATTTTGTTGCACCAGGAAGTCTTATAGTTCTCGATTCCTCGCATCCTCTCCCCTCGCTCCTTCTCAAAATGCTTTGGAAAGGAAGGCTTTCAAGTTCTTAGAATAGTTCCCCTTTTTGGGGGGGTTATGCCCCATCAACACATGACATTGTCACAATGTTACAAATAGGTTGTGAGAAGGTCAGTCATGACAAGTGACAACCGTGTGATAACCAAATGTTGTCAGTAGGGTGCTGGGAGTGTTGTTCTCTAGACAGTGTCATTGTAGGGCAGGAGTGGGCAAACCTTTTGGCTCAAGGGCCACATTGAGTTTTTGAAGGGCCCCATTCTATATGCGTGACAAAACATGTGAAGCCTTTAATCATTTTCACATTGACACGCAACAACTAGTGTAAATATGCTTGCAGAACAATTCTACCCTTGTACCATCTCTACCCTTGTTTATTGTGAACACATTTTTCACAAAATTGATATAATTTATATAATCACAGACATAGTCAAACACACACACCGATCCTGCATCTCTACCCTTGTAAACTACAATCAAACTTACAGTCACAATATGCAAACTTTAAAAAAAAAATATATATATATATATATATATATATATATATATATATATATATATATATATATATATATATATATATTTATTCTATGATTGGAGACATGCAAAATGTAACAGCCGATGTGTTAAAAAAACTATTCTAAAATTTGAGTGAAACATATGGTAAGAGCATCCGTTTCATTTGGAATGGTCTGTTTTTGAAAGCATATTAAGGAACAATTCTCATCTCCATTGTGAGCCATATTTACAGTTATCCATTCACTTCAGCCCAAATCTGACTGATTAGTTATTACCTGTATCCAAGTGCATTGCTGGATAATTCTCACTGCATAACCATCACCATGAAAAAGCATAATCCTTGCCTACCCAAGTCACGGTTATTCAAGTCTTAATGTGAACAATGTCACCTCTCTTGGCAAGGGCATCAAAGTCTGGTGTCATCTTTGATATAGAGATTCTCAGAACAGCTGACAAGTGGTCATTTGTTAAATTTGACCTGGGACGGGATTTGTTGTAATTCATGACTGAGAACGTTTGTTCACACACATAAAACAAGCATCCTTTGGGCGTGCTTTTTAATGTTTGGAAACGTTGTTTAATTCAGTGAGCCATAGAACTGGTCTATTGTTGCTGTTTTGTACTTCTCCTTCAAAGTACTGTCACATTGATGTCGATGAGCTCCAATTGTGTGTCTGGTGGTGCTTTCTCACTGTCGAAAGACAGGGGGCATGATACAAGCTCCAGCTCAGTCTCAATCTTGGTGAAGTCTGAGAAGCGGCGAGAAAACTCAGCATGCAGGTCGATAAAAGTGCTACTGTATGTCTCAGTGCGGCACTGCAATTCCAGTGTCAGAAAATGAGCGAGAGACCGGCTACTCATTTGTCTGGAGAACAACATATATGTTTGGCCTTGAATGCTTTCACATTGGAATACAGTTCATGCAAAAAAACACAATTTCCCTGCAGTTTCACATTTAGATCGTTCAGATGCCCCAATATGTCCACACAGAAAGTAAAGTCGTTCAGCCAGTCTGTGTCTTTCAACTCGGAGAAGTCGTCAGCTTTATCAACCGTAACAAGGATATACACGGCAAAATACTTTTGCCAGGCTTAGCCAGCGCACATTTGAATGGTACAACAAGTCCTGGTGCTCTGCCTCTGTGTCATTGATCAGCTGAATGAACTGACGATGGTTAAGCCCCCTTGCCCGTATAAAGTTGACAAGTTTTACAACCACTTTCACAACATTTTCCAGCTTTAACACACTTTTACACAGGGCTTCCTAATGAATAATACAGTGAAGAAATATAAATTCCTCCGAGTTAGGGCTTTCTTCTTTTACTTTGTCTTGTAATCTTTTTAGTAGGCCAATGTTTTTACCGGTTAGATTTGGTGATCCATCTCTTGTGACGTTTGTCAGTTTGCTCCACGGTAGATTCCCTGGTTGTTCCCATCATTCAGAGTTCACGTTTCTCATTTTCGCAGCACTCATTTTTCACGTCAAAAGTTGTCAAGCAATGAAGTGGCTATGACGACTGAGCGCATTCTGAATCTGACTGTAGGCCCAAATACAGAGCGCGCTGCCAGGCTACAGCGCCATCTATTGGAGGTTGTTTGTATATCATGGAATGAGTAATTTTAGGCAAAAAATCGTAACTAAAATATAATAATATTTAATATATTTTAAAAATCTCTCACGGGCCGGATTGAAGTGCCCGGCGGGCCAGATACGGCCCGCGGGCTGTACTTTGCCCCCCCCTTGTTGTAGGGTGTCGAGGTGGATTTAAACAGTCTTTCAAGGCTCCTATGGATAGGACTGGGTCATGTCATTGAGCAGGTTGACGTTTGTCATGAGTCTTGACCTGGAGGCAGAACTGAGCGATTTCCCCTTCGATAGGCCAGCTGCAAAGTCAAAATTGGCTATATTGTAGGCATTAAGGTTAGCAGTGTGGTTAAGGTTAGGTTTAAGGTTTGGTTTAAAATCAGATTTTATGACTTTGTGGCTGTGCTAGCTAGTGACCACTCTGCAGAGCTGCCTCCAGAACAAGATTTATGACGAAAAACACTAACCTGCTGTCAGTGATGCCACTCTGTGGGCCTTTTATCAGAATAACAGGATGATGCAGAGCCCTTGTCAGTGGAACTGCCACGATCTGACAGATTCAAACACGACTGTGTCATCGGGAAATGTCTCTGTTCTCGACTGACATACGACAACAGGTGGGATAAAATCCTAAGATCTGCTATATCTGCTCAGCAAGATGATGCTGAAAGAGCAATGCAACCAATGAGAAGATACAATTTTAGCACAGCTTAGAAAGCCGTCAGTCGACGCTGATTCAGCTGACTCAAAGCCATTCAGTCAAGTCAACTTGTCTATCAGAAAGTCTATCGTTTAACCAATTGGAAAGGGTAACAGATATCCTGTGTTGTAGTGTGTTGGATGCTGTCAGGAAGTCTCTCCTGAGAACTGAAGGTTGTTTCACCACTAAGGTTGAATAGCAAGTATTTTATATTTGCAAGGATAATATATTTGAAAGGCCTTTGAAAATAGTTGTAGTACCCATAGTTGTCCATGGATCTAGGGATGATTGCTCTTATGCTCTTTTCTATACTTAGGGGGGGGCTGTGGCTAGCTACACTACATAATCAACACAGTACAGTGCAAGCAGGAAGGGTCATGGTTAACTACAGACGAATACAATAATGTCAATAAGGAGGGGCTATAGTTACCTATACAGTAGCAGAGGATAATTGACAGCAGGACAGCCACGCCCACTGCGCTCAGGGCGGTGCACCTCCAGGAACAGTGCTTGGGTGACTTTTTGAACTTGAAAGCCCCTCTGGAGAGGGTGTTTCTGGGTAGTGGGCGTGCCGGTGTGGAGTACACTGCCCCTGTTGCCATGGTGTAACCTGGGGTTGCTGTGCCAAAGAAAGGGGTTGTTCCTGTGCCCGTTTTAAAGAGGAAGTGTCTGGGGAAACAAAACAGAAAATACACAAATTAATATTAGAATATTTAAAACATACAATCTACTTGCAGTGAAGCCGCTCAACATCTACATCACATTAGTCATCTAACAGACTCCCATCCAGAGCGACCCACAGAAGCAACCAGGGTCAACGCCCTGCTCAAGGGCACGTAGACAGATCTCCCACAATGTCAAAAACAGTTACACGAACCAGCGATCCACCAGCCACCGGCCCAGGCTCCCAACCGCCAGGCCACCAGCCCTCCAAGTCCCCCACGAGAAAAATAAAATAATTCAATTGATTTGGTTGTGTATTCTTATTGAACCTTTATTTAATATAAAAGAATACACTGCTCAAAAAAATAAAGGGAACACTTAAAGAACACATCCTAGATCTGAATGAATGAAAATCATATTTAATACTTTTTTCTTTACATAGTTGAATGTGCTGACAACAAAATCACACAAAAATTATCAATGGAAATCAAATGTATCAACCCATGGAGGTCTGGATTTGGAGTCACCCTCAAAATTAAAGTGGAAAACCACACTACAGGCTGATCCAACTTTTATGTAATGTCCTTAAAACAAGTCAAAATGAGGCTCACTAGTGTGTGTGGACTCCACGTGCCTGTATGACCTCCCTACAACGCCTGGGCATGCTCCTGATGAGGTGGCGGATGGTCTCCTGAGGGATCTCCTCCCAGACCTGGACTAAAGCATCCGCCAACTCCTGGACAGTCTGTGGTGCAACGTGGCGTTGGTGGATGGAGCGAGACATGATGTCCCAGATGTGCTCAATTGGATTCAGGTCAGGGGAATGGGCGGGCCAGTCCATAGCATCAATGCCTTCCTCTTGCAGGAACTGCTGACACACTCCAGCCACATGAGGTCTAGCATTGTCTTGCATTAGGAGGAACCCAGGGCCAACCGCACCAGCATATGGTCTCACAAGGGGTCTGAGGATCTCATATCGGTACCTAATGGCAGTCAGGCTTCCTCTGGCGAGCACATGGAGGGCTGTGCGGCCCCCCAAAGAAATGCCACCCCACACCATGACTGACCCACCGCCAAACCGGTCATGCTGGAGGATGTTGCAGGCAGCAGAACGTTCTCCACGGCGTCTCCAGACTCTGTCACGTCTGTCATATGTGCTCAGTGTGAACCTGCTTTCATCTGTGAAGAGCACAGGGCGTCAGTGGCGAATTTGCCAATCTTGGTGTTCTCTGGCAAATGCCAAACGTCCTGCACAGTGTTGGGCTGTAAGCACAACCCCCACCTGTGGACGTCGGGCCCTCATACCACCCTCATGGAGTCTGTTTCTGACCGTTTGAGCAGACACATGCACATTTGTGGCCTGCTGGAGGTCATTTTGCAGGGCTCTGGCAGTGCTCTTCCTTCTCCTCCTTGCACAAAGGCGGAGGTAGCGGTCCTGCTGCTGGGTTGTTGCCCTCCTACGGCCTCCTCCACGTCTCCTGATGTACTGGCCTGTCTCCTGGTAGCGCCTCCATGCTCTGGACACTATGCTGACAGACACAGCAAACCTTCTTGCCACAGCTCGCATTGATGTGCCATCCTGGATGAGCTGCACTACCTGAGCCACTTGTGTGGGTTGTAGACTCCGTCTCATGCTACCACTAGAGTGAAAGCACCGGAAGCATTCAAAAGTGACCAAAACATCAGCTAGGAAGCATAGGAACTGAGAAGTGGTCTGTGGTCACCACCTGCAGAACCACTTCTTTATTGGGGGTGTCTTGCTAATTGCCTATAATTTCCACCTGTTGTCTATTCCATTTGCACAACAGCATGTGAAATTTATTGTCAATCAGTGTTGCTTCCTAAGTGGACAGTTTGATTTCACAGAAGTGTGATTGACTTGGAGTTACATTGTGTTGTTTAAGTGTTCCCTTTATTTTTTTGAGCAGTGTATATAATATATGCCATTTAGCAGACACTTTTATACAAAGCGTCTTAGTCATGCGTGCATAAGTTTTTCATATACAGTGCATTCGGAAAGTATTCAGACCCCTTACATTTTTTCACATTTTGTTAGGTTACAGCCTTATTCTAAAATTGATTAAATAGTTTGTTCTCATCAATCTACACACAATAACCCATAATGACAAAGCAAAAACGGAAATATCATATTTACATAAGTATTCAGACCCTTTATTCAGTACTTTGTTGAAGCACCTTTGGCAGCGATTACGGCATCAAGTTTTCTTGGGTATGATGCTACATGCTTGGCACACCTGTATTTGGAGAGTTTCTCCCATTCTTCTCTGCAGATCCTCTCAAGCTCTGTCGGTTAGATGGGGAGCGTCGCTGCACAGCTATTTTCAGATCTCTTCAGAGATGTTTGATCGGGTTCAAGTCCGGGATCTGGCTGGGCCACTCAAGTACATTCAGAGACTTGTCCCAAAGCCACTCCTGCGTTGTCTTGGCTGTGTGCTTAGGGTTATTGTCCTGTTGTAAGGTGAACCTTTGCCCCAGTCTGAGGTCCTGAGCGCTCTGGAGCAGGTTTTCATCAAGGATCTCTCTGTACTTTGCTCCATTCATCTTTCCCTCGCTCCTGACTAGTCTCCCAGTCCCTGCCGCTGAAATACATCCCCACAGCATGATGTTGCCACCACCATGCTTCATCATAGGGATGGTGCCAGGTTTCCCCCAGACGTGAGGCTTGGCATTCAGGCCAAAAAGTTCAGTCTTGGTTTCATCAGACCAGATAATCTTGTTTCTCATGGTCTGAATCCATTAGGTGCATTTTGGCAAACTCCAAGCGGGCTGTCATGTACCTTTTACTGAGGAGTGGCTTCTGTCTGGTCACTCTACCATAAAGGCCTGACATGCACTGTCAACTGTGGGACCTTATATAGACAGGTGTGTGCCTTTCCAAATCATGTCCAATCAATTGAATTTACCACAGGTGGACTCCAATGAAGTTGTAGAAACATCTCAAGGATGATCAATGGAAACAGGATGCACCTGAGCTCAATTTCGAGTCTCATAGCAAAGGGTCTGAATACTTATGCATATAAGGTATCTGTTTTTTATTTGTAATACATTTGCTAAACTTTCTAAAAACCTGCTTTTGCTTTGTTATTATGGGATATTGTGTGTACAGTGGGGAAAAAAAAGTATTTAGTCAGCCACCAATTGTGCAAGTTCTCCCACTTAAAAAGATGAGAGGCCTGTAATTTTCATCATAGGTACACGTCAACTCTGACAGACAAAATGAGAAAAAAAAAATCCAGAAAATCAATTTGTAGGATTTTTAATGAATTTATTTGCAAATTATGGTGGAAAATAAGTATTTGGTCAATAACAAAAGTTTCTCAATACTTTGTTATATACCCTTTGTTGGCAATGACACAGGTCAAACGTTTTATGTAAGTCTTCACAAGGTTTTCACACACTGATGCTGGTATTTTGGCCCATTCCTCTATGCAGATCTCCTCTAGAGCAATGATGTTTTGGGGCTGTCGCTGGGCAACACAGAGTTTCAACTCCCTCCAAAGATTTTCTATGGGGTTGAGATCTGGAGACTGGCTAGGCCACTCCAGGACCTTGAAATGCTTCTTACGAAGCCACTCCTTCGTTGCCCGGGCGGTGTGTTTGGGATCATTGTCATGCTGAAAGACCCAGCCACGTTTCATCTTCAATGCCCTTGCTGATGGAAGGAGGTTTTCACTCAAAATCTCACGACACATGGCCCCATTCATTCTTTCCTTTACACGGATCAGTCGTCCTGGTCCCTTTGCAGAAAAACAGCCCCAAAGCATGATGTTTCCACCCCCATGCTTCACAGTAGGTATGGTGTTCTTTGGATGCAACTCAGCATTCTTTGTCCTCCAAACACAACGAGTTGAGTTTTTACCAAAAGGTTTTATTTTGGTTTCATCTGACCATATGACATTCTCCCAATCCTCTTCTGGATCATCCAAATGCACTCTAGCAAACTTCAGACGGGCCTGGACATGTACTGGCTTAAGAAGGGGGACACGTCTGGTACTGCAGGATTTGAGTCCCTGGCGGCGTAGTGTGTTACTGATGGTAGGCTTTGTTACTTTGGTCCCAGCTCTCTGCAGGTAATTCACTAGGTCCCCCCGTGTGGTTCTGGGATTTTTGCTCACCATTCTTGTGATCATTTTGACCCCACAGGGTGAGATCTTGCGTGGAGCCCCAGATCGAGGGAGATTATCAGTGGTCTTGTATGTCTTCCATTTCCTAAATAATTGCTCCCACAGTTGATTTCTTCAAACCAAGCTGCTTACCTATTGCAGATCCAGTCTTCCCAGCCTGGTGCAGGTCTACAATTTTGTTTCTGGTGTCCTTTGACAGCTCTTTGGTCTTGGCCATAGTGGAGTTTGGAGTGTGACTGTTTGAGGTTGTGGACAGGTGTCTTTTATACTGATAACAAGTTCAAACAGGTGCCATTAATACAGGTAACGAGTGGAGGACAGAGGAGCCTCTTAAAGAAGAAGTTACAGGTCTGTGAGAGCCAGAAATCTTGCTTGTTTGTAGGTGACCAAATACTTATTTTCCACCATAATTTGCAAATAAATTCATAAAAAAATCCTACAATGTGATTTTCTGGAAAAAATAATCTCAATTTGTCTGTCATAGTTGACGTGTACCTATGATGAAAATTACAGGCCTCTCTCATCTTTTTAAGTGGGAGAACTTGCACAATTGGTGGCTGACTAAATAATTTTTTCCCCCACTGTGTATTTATGATTTTAATCAATTTTAGAATAAGGCTGTATTGTAACAAAATGTGGAAAAAGGAAAAGGGTCTGAATACTTTCCGAATGCACTGTAGGTGGCCCCAGCGGGAATTGAACCGACAACCCTGACATTGCAAGCACCATGCTCTACCAACTGAGCCACAGAAGACCACATTATTTATTCAGGGTAATCTCATTGAAAGGACATCTCTTTTGTAAGAGAAACCATCGACATGTCAGTATTCCCCAATGTGAATCGCATGTACGAAAGGCCATTATACCATGGGTAATTAAGGAGGTTTAATCACAAGCACTACTCTGGCTTTGTCTATTAACTTTTTAAACCCACGTGAAAACCTCTGAAATGGACACTTTAGGCCTTCATGCCTCTCTTGCCATCACATCGTCCGACCCTCCACTAACTGAGTTTATGATGCCATCCTTACCTCCACTCTACAATGTGTCACTATATTCACAACATTGACAGTTCTATAAGTCACTTTTGATAGAAGCATCTGCTAAATGATTTATAAAGCTACAGTATGCCACTCAGAATGATGAGTGTGGTATTCAAACAGGGGTATCCACAGATCTGCCTCAGACTGTATGGTGCATTCAGCAGCTTGTTTGAAAAGTTGGAGGTCAAACATATTCAAGTGTATTATGAGTTTAGTGATCTGGAATACGTCCATTTTTCTTTTCTCCCAGGTAGATGATTGATGGATTCATGTCACTGATTGGTCAGAGAAAGGGGTGGGCGGCGTATCTATTTCTGAGGTAGTTGGGTACGGATTTGTGCCGTGATATTAATTTGAGCATACCGCGAATACAGGGGCCTGTTTACTTGCTGCTTGGCTACGAGAATCCAACAAATGGTGCCATTTCACACATAGCTGATATTGAATAAAAATGTAAAATGGCCAATACAAAAGGTTAGTTCACATTAACTGGATTATTGCATATCAGGTCCCACTACTCATCTGCTGAATATAAAGCAATATTCTGTTCTGACCCCCAGTCTGGTGTACAGACATACAGTAGTATAACAGACTGTGTGCAAACAGTGGAGGCTCAGAGGAAATGCTTTTGGAAATGATTACCAAACAGAGTGGCGGTATAAACGTCTGCGGCTATACACACTGGATGACCATATGTAATCGATTAGAAGGAGTGTGACGCAATGAAGCACATTACTATGCTAATTCGGGCAGCTCTATTGATGTGTGTGTGTGTGTGTGTGTTTGTGTCTGTCTGTGTGTGTGTGTGCGTGCGCATGCATAAGTGTGTAAGTCTCATTGAAATGACCTTCACTCACACAAAAGCGATAGCCAAGGTAGGTTCCCCTTTGCTCAACTCACTTCCTTGTAATCAGTTTGACATTTGAAACACTCTTGTGGAGGACAAAAGACAAAACATACAGTGGGCGGATTTGGACCTCAGCTAAGTCCCTACTGTAGGTGAGGGAGTACTTTAGAAACAATGAGCACTAACGCCCTTTGACTATGTAATCTGCCTATTAGCCACTGCATTGTGTTAGCATCAGCATTGGTGGAATAATACGGCTCTTTAAACCGTGACCAAGGCACTCTACCGACGTAGCGGGCACCTAAGTCCATCTCTCTCTTTCCCTTTCACTGTCCCTCTCAGTCTTTTTCTTGCTCTTCCTATCAGTAGTTCTCCCTTCCTCGCTCTCTTTCTCTCTCACCCCTTTAATCTTTCACACTCTCTCCCTCTCCCTTCCTCTTTTTTTTCTCTCCCTATCGCTCTTTCACACTCTTCCCCCCCCCCAATGGAACCACCTGCCCTCTCAGCAGGGGACCTGGTAGCAGGTGCTAGCCTAGTGCAGCAGTGCTCATCTGTGTGATTATATTTTCAGTGGGCAGCACCCTTGTGTTTCTGGGCCATTGCACATGCAAAGATCAGAGTGGCGCCATTTTGAGATGCTTCCCCGGTGCGCTCAGGCTGCTGCACATAAAAGTCCATTTGTTTAATTAGCATTAAGACATTAAAGTATTGAGCTTTTGAGCACATTGACTTGGGAGATTTGTTCATTACGGACACAAAATAAGATGAGATTTGTTGTTGTAATTTTTTTATGATAATCATATAAGAAACCACAATCTTATGAAGTATTACTAATGCAGTCCATCTACGCAAGTGTATCTACAATAATAATTATCTTAATTTCCCATGGAAGACAGAGACCTACTCTACACTATATTCTTTCAGGAGTGTGGCACTCATCGTGAAACGATCATTACATGATTTTCATTGCATAAAAGTAGCGTGTGGAACCGCAAACGTTGAATCTGTGTCATAATAGCCGTTTCAACTGCTCTTTACTAAATATGTGTGACAGAGTTTAACTGGATTCCACAGGACGTATGAGACAGCCATTGTATAGCCTAACTGCACCTTATTGAGAACAGTATTAATGGTATAGAAAAAACATATGTTTTATTGTCACATTCACTGGATAGGTGCAGTGAAATGTGTTGTTTTACAGGGGCAGACATAGTAGTACGGCGCCGCTGGAGCAAATTAGGATGAAGTGCCTTGCTCAAGGACACAGACTTTTCACCTTGTCGGCTCGGTATTTGAACCAGCAACCTTTGTCAATTCGCCAAGGCATGGACTCTACAAGGTGTCGAAAGCGTTCCACAGGGATGCTGGCACATTTTGACTCCAAAGCTTCCTACAGTGTCAAGTTGGCTGGATGTCCTTTGGTTGGTGGACCATTCTTGATACACACGGAAAACTGTTGAGCGTGGAAAACCCAGCAGTATTGCAGTTCTTGACACAAACCGGTGCGCCTGGCACCTACTACCATTCCCAGTTCTAAAGGCACTTAAATATCTTTTCTTGCCCATTCACCCTCTGAATGGCACACATACACAATTCATGTCTCAATTGTCTCAAGGCTTAAAAATCCTTCTTTAACTTGTCTCCTCCCCTTCATCTACACTAATTGAATTGGATTTAACAAGTGATATCAATAATGGATCATAGCTTTCACCTGGATTCACCTGGTCAGTCTATGTCATGGAAAGAGCAGGTGTCCTTAATGTTTTGAACACTCAGTGCACACTATATACAGTGGGGAGAACAAGTATTTGATACAATGCAGATTTTGCAGGTTTTCCTACTTACAAAGCATGTAGAGGTCTGTAATTTTTTATCATAGGTACACTTCAACTGTGAGAGACGGAATCTAAAACAAAAATCCAGAAAATCACATTGTATGATTTTTAAGTAATTAATTAGCATTTTATTGCATGACATAAGTATTTGATACATCAGAAAAGCAGAACTTAATATTTGGTACAGAAACCTTTGTTTGCAATTACAGAGATCATACCTTTCCTGTAGGTCTTGACCAGGTTTGCACACACTGCAGCAGGGATTTTGGCCCACTCCTCCATACAGACCTTCTCCAGATCTTTCAGGTTTCGGGGCTGTCGCTGGGCAATACAGACTTTCAGCTCTCTCCAAAGATGTTCTATTGGGTTCAGGTCTGGAGACTGGCTAGGCCACTCCAGGACCTTGAGATGCTTCTTACGGAGCCACTCCTTAGTTGCCCTGGCTGTGTGTTTCAGGTCGTTGTCATGCTGGAAGACCCAGCCACGACCCATCTTCAATGCTCTTACTGAGGGAAGGAGGTTGTTGGCCAAAATCTCATGATACATGGCCCCATCCATCCTCCCCTCAATACGGTGCAGTCTTCCTGTCCCCTTTGCAGAAAAGCATCCCCAACGAATGATGTTTCCACCTCCATGCTTCACAGATGGGATGGTGTTCTTGGGGTTGTACTCATCCTTCTTCTTCCTCCAAACACGGCAAGTGGAGTTTAGACCAAAAAGCTCTATTTTTGTCTCATCAGACCACATGACCTTCTCCCATTCCTCCTCTGGATCATCCAGATGGTCATTGGCAAACTTCAGACGGGCCTGGACATGCGCTGGCTTGAGCAGGGGGACCTTGCGTGCGCTGCAGGATTTTAATCCATGACGGCATAGTGTGTTACTAATGGTTTTCTTTGAGACTGTGGTCCCAGCTCTCTTCAGGTCATTGACCAGGTCCTGCCATGTAGTTGTGGGCTGATCCCTCACCTTCCTCATGATCGTTGATGCCCCACAAGGTGAGATCTTGCATGGAGCCCCAGACCGAGGGTGATTGACCGTCATCTTGAACTTCTTCCATTTTCTAATAATTGCGCCAACAGTTGTTGCCTTCTCACGAAGCTGCTTGCCTATTGTCCTGTAGCCCATTCCAGCCTTGTGCAGGTCTACAATTTTATCCCTGATGTCCTTACACAGCTCTCTGGTCTTGGCCATTGTGGAGAGGTTGGAGTCTGTTTGATTGAGTGTGTGGACAGGTGTCTTTTATACAGGTAACGAGTTCAAACAGGTGCAGTTAATACAGGTAATGAGTGGAGAACAGGAGGGCTTCTTAAAGAAAAACTAACAGGTCTATGAGATCCGGAATTCTTACTGGTTGGTAGGTGATCAAATACTTATGTCATGCAATAAAATGCAAATTAATTACTTAAAAATCATACAATGTGATTTTCTGGATTTTTGTTTTAGATTCCGTCTCTCACAGTTGAAGTGTACCTATGATAAAAATTACAGACCTCTACATGCTTTGTAAGTAGGAAAACCTGCAAAATCGGCAGTGTATCAAATACTTGTTCTCCCCACTGTAGATATCGTAAATCAATTTCACACATTTGGTTAAATTTTAATACAAAACTGATATGGGAGTACAACACATCTAAAGAATAATTACCTGGCAAAGTGCATGGGGCGACTTTCCTCTCGAGGACAAGAGTAAATCACACAATAATGGATTCAATAGCACCTTTCTAAAATGGTAATTGAAAATATCCATACTTCTATAGAGCCGAGCATTAAAAAGTGGAATCTGAGTGGTTGAAAGCCCTCCACACACTTATAAGATGTAAATGTATCCATGGTGGTAGAGAATAGTCTGGAACAGAACGGAGCAGGCAATAACAGGGTTATATTGGCAACTAATTGAGCACTTTAATGGAAGAGCTGGAGTGTTCTCATAATGAATTGGAGTAAAAGCTAGAGTGGAATAATTTCTGAAGAATATCTATTCGGTTAGGAAACCTGCGTTTCTCACTTTGAAAGTATTAATTTGATTTAATTCAAATGGCGTCTCAAAGCCTAAAACTCTTGCAGATTTTCCTAGCGTTAAATTTGTAAATTGTTCTAAGTTGGGTACATGTGGAGGAAGAGTTAGACTTTGCTTGAGAGTCAGTGTTTTACACTCCCTGTTATGGACTGAGGTTGTTGAATCCCTAAAAATATCAACAACTTGAATACAAAGTAGGGATACTGAAATAAAATATGGTGGTATAAAAATGGAGGGAAGCAGGTGACAGCTGATATCATAAAACATCAGCTGTTTAAAATAGTTATGCATGTCTCCTTTGTGCGCCCAATATTGGGACATGACAAAAATAAATGCACAGATGTGACCACTTGTTGAATTAGGCCTTTCAGGAAATGAGTCAGTCTATTGCCTTTTGACAACATAGGCAAAGGGCTCTCAATTAAATGACTGCTTTGAGAAGATATCGAGAGAGAGACTTAACACACTGTGTAATGGGAGAGTCTAATAAAAAATAAATAAATGGGGCCCATACGTTTCCTCTTGGATAAACACAGTAATTGAATGAACCTTTTCAATAAGTTAAAATGACCGTTTGTTATGAAAGCAAGATGGAATGGGGCCAAATTAGAATGCAAATGCTTTGAAGACCACATCCTTAATGGGGGCTATAATACTATGTAATAATGAATGTATTATAATGAATCATAACATTAGCAAATGTGGTCAATCATTGTGATTGTCCTAAAAAGCCATGCTAAAGTTCTAGGAGAATGGGTAGTATGGGGGCAGGTTCTAAATGCATGGAAATGATAAAACTCCTGAGACTTTTTTGGTCCCATTGCATTAGTTATCACTATGAGTTGAACAGAGAAAATAAGTTAAACTATTTCTGTAGGCATCTCTATGGGGGTTAACTGAACCAAAACCAGCATGCTGAATGCCAAATGCATGTAATCTGGTGCTCTTGTTTACATTGAACAACCTAGCAGTTTACTGGACAAATATAGTTATGGGCATCCCATAAGCCCCCTGATGTTACCATGACACCCAATTTCCTCCCACAGCAAGGTACTTGCTTTAGAGTACAGTGTGCAGATAGTGATTTCTACCCCGGGCTGATGATAGAGGTGTACATATGGTTTTGTCAATACCGGCAAGGCAGTAAAGGTCACAGCGATGTTAGTATTCAATTACTGTGTCTTCCTCGGCATGGAAGAACAAATGCTACATAACCCAATTGATTTGGTCCCATCCTGAGAGCTTCTTACTGCATGATGCTAAAGAAAAATTGCAAAATTCCACATTTATCTAGGTTGTGTAGGAGTACTTTGAGCCAGGGAAACATCGAGCTGTAATGGATTTATCCTTTTGAAGTAGAACGTAATATACTTTCCTGATTTATTTTATTTATTTTTCCTGGAATGTTATGGACATTTTGATCCCCTTTATGGCTTGGAAAGAAATAACACTGATG